GCTATTGCTTTATACTCGTTTAGCTCCTCATTATTAACTTCCGTTTAGGAGCAGATTTTATTTGAAATCAAAAAGTATACAAGTTTCTCATATACTAAAAGACTCTCTACTTTATATATTTTATAGAACCAAATAGTTCTAAATTTGTTCATTTCAATTAAGCTAAAAATAAACTAATAATGTTCCGTGCCAATTGCTTTTAACGAGATTTACGACGTATTTTATTTAGATATTATTTAAATAAAATATTCTATAGGAATTTATTTTGTTCATAATTGAATTTAGACAAAAGTCACAAATTCAAGCCGACACTCTTCAAATTTTTGGATCGATTCTACTATAATAAATATAATCAAACTTATAATATTTTTTACATGTTAACATTAGTCTGACTATTTTCCACTTCAAACAACCATTTGTATTCATTTAGGAGAGTTGAACGAGAGCAGACAGGTGAAATATTGGAGTAGGATTGCTGTACTGCCTTTCAGGAGTTCTGTTTTTCTGGGTGTACACCGGTCGGCATTAGATTGTACCCCCGCTCCTTTCCCTTTCCCTACCACTTTCCCCACCAAGAGCCACATAACTCAGTTTAGCTCTCGAAGCGCCCTTCGCGCAGTTAACAAATAACATCAACTTATTAAATAAAGTTTCAATTCGGTTTCGGCGAGAGGAGCCGCAGCTACCGTGCTGGGTTCGCAAAAGGAGCAGAGAAGCCAAGGAGCCAAGCGGAGGAACCCAGGGATCCGGGGATCCACAATAAATCATCACATCGAAGGGGGAAGGAAAGGGGAGTGCAATGGCCATAGGTAACAGACGGTAACTGCGGCCAAGTTATGTGGCTTCATTGTGGACAGAATGAGCGCTTTTAAGCAGACAATTGCAGCCTGGGGCGCAGCCACAACAGGTAGGAGAACCTGCAGAGTGGGATGTTTAAAAGGGGGAGGGGAGGGAGGGGTCAGTGGCAGTGGAAGGGAGTGGGATTGGGAGTGGGAATGGGGAACTAGAGGAGGGAGCAAAACACTCTCGCCCGGCGCGCAGAGCCTCCCACTACCCCTTGCTATTGTGGCAACTCCTGTCCCCCAGCCTTCCCCTCTCCACATCTTCGTAGGCCGCACTGCGGGCATAAATCATTCGGGCCTCTCAAGCTCAAGCTGCTCCTGCGCCTCTACACTCAGAAAAAAAAAACAGATTAGATAAATATTACCAGCGCATGAAAATAAAAATAAAGGAAATATTTTTAGTAAATCAATAAGAATGGAAACCTTAAAAAGACAAGAACTGAATTGTTAGTAAATTGTTAATTAATCTTGAGTTTGACAAAATATATTCTTATGAAGGTATAGATTGAATCTAACAACCAGATTTTAAATATATGAAATAAAAAATATATTAAATACTTTATTAATATATTAATATTTAATTAAATTAAATTAATTCAGAAAAGAAATTTACGCTTTTGTAAGGATTGAAATAATTTAAAAAATTACTTATTACAATTGACTTCCTTTTATTAATACCGAAGGGGCCAAGAATACGATTTTTTTTAAATAACAAAAAAAAAATAATTATTTAGAAAGGGAAGTTACGAATTTTGTTACCATTTATGCGAATTTAAAGGTTAAAAATCCCTTTTATAATATTTCATTATCCTTTATTTGCCTTTTATATGTTAACTACTTCCGCTGTAACCACATCCCCTTTTTTTCAGTGTTAAATTCCCCTTGACACCTCTGCCTAAATCTCCCAAAGGCCAGCAACTGGCAATATGAGTTAATTTTTGCAGCCCGGACTCGGTAAGGAGCTTTGCGTATTTGTCAACTGCAAATTACAGCGTTTTTATGCCTATTTCCCACACAAAAAGACTCCTTGGCCATCCATCGTGGCATGTGGGTGGATGTTTTGCAAATTTATGGCGCGCTGGCATTATAAATTTTCTATTAACCCGCACCCCAATCCGAATCAGAATCCGAATCCAAAACCGATCCAAAACTCCAACTCCAGCCAGCTTGAGGCTCGTGAGGCAGGATTTGCATTGAATACCGGCGGGCAGCGTAGGAAAGTGCGTTGATGGGGCATTATCTGTTTAAGGCTTTAATTTTATTTCGCTTGCCAAAAATGTACGCAAAATAAGTGCCGGAGGAGCGCCTTCTATGGATTATGGGTCCTGCAGCACTTCGAGTCCCAAAGAGGAGCCTCTTTGCATCCAATTGACTTGAAAGGCAGAGCGGTGCTGCATCTCATTGAACCCGACAAATTGGTCATAATTTCAGGCAACTAATCCCAATAAACATGGCCCAAACATTGTGCCACTGACATTAAGCTGCCATCCCAGCCATTGGCGACTTACGTTGCGAGTAAGCCGGGTAAGTAGCCAACTAATAAAATGCCATTTATCTGGCCATCGATCGGGCAGGTGGATTGGCCAGCTAACTGCCGGCCGAAACGCCTGTAAACTTGTCCCGGCAAATGGAAATGAAAATGGAGATGGAAGTGCGCCGCAGCGATTTGGCCAGCGGCCCCGCATAAATTGCAAATTAACAGAAGTTCAAATCGAAAACGGGCTGGCTGGATTTATGCGACGAGTAAAAGACGAGACAAAAGGTTAATCAGTTGCTCATCAAGCCGACTTACTCCCCTCAAATACTCTGTAGGCTAGTCGAAAAAGGCTATATACCATTATTTAAATACTCAACTTGGCTGGGGTGTTATTAAAGGTATAGTCAAGATTTGCCCGCTGGAGGTATTTTCAATTTATATTTAAACACTTTAAAGCGATTGAGGAAAACCTCTTGAAATTACTGGCTTAATCCTATTTTGAAATTTACTTTTATTGAATTTTGCCTTGAGTTATTAAACAGAAGGCTTGAAGTAAAGTAGCTAAAAAATGACACCAATCAAAGAATGGAGAAGTTGTATTAAAAAGAGAGTCGAAATTACTTAGTACTTTATAGCCCGTACTCTGAACAGCAAGTTAAAATTGATAATTTTATATGAATGACGTATTAAGTGAATGCTTATGGCCTTCAGTAAACAATTTTTGATATTATTTTCTCCTTTTCCTTTCACATTTATATGAACAAATGCTTTTATTTATAAATAATGGTACTTAACGATGTATATAAATATTTTTAGACCTAGGGAACATCTTTTAATCACCCGCAAATAAATAAACAAGTTTTAATACTTTTTCAAGAGAGTTTGTTTAAGATAATGACTTGTGCCTTAAAACAAAACGATAAATACTGAAAACATTTCGTTCTTTGGATATACGTCACAAAACGAAAAGATAAAACGCCAACACGTTTTTTAATCAAGAGAGTTTTTTACTTAAATATTTTTGCAATCCCTTAACTCAGTTGAAAAATCCACTTGCTGGCCAGCTCCTGATTTGCATAGTGGGAAAGTGAGTGGGAAACCCAGGGGGCAAGTCCGAGGGGCACACACACGCAGAGTGGTCGTGGGTCATTCGCGGCTCAATCAACGGGTTTCTGATTGGTTTCACACGCTGCCCCTTATCGAAGAGTCCGCCAGATACGGGATACAAAACACAAGATACAAGATACTCCGGCTGGGCACGAACTTTAAACTCTCGCTGGGTAAATAGTCATTTTTCAATTGCGCACACACATGTGTGTGTGTGAGTGTGTGTGCGTTGGGCCCTCAAACTCCTTCGCACTTCGAATGGCGATTGCGTCACAATGCAAAACGCTTATCGCTGCAGTTTGAGTACGAGTATCTTGTGGATACCCGCAACGCCCGGTTATCGGTGGGTGTAATTTTCTCACGGTTCAGTTTCTGTTTCTGTTTCGGTTGCTCGGACCTCTCCACTTGAATTGAATTGCGTTTGCACATTTGCCTTTTCGTGTTTTTATAGCTGCCTTTGCTGCTGCCTTTTCGCCAACACTTTTTTTGTGGGTGACTGCGATTACCGAGAGGAGGAAGAGTTCCCGGAGTCCCAGCACCTGGATAAATATCTTATCTTTCCCCGGTTTAAGTTTCCCTCGCTGCGTTTCTGCTTTCAGCGCCTCATATCACATATTAATTTGATTTCAGCTCTCGCCGCTCAAGTAGCGTGGGAAAGCTCTTCGCTTCGGGCGTTTGAAATGCGAATTGTTGTTCTGCACGATCGCCAAAACATCGCTATCAAGTGCTGAATTGTTTGTCCCCCGCAAAACCACTAAGCCGCAAATCTAGGCAGTGGGAAAAGTCAACAAAGCTCAAGGTTACGAGTTACTTAAATTAGGTCGAAGTATCGGAAGTTCTTTAGAGATAAAAACGCCAACGGGCTGCAATTTATTTATTGTAAGGGCGTGTGAACTTAATTGTGATTTACTTGTAGTTATGTTTACTTTGTATTTACCAACTGATAACTGAATTACTTAATATGATTTATCAGGCTTAAACGAAGCTTTAAAAATATTTCTAAAAATAAAAAAAACACGCAATGATGCGGAAACTATTAAAAGTGCTAAAAAAAAAAGAGATATTTTAAGTAAAATTGTACAGATTGTTAATACAGATAAAGATTTTAATTAAGTTTATCTCAAAATGACAGACATAGACATTAAAGACATACAATTTTGTTTAAGATCAAACTGAAAATTACCATTTGGATAGTAATTGTAGATAAAATAAAGATAGAATACCAAAAATGTATATAACCCCCAAATAACACTATATAATTCAGTCAATGATAGTTCCTATATGATTATTATTATATTAAATTTGTATATAAATTCTCGAAAAAAATATTTATTTACGCGGGAGAGCAATGGAGCTTATAATTTTCTCTATGCAAAACTCCAACGACAATCTAAACTAACCTTTCAGTTTTGTGTACACATTGCAAATGTAAATATTCGGCCCAAAAGTATACTTTAGTTCATTGAAATATCTTATCAGTACTGACCTTCTTAATGAATTACAAAATGCGTCTGCATTCGCTACCCAACAACCAGCTTATTTTCAAATTCAATTCACTGAAGTTATTTAAAAGACCATTTTGTTTGTTTTAATAGGTTTTTATTATTTTTTTTGTTGCCATTTTTTTGCTGCCCGGGGGGCAGCGGTTCTTTGTGTATCGGTAATTGGTATTTGGTAATTGGTAATTGGTAATATGTCATGATTATTGAAATAGGGCGTCGATAATGTACAGAGTAAATCAATGATAAAACAAAATAATTGAAGAACGAAGAACAAACTTCGGCTGCGTCCGTCTGTCTTGGCTTAGTTCGAGTAGGAACTAATTACGACTAAGTTGTTGTCAAAATCACTACGATACAAAATCGCTTCTACAAGAATTCTCTAAGTAACCTTAATGCCACGCCCACCCAATTCCACAGCTCGTCGGGGGCGTGGCATCGACTAAATCGAAATACTTTTGTTGTTTGGTTTGCAGTTAACCCGCCAAAAACGGGTTAATGGTATTAAATAGGTAAATATATATCAGGATATAACGGATCGGATCGGATCGGTGGAGGATTAAAGGACGGGTGGCGTGGGAGGGGTGGAGGTGGAGGTGGAGGGGGGGGTTTCAGAGTCCTAGAAAACTTTGGTTAGCCCTAAAATTAGTTAAAAACTTAACTTAGACATCCCTGTGCTTAGAAGAGTTTCATTAAAGACTACTTTAAATTAAATGATCGGTGGTCTCAGTGGCCGCCGCTGAACTCCTCGTGGAATTCGATGATGCTGACATAGGTTCCGGCCACGAAGCCCACCACGCCGAACAGTATCAGTCCGGAGTTCTTCCACAGCCGCCACTTGAAGCGTCCGAATCCGGGATCCTCGTGGTACACGGCCAACTCGATCACGGCCGGAACTATCATGCCCAGAGTACTCAGGCACACCGCTCCGATCAGCGAGATGAAGGGCCCCAAGTTCGGCAGGGCCACCGCGATTCCGCCGCACAGGATCTGGAAAAAATAGTAATAATAATTTTAAGAACTTCCTAAATACTCAGAGATTTTCTTAACCGAAATCTTACAGCATATTCTCATAAAATGCAATTTGCACATTAAATAACTTATTTATAAATATGATGAATTCAACTGCTAACGTTATAAAGTGCCGTTTGGGTCACCCTTGCATAAACCGCAATCAAAATTTAAATTTTATGAACTGATAAATTTAAATGCAGTTTCTTTAAAAATTTCATTAGAAATTTAAAAACATGGCACTTTAAAATTTAATTCAAATCGGAAAAATTTGGGTTAGTTTTGGCTCACCATTGCTTGACTAACCATGACCAAATAAAATATAAATCATAAACATTTAGACATATGACTTTTTAATTCCATTTAAAGTTAGAATAAATCTCTGAAAGTTATGTTTTGGGTCACTTTTGCAGAAACCGTCAAAAGAAAAGAAAGATCGGCCTAGAAAATCTTATAAAACTTACCACCAAGAACACACGAAGTCCGTACTCGCTGATGTTCTGTTTCTCCGGGCGGATCTTGTGCTCCAATCCCTTCCACAAAATCGTGACGGGGACGTAGAACTGCAGGGTGAAGGTGAAGAAGATGGCGATGGCAATCATCAGTTTAACGGATTGAGCCAACCTATAAGAATTAATATAGGTAAAAAAAGGAGCTTCAGAAGGACAAAGTATATAACCCACTTGTCTTCCAGGGGCAGATTCAACGTAATGCTGGCCTGAGTCTCAGGTCCGTACTTCAAGAAGCCGAAGAAGCCAACCAGAGTGTAGAGGGCAATCACCAGACCCATTCCCAGATTCAGCACCGACGGGCAGCCGATGAAGTGGCTGGGGTTCTTCATGTCGTTCTCCAGGGACATGACTACACCGATGCCCTCCAGAGCGAAGATCACGGTGCCGAAGAAGAGCGGCCACTCGGGCACGCCCACGATTCCGGGACGTTCCGTGGGGGCGGGAAGATCGGAGAACATGTAGATGAAGGTGATCACGATGCCCACGAACATCAGGATGTTGGCGATCATCGAGAAGGGCGTCAGGAACTTGAGGTTCCTCACCAGGCACATGAAGATCAGCGGCGCCGTCACGATCATGATCCAAACGCGGATGCTCAGTTCCGTTTCCATGTAGACGCGCACCACCTGCTCCACATTGGTGGCCACGAAGACCAGGTAGATGCAGCAGCAGCCCAGCAGATCGATCACCAGAAACGTGTTAACCATAAACCGGATGAAGCGGGACCAGCGGTTCAGGGACGGCGGTCCGTCGAGGAAGGCCTGCTCCGCCACGTCGGCGAATCCCATCATCGGGATCTTGCGTCTCCGGCAGAGGATGTGGGCGCACTTGACCAAGATGTGGACGCAGTACGTGCACAGGGTGCCCACCGCAAAGGTGGCCACCAGACCGAACCACAAGCCCGCGTGGGAGAAGGCCATCGGCATGGCCAATATGCCGGAGCCCAGCGATCCCTTCAGCAGGTGCACAAATGTCTCCAGGTCCCTGGGAAATTGTTTAAGAAATTATTACTAATTTGTTTCTAAGATGTGTGTATGTGAAGAATTAATTATTGCAAGGCTCAATTTTATAAGAAAAGTGTTATTATCTACAAGAAACCTTACAGTTTACAACATTAACTAGTAAAGCTATACTATTAATAAATTAAAATTAATTTAACCATATTTTCAGTTCAAAATTTCCCATTGATTTAAATATATAGGGCTTTTTCTATAAATACAGTAAAAATCACAAGCCTTTGAAAAATTCTAACAGCCTAACGATTCTTAGAAAATCGAATAAATTATACCCACTTATTTAGAAATAAAAACTTAGTGCCCTGTTTTAAATATATCCTTAAAAACAATTATTGCTTCCAACTTTAATAAATACTTATAAAAACCTTTTCCCTGTTTTAAGTAAGTATTCAAATAAATTCAGAATAAGTGAAATGGTAAGTACATAAAGTGTAGAAGCTTTTATTATCTCAATGCAGACACACAGATAAATAAATAGAGATCAGTTTGGCTTTGCCAAAAAAAATTCTAGAATAATATTGAGAGTGAGGTGGCGTAATGCACTTCTATAAATCCCGAATTTTGTTGAATGAGGGATTTTCCGGCAAACCAAATTCGTGACCTAGGGCTCCAATTAATCACTATAGTGTATATCTATAAGATTTTCGGCGCTGGTTAATAAATATTTTGGTGAGGTGTTGAAAACTGGGCAATCCTAGCCATTTTCCTCTCACGCAATTGCATTGCAAGGCCTGGCGGATGCGTTTTCCTCTCTCCCGAATGAAAATTCAGAGGGTGGAGAAGGAAAGGCGGGTTCCTCATTCCACATGCTAAACGAGACGAGCAAAACATTTGTCGGTGCATTCGTTTTATTAGCTCGTTCGCCCGAGATTTTCCTTAGCGGTTTTACTTATTTTTAGTTTGGAAAAAGTAGTTTGCCAAAACGTCCAAGGCCAATGTCAATACCATTGCATTTCCGTTTGTTTCGTTTTAGTCCGATGCAAAGTCAAAGTCTTCTGATCGGTTAAAGGTCAATGACGCGGGTGGGGGTTTATAATTAAGGGGATTAGTCATTGAGCGTTTAATGACTTGGATCAGCTGCTCATCCGGGTGCCAAAAGAAGAATGGGCGTTAGGGATCGAATTTACAAAAATACCTTATAAGTATAATGACTTAATATACCCTAAATGCAGAGCTGCTGCAAAAACCCTTAAAAGCTACATTATTTAAAATTTAATATGAAGTAATCCAAGTTCTATTCTAATGAATGTTTGTTAGAATTTTACAAAAGTAATAAAAGTTGTATCCTTTTTGATATTCCATAACCTCTTCAAACCAAACATTTTAAGTTTTTTATGTAAGGTATTTTAATATTCATTTAATCAGAGTAGTTTTAAATTTTACTTAATCTTTTTAGTTTGTAACTTGTATAGTAAATTGACATATCTCTGGTAGATCTGAGAAAATCCTTTGAGAGTATATCTTATGCATTCACATTCACACATTTTTGTATTTTGTGCAGATTTGTACGTAACAAAACTCAGTACTTACGATGTGGGATGCTCCACCTTGCGGTGCTCGAACGGATTGTAGTTGCCATCCTCGGAGTCGTCGCCTTTTTTCCGAGTGATCACCAACGGAAGCGTGGATCCCGCCGCCTGCTGGACGGGTACGTCGGCCATGTCCGAGCGGATGAACCTGTCCGAGGAGGAGTACATTTCAAACATGGTCGTGGAGGACTCGTTGTCGATGTTCTTGTACATCGCGATCGAGTTTCTATGGCCGCAACTTTCGAATAAATTCCGGAATCGAAGCAAACGTGGCCGCTGCCTGAGGCATCGACTAAACGAATGATTCGATTCCGTAGCCGTGGCCATAGAATCTCGGGTATGGGAATTACTCTCATACTTTTTTCGGGTTTTCCTTTTCCCAGACTTTTTAAGATCCGTAATACTCACTTGGGTTGCCCGCCTTTGCCGCCTTTGGGCTTCTCGTTTTCTCCGTAGCCCGCAGCGACCGTCGGGATTTTCTGCAACGAGAGGAAAAGCGGCCAGAAGGAAAAGCCGAAAATGAGTACGGATCGTGGCGAAAACTTATACGAAGACAAAGAGAGAGAGAAAGAGAGGAAGAGCTGACAAAAAATTTGCATAGTGGCAGCTAGTTATGTAAAAGCTCTTCGCCAGCTGCAGTGCGCAAAAAGAAGGCGCCAATGAATTGTGGCCCAAAAGCGGAAAGCAAAAAAAATACGCAAAAACAAGATCAATGAACAAGTTCAATGCAGTTTTATGACACAAACTAAATAGGTAGGTAATTTCGTTCATCCAGTGGCGGTAACAAGTGGCGTATGCGTGATATTCTCAGGGTCTTAGCCCTTTTTCGTGCGTTGCGTTCCCTTCGGCACCTGCTGATCCAAGGAGGTGGTCATCACACCGGATCCGCTGGTGGCCACCGGCGGCGGTCCGCCGCGCTTAAGGGACATCTTCAGCTTGTGCCGCGCCAAGGCGACGCCCGACGGATGCTGTTTCCGGCCAGAACCGGAACCGGAAATGGATCCTTTTGAGCCAGAGAAGCTGGAGAGGCTGAGCGATTGACCCTTCTCCGAGTTGCGGCGCGGCGGCAGCGGTGGCTTTCCCTTCGGCGCGTTCAGCTCGAGGTCTTCCAAGGTCATGCTGGTTGGACTTCCAGTTGGACGGCGGGCGGTGGGCGGCGGGCGTGCGTGGGGGTGGTGGTGGGTGGCGTCGGCGTGTGTGTGTGTGTGTGTTAGTGTTTGTGCCAAAATACAGCGGGGACGAATCTCAGCGCGTGACTCTGGCAAACGGCGACAAGCAACTGAATCAAGGCGGCCAGCCAGCGCTGTAATGACGGCGACAAACAAAACACCGCCCCATCGCCACCGCCACCGCCACCGCCAAATATCGAATCCAAGCCAATCCAACCCATCTACCTATCCACCCACATTTCATTTGGATTCTCTCTATAATTCTCTTAAGTGGGAGATCATACGTGTACTCGACACCCAGCAGGTTCACATTATTTACATTATTTGCATTATTTTCATTGCTTTCTTTGTTTTTTTGGGTGCAGCCTGCGGCATGACGTCACACCACAAAAAATGCCCTCTCTGCCACACGTGATATTTGCGCGGCAAATCAAGAAAGGGGCTAGCTGATGCTGAGACTTTTATATAAATTGTTTTTCAGCGCTTTCGAAAGCGGCACAACTAATGAGGAAACTGCGATTTTTATCTGCTTATTGCAACAAATACGTGCGAAAGGCACAGAAAATAATACAAAAGAAAACAGCATTTGTCTTAATTGTCCGTTTAATAGAACATTGTTTATGCTGATTAGTCTTGATTTTTTATTATTCTGTTTTTATATCGCAAAAACTCAGAGTGGCGCCATCTAGCGGAACGTAAGGCAAGTAACACTCACGCAAAGATCGTCATGTCGAATGTAGAGTAACGTCAAGTGTAGTTGACTGATCTTTAGTATGTCAATAATGTCAACAATATTTTACAACAATTTTATTCTTTTAATGTACATATGTAAACATATGTACATTTGAAAATTTAATTAAAAAGATTTCTATCAAATTTATTATACATTTAAGTATTTAACAGGAATTTTGTAAAAATTGGGTGGTAATTAAATGAACGGATTTATTTTAATTTACAAAAAAAAATATTTTAAAAAAATAGTAGTTCATCATGTATACAAAACTTAGAATTAAAAAATTATATATCTCAAAAAATCGTATTTGTTAAAGTATTGTTGTAGATTCAAAGATCTTTCTAAAATCAAATTAAAAGCAAAACAAAAAACCCCAGAAAGTCGAACCACGAAGCATTGAAGTTTTTAGTGCGCTTATTCACGCTTGATTGCCTCCCGCCGAGATTCGAATTTTGCCCAAACCAATTTTTGTGGGCAATTTGCCTACATTTGCAAAGAATTTAACATTCAGCCTCTTTTATTTCCGCTTCGGATAACATCAGCCCATCCACCCATATTTCGAACAGAAAGAATTCTTGCGAGTGCGCAGATGCAAAGGCAAATAAAAGCGCGCTGTTTGCTTGGAAAACAGAAAGTTGGAACTTGAAAATAGATAGCAAAATAATTAGACAGGTGCAGTGTCCACTAATTGCGACAAAGCGCCATTCAATCGCTCTCCCAAACAGCCAGTTATTCAATCTTCCAATAGCATGCCGTCTATTACAAAATGCTACTCAACTTCACTGAGTGCATGCAACGAAAAAAAGCTATTTAGGGGTCCTCTATCCCGAAACTAGAAAACTATTCTTTATACTATATATTGAATAAGTGCATAAGTAACACTTTTGCTTTCATAACTCTAAATCCATATTGCCATAAGTTTAAGTTTATACACATTTAAGTTACCCTATTCTTAAATGACAAACCATCAAATTAACGTTTTTGTTAAATGCTAAGGTACACTTAAGTTCATTTTAAACATTTTGATTTTGTTGAAATCTTTTTAAAAATTATACATAACTATTTATTGAAATTAGTATTAGTAGCTTTGATTGCAGATCATCAATATTTGTTGGTAGTTTTTAATTGCGTTTTCAATTATAGATCAATTAAAACCAGTATTTTCGAAATTTCCCCTTTACATTTTAAATAGGCAAACATATATTCTAATTAAATTTTTAAAAAGTTTACAGGTTGATTTTTTTCAGTGTAAGTGCATTGAGAGCGAACCCAAAATTACTTATTGCGTTGCACTTTTTTATTGCATTCTAATATTGTGAGTTTTGCGAACTGGCGAAAAAATAAACAGAAACGTGTCGATGGCAAAGAATGTAAACAGAGTTGGGGATAGGTTATTTTCCAGGGAGTGGGCAAAAGGGGGAGGGGCGTTGTAGCCCCTGAACATCGACACGTGTCGCTGCATCGACTCAGGTTCAGCAAAATTGAGTCAAGTGTGGTGGAAATGGCAGAGTGTGTGACAAATGGCAGCAAAAAATAAAAGAGGGAGCTGCATTGATAATGAGCGATTGATAAGAGCACAGGGAGAAAATACACCCTAATTACGATACACAATTATCATTACACTATTAATAATGTATTGTATACTGTTTAAAATATATCTAAAATATTGTTCTTTTTATCACCTTGAAAATGTTATCTATTGTATAGAATTTACAACATCTTTTACTGACATTCCCTAACGAAAACCAACTCAAACCAGAATCTGGTTAAAAGAATTCGGCCCAATTAGATAGTTATAAAACCGCTCCGACAAACAATTTTGCACGCGAAAGATAATGCGGCAAATAAATAGCCGCAAATCGATTTGCCGCTTTGCATTGCAGCCCAACACGAAATACCTATCTCCCAATTAGCCAAAGACAAACAATGCAATCATGAATGTTCTGCGAGAGTTTTGGTTATTTAATAATAGATACTAGTAGTTTCTGGAACTGCGCAAAAAACTTGTGTCAAGTCAATAGTCTTAATGGTGAAACGAAAACCTTAATAGCCAAACTACATCAGTCACTGTCATTCAGCGAAAAGCGTAGAATTTACGGCAGGTATTTCCCGATTTCCACGCTTCTCCCAGGCGATAACGATAAGTGAGCTCATTAATTGGGGGATCTTATCTCGGCACAAAAATCTCAGAATATTTACAGCACTTGTTGTGCCGCCGAGATTGTGTGACTAATCTGGAGAGGGTAACGCCTCCTTCCGGACATTAAATATTGTAGAGCTCACAATCCCCCACTTAACCGCCAAAATGACTAAGCCGGGCCAAGAAAAATGCGGCATTCTAAAGTGCACGGGCATTTCGTGTGCTTTCCTAATTAAAACTGTCAATAGTGGGGAATAAAAGCGAGTGCAGCCTTAACGAACTCCAAAGCTGCCCCAACCTGGCGTGCCATTGAACTTATGTAAGCGAAAAGTGGAAATGGAAGTGGAAACAGAAACAGAAACAGCAACACAAAACTGCAAAAAAAAAAAAAAAAACGAAATGAAAACGGCAAACGACAACAAATTGCAGTGGAAAATTTTTATATTTGTTTGCAAAATGTGAACGAAACACAAAAAAAGTGCAGTATGCTTTACTGCAAGCCGAGAACTAAACACTGGATTTGACATCAGGGGGAAATCACGTGGCCGGCCGAGGGTTCGGTTCCCCTGAAAATCGCCGGCAATCTGTCAATTAGAGATCTATTTATTCCCCCACATTTTCTGGGGAATGAGTAACACCCCCGGATTGCACCTATGGCGCCTGCAATTTCCGATTTGCGACAATTGCAGATAAGATATGGAACATGTTGCACTGCTCAGTGATCACCCCGAATCACGAGTGCCCTGAATTAAATAGATCAGTCGCATGATCGTGAGGGGGATACAATTGTCACTGCTAAATTAAAAGCCTTTCGTTCCATGGCATTTATAATTTGCAGTACATTTGGAAGATTGATTGTACGTACTGCATTGACCGATAAATGCAAAAAGAAATTACGATACGTACTGAAAACAAAGGGTTAAATGTTTTAACTATAGCTCGATTTAGGGATATTTAAATAACCTTTTAGAACTTAACATGAAATATAGTCTTTAAAGTTTGTTATGTAATAAGCAAGGTAACTAAAAGTCAGAACACCTTAAATGACCCATAAACGCAACTATAAATTTAAAGTGCCTCCAAGTATTTAAGAACATTGAGTATAAATAAAGGCTAATTGATAGATATTATTTATTGACCCATAAAAAATATGTAAATTATTTCCTTATATAATTTTAAATACCTGCAAATCATTCATTATAAATTATAAACATTTGTTAGAAACTCCTACAATACATTTATTTCATCTGAGAGAAGCTTTTTAAGACTTACTTCCGCAGTTCCTTACTAAACATTTAACTAAGATCGCTCAATAAATTATACTTAACAACATTTTTATTCCAGAAACTTCCTGCCCCAATTAAAAAATATTTATAAGTCTCGTGCATGATCGTTAGAAACAATTTGCAGTTCTATTAATATCATAGGACCATGCCGAACCGATCCAGTTAGATCGGCAATCATATAGTTTGAACCAAATAGCTCTGAAATCCATAAGAGCATAGAATGGATCGAATCGGATCGATCGACTGCCGATTTCCAGAACAGAGCTCGGCGATTGTTATTACCTGTGAAGGGGAGGGTACTTTGTAGTTCGGGTTTCAAGTGCAGGCTGACGCAATATGCAAGTAGAGTGACTCGAAACACCCCCCGCTGGGGAATCGAGAGCTATAGCCATATAGCCGCAGAGGTGCTCCCATTGGGCAAACACTCAGTGGAAAGTTACCGAGTGCGAAACCGAAAACCCCGAGCTCGAATTGGTGCCAGAACTTTACTTTTGCGCCAATTCAGCGAATTCCGTCGGGCACTTTTTTCCACTTTGGCGCTTGCGCAGCAGCCAAAAAATACAAATTTTCCATGAACTCGAAACCCCGAAATTCGCTGACACAGTGGGTAGACTTTGTACCGGCCATAACCGGTCGTCCGAATGCCCTACACTCCCATTGTGCCGAATTATCCATTGTGCCCAGGTTCAGGTCCCTGCAGACATAAAAGTGCAGCTCGGCGAGTGGAAAATTCCACTGGGTGCCCTGAAAATAGGCAGCAACCCAAGAAGCAACAACAACACTCGGGGAAAAGCGGGTGGAAAACTGTTTGGCCGGTTACTCATAACAACAAAACGATAAATGAGCAGGCGACCAAAAAAGGAAAGGAAAAAAGAAAAAGTGGAAAAAGAAAGAACCACCGAAATCATCCCCGAAATTAGACTTCAGTTTGTTATCAATCCAAACAAGCATTAGCCCACAGATTTGCATAAACAATCATTCAAACGAAAGTAAATATAGACCGTGGCAAGCGGCCATCGATCAATAAATAAACAAGGCATTAAAGGGTTAAGTCGGGGACTTTTGAGCCAAGTGCGCGAGAGGTGTCACATCACATGTCTGCGGTAAAAGCCTTTATGCCAAATAAATCAACGGAAAATTTTATCGTCCGCTGATGATATGCATAAATCTGAATTTGCAAGAAATCGAGGTGATATCATAGGGGGAATTATAATGGATATTGGGTTTCAAGGGAGGAAGTGGAAAATTTTGAAATTATACTAAAAATATAAGCGATATCAGGCATAATAAACAAAACTTGAATCAGAGCAGGATTTTACCAGTGAAATCATTACACGTATTGTTGAGTATATTAGTAATTAAAAAATTTAGAAAAAGAGGACATCTTTTTATTGAATAATATGTCCGAAATTGAATGCTAAAAATACTTTTTTATGCACTGTTTAGACTCACTTGCTACAACATGAAACTCCAAACATAGAAAGGGGGAGTTTTATAGAACTTTCTGGAAAGACATTTTCATGAAAAACATCTCAGCGAAAAACTTTCTATGCATAAGGCAACTTGCACTTCAGAATTTTCAATGAATCACTTCCCAGACATTAATATATTTTTCTCCGGATAAGAACAGGATTTTGGAGGGCAAGATAAAACCACTACTATTGGAAAATAAACAAGTTTTACTTACAGTGTACTCGGTGGGCGCCAGCGGCGTCCGCGAGTCGCTCTTATGGAAACTCATGGTTGTAACAATGGTAATCCTTGATTAGCCGATATCTTTGCGGATGCAGGATAGGGCCGTTGGGGGTTAGGTTTCGGATCCTGGTGCACGAAACCACACCGACACTCGACGATAATCGAGAATGGCCTCCAAGCACTTGTTACAGATACAAAACAGAATTAAATGGCAAATTTAATAGCAATGGTCGAGACTCGTCTTAAGGTGGGATTGGAGTTGGATTTGATAATAATAAATGCAATATTACTAATGCAACTTGCGAGCGAGACCGTGACCGGGATAACTGGGAATCGAATCGGAGATTTCAGTGGTTTCGAGTTCGAGTTCGAGTTGTTTTCAGATTCAATCAACCGCACGGTTTGACAAACAGAACAAGAATGCCAAACCTTAGCACGAAAACGGCGAGTAAAACCCTCGATTCCCAGACCGATTTCCCCGAAGAGAATAGTGATAGTCGAAAAGAGAGAGGGAGAGAGCAAGAGCAAGGGAGAAAGAGAGAGCCGGAGAGAAAGAACTCGTTAGCAAGCATTTGCCGTTATTCGACGGACGATTCAAACACCGCTTTTACCCCGATTTTACCCCGATTTTTCTGATATATCTCCCATTTTGCGGGTTTCCTTGGGATCGAAAAAGGAAACTTGCCGCAGCTTTTTTTGGCCCACAGGTCGGCTACTGAATCAGTTCCGCTGGAAAAGCTAGGCGCTGATTTGTAAGGCAAGTGCGTCACTGGTTACAAATAATATATCGTTCAAGATAAAGTAGCAGAGCGAGAACGTAACATTAAAATAATTTAATGACTCACTGTACAAATCAATTTTATACGGGCTTGCTTGTAAAGTTTATTGTTTAAAAAAGTGTGAGTACAATAATTATTTTTATTATTTAAAAAAAAAATTCCAAGCCCAAAATAAATAATTTAATTTATGGTTATGCAATAGTTGTTAGTATCACAAAATTAAAGCTAATATAAGTATAATAGATTAATTTAAAATTTAAAAGATTGTTTTTGTTTCTGTAGAAAGCAGTCTAAGTTCTATTTTTAAATTCCATGATACACAATACAAACATAATAAATGCATAAGAATGTGTAACATTTTTATGAATAAAATTTACACAATACAAATATAATAAATGCATAATAATGTGTAACATTTTTATGAATAAAATTTGCAATAAATAATAATGCAAAACCCAGTGATGACAAATTTGACTACTAATTCTTTTCCGTGCCCGCGTTCATATGAATCAGTTTTCCAAAGCTCAATCATGGCAGATAAGACCAGATAACCGACGGCTGGGAAAACTGGCATAGCCATATAATTAATTAGCGATATCGTGCAGATAAAATTCGCATATGACGACGGCACGACGATCCCATTTGGACTGCCTCAATTGGCCGCCAATTGAAACGTGTGACCTCCATGTGAGGATCGAAAAATTGATTGAGACCGAAATCGATTGCCAAAAATACTTGTCAAGGGCTCAGAGATCGGGAAAAGAACAGACAGAAGTGTGGATCAGTCATTTGCTAAAATTAAAATCAATTTGATTTCTGCGTCGCATTTATTTATGGGTAACTCGAAACGTGCGCCAACTGCACGTCTCAGACTTTGGATAAAATTTCTTCGGCCTGGGGAAACCAGTTCAAAGCGGTTAAATTCCTTGCCAATTTTAAGAGTGGAAAATTTTACGATTTTCTGCAATTGTTTGTTCTAGTTGTCAGTTAAACTTGAACGACTTCTGGGCTAAATTGAATACAGCGAGGGATTAGATTGAAGGCACCTTGGATTTAAGACCTGGCCTTGCAACTTGAATCAAAACATAATTGAAAATTAATTTATTCATGTGGCAAAGGTGATATATCAATTAGAAAGACATGGCAATTGATTCAAAAGGGGATGGTTCCGTTTTCAAAAAGTAACTGCCAGGAAATCGGATATGAAAAGTACTGTCTACTTTTAGGACTTTTGAAAAGTAGCGCCACCTTTCGGGAGTCAGCAAATGTTGAGGCTTACAAACAGCCAACAGGTGGCGCCTTTGTGCTTTCCTTCTGCTGGCATTGCTCATACGCCCCGCAAACCAACTTAATTTAGCTGAAAACTGGGTTTATTTTTCGCGAGAAAAGCCACTCCTTAATTTATGTGACCTCTGCTGCCGATCACCGCGGATTTAGCTACTTAACTTATAGATAAACATAAAAATAACAAGTGCAGCTTTCTCGACGAAATCAGAATCAAGTCGTACTTGAGCGCTAATTTAAGGCAATCTGAATCTCCGCCTGCTGACGGGTGTGTTATTTAAGCAATTTGCATATTCAAAAGCCAAAACGCACCCTGGAATTGGACTGGCAAACGGGTTTCGGGCAAGACAAAGAGATATTGACCGTAATTGTTTGCCATAAAAGCACTCAAAACCGGCAAAATGCAGCCTCATCAGAAAGCGGAACGCGAAGAAAGAATTGGGTATTACCTAAGTCACACACTCCTTCAATTGATATTCAAGGCACATATTATATATTCAATGTAAACACAGCACACAGTTCATCACTCAACGGGCGTAAATCCTTGAGCCATTCACAAAAAAACACTTGCCGCAAAAAACCCCCAAACAAGTCAGCTTAAAATGCGATCGAGCTGAGGTTGTTGACTTTGAATGTCAAGTCAATTCATTAATTTCAGCAACAGCTGTTGAAGATGCATCGCTGGGACTATTCGCACAACACTTTAGATTCCACAGGTATAATCTTTAAAAATGCTCACCTTTTAAGGATAGTTTTTCCCTTGGTTTAGCTAATATTTAAGTAGGCACGACCAACGCACTTAGATTCAGAACTCCAACTAACTGTCTTGACAAACTTCAGCTGCCAAGAAACCACTTGGCTGTCCGAAACGGATAAGACTTTCCTATCTGGATTGGTGTATCCGCAAGAAGCTTGAAATAAATTCAGGGCCGGGGTACAAAGTATCTATCCACCTGGCCGCTCAATGACGCTATAACTCATTAATTCTAGTCTGCAGATAGCAAGATCTGAGGGCCCGCTTCCCACTAAAAAATGCAAGCATATAAATTTAATTTAATTTAATTTCCGTGTATTTCAGATTAGACCATGCAAAAATAGCCTTTCAACCGATAAGTTCGATAAGCAGTTCGAACAATTTTAGATATTTTTATAAATACAAAATGGGGTAGTAGAATCACCCTATGAGTGACTCACTGGCCCCGCCTTTTCGTCACGAAACCAGGAAGGCTTTTCAAAAGCAGATCAAACTGGGAAACAGTATTATAATAGACGGTCTAAAGCAATCTCCCACCCATTCAGCTATCTCCACGCGCTTAACTAATGAGCACTTAGGTGTAATTACACTTGCTGCCACTGTCGATTCTATCATTCTGCGCTGATCCACTCCATAGAACAGTCACTCTTAGGTAACATTCACTTAATGACTGCCCATCCTAAACGGTTCGGAGGCTTACCAAAATCCGAAAGCAAACAGGGGAGCTCCCGATAAGGTCGCCCTAATATCACCCGGCTTGTTTGCACTCGCCTAATTGCAATCTCAAGTGATATACGGTGGCGAGGCAGACATAAAAACCAATTACTTTGTTGTTTCCCACCGACGAACTCAATTGTGTGAACTTCGACGTGTTATTTTGATTTCCTATGATTTATTTTCGATTTATCTCAGGTTTATCTGTGATTTATCTGAGATTTATCTGTGATTTACAATCATATTTCGAAGGCTATGACCGAATTTAACTTTGATTGATTATAATTAATACTTGAAGCATGATATCGGTAAAAGTACGATTTTCACATCTTATTTGAACCGCTTGGCTGCGTTTATAGGTTTATACTATTACGATTTTTTGCTAGTCATTTCTATTTGATTATTGATATCAGTAGTAAAAAATTCTATGTAAGGAACATGACTGGAACTTGGAATTTCATTGATTTATCAGTATCAATATACTGCAATAAAGTCTTTAATATGTGTATTTAATACATTGTTAATGAAACAAAAATTGTATATTATTTTACATATATATATTTTCAATTTTTATTATTTTTAATATATATGCTCAAATTACTATATATTACAAAGAATATAATTTTTGAAATGCCTTTTTTAATGATGATAAGGTAGATTAAAATTTAATGTAAACAATTTCGCTTCCAATTTAAAACTCATTTTCTGTGACCAACTTGAACACATATAATTATCGCCTTGAACCATGATTTATCCACTATATTAGCCACTATTATTATAGAATTTATCCGCGATTCACACTTGATTTTGGCCCAATTTTTGATGACCGCAACCGAATTCCGCGCTAATCTCGATCGATTGTGGCAATCAGGTAATCGGATGGGAAACACTCTCGGATATACAACGCTTACGAGGCACTTACAGTATCGCTTGCTCCACCCGATCCGCTAATCACGGCCAGCGTCATTATTCCAATAAAAATCGAACTGAAAGACAATTAAATCGAGTATACGCCGCGTTCGCCGACGGAGTTGTTTGTAGAGCGATTGGCGGGCACAGAATAAAAGCGCGAGTCTGACCAGACATTCGTTTTAAAACAAAAGTTAACAGTCGGCAGTGGAGTGAGCCTCTATCTCGATCCCAAAGCTCTCGGAACTTGCTCGAGTACCGCCGTAACCCCTCGATCTCTCCGTGAAACATTCGCACTTGGCAATGGCACTGGTTAAGCATGAACATTAACATTGAGTCAGTCAAAAGCCTGAGATTGGGTAATTGGCGGTTTTCGGGTTGGTGGGTGGAGTACTCGCTTTTTAGACTCTTTTATTGCAATTCCACAGACTCGAAACAGACAGCAGAACGTGAGAATTAACTCAGAACCGGAGACAGCCGACATATGTCGGCCGATAAAGATGTCGGCGATCTATCTGGTAGGCCAGTGCACACGCAGTACTTGGAGTGCTTATCGCCAAGATAAACCCAGCATAAAGGGGCAGTTCTATTTCGGTTTAGTCTACACTTCCAACAGAGGCTACTATAGCTTGGGGCGAGTTAACCCTTTAGTGCCTGTTTGCAGTTCAAAAGTGGGACAACAAGAAATTACATTCGTAGCGGTATGCATTCAATTTGTTAGAAACTATTTAAACTACAAACTAACATTAATGCTATTAAAATAATACATTTTCATTAGGCTTTAAAAAAAATCATTTTCATTTAGCAAAGTTATTTTGTAAAGTTTCCCTTCAATTATTAAAAGCTCTTTTAAAATAATAATTTGAAAATAAAATAAAACCATTTTGATTTACAACCGTTTTTATTGAAAATCTATTTAATATACGTGAGCTTTGAAAAACGTTAATAAATCAAGTTAACAACAACGTAATAGGAAAACAGCAAAAAATGTCTAGCTTTGTACAAAAAATCATAATCTTGATTTTTTATTTAAAGCTGTAGGAACATTTTTTATAGTATGTTTTAACAAAAAAATTCGTACTAAAAAAGATTTATACATCAGGGAAAACTGCACACTACTTAAAAAATCAAGTAGTTAAAACTAACATCCCTGATGTTTAAGCTTTCTGTTTACTACCTTGTTTAAAGCTCCTAATATTCATTATAAAATATTAAGTATATTTCTTAGGCAGTTTTCAGGCAAAGGACGGATTTTGAAGGACTAAACCTACTTGGAACTTGATGGCACTTACGTTCTCTGCTGTCGACATGGCTGAAAGCGAAATATCCAGGATAAACGCAGACCTTGCACCACGAACCTTTCGCCCTGACCAAGCCGGGACCAACTGAACCGATCGGACCCGTGGGTCATCCGATGGTAAGCTCTTTGCACGCAGCTGTGGAAACTGTGTCACCCTCAATTCGAACTTCCTTCGGCGAGGCAAAGCGAAATGAAACGAAACGAAACGAGTCGAGCCAACCCCAATATAATAATAATAAATCAGCACTCATCAGCGGCGCAGAGGTGTCCCAAATGGGATTCGCTCTTTGGTGCGCAATTCTCCGTGATTAAGCCAACGCATAGTGCCTAAAACTGTTTAGAGCCTCAATTTGAGAATAACAAAGCAATTTTTCAATTTAGCCTCCACAAATTTACACGCTGCCATGATATATGGGTGGGCAGAACCCGCTCTATATTGTGAACGCTTCAATCTGTAAAATGTGAAAGTAAAAGTCGGGGAAATTGGCGAGGCCAAAGGGCACTCGACCACCTGACCCACACCCAGCCGAGTGTGATATCGGATCAACAGGGAAATGGAACCGTCAATGTGAGTGGGAATGGTAAAGAGATCTGTGGACCAGCGGCACGTGTTCTTTGTTGTGTGACACCAAACAGGGCAGCGCAAGTTCAGGGCGAAATCAATTTTCCCTTGCCCGTATTATTATGTGACTCCCGGCACAACAGCTGTTAACGCTATGCGATGCACTGGCAAAAATATCGATAGGCAATATTGAGATTTTACAAGATATAATTTAAATTTATTTAGATAAATGTTCTAATTATATACAACTCACCGTATGAACTTAAAGAATATCATGCAGTAACGACTTAACAATCATTATTACTTTTATGATTATTTTGTTTTACCGAAAATGTTTTCCTTTTATCTAATATATTAATATTATTAATTGGGAAAGTTTAGTTAAGCTTAAAAAATATATTTTAAAAAATTTACCAAAATGTACCACAATAAAATTTTAATTTTTATGTAATTTAAATTTATGACTTTAAACTAAAAATATTAGTAATTCAATATTGGCTCACAAAAACTTTATTATAAATTTATTTATAATATTACATATAAAAATATTATTGATAAAGAAATTATAAATATAGTGTGCTTATAATTTCAGTTCCCACTGTAGCTTTAATAATCCACATATTAAACAGAAATTAAGCCAAAGTGCTTTTGTGTATTTTTACACCTAATCAGATGAAATTCGCATGCAATTATCACACGGTAATTTCATATTTAAGCACAAATGTTTTTGCACTGCCTGATCAGATTGGAAATGTGTCATTTTCACAATGGTTTTTAAATTCAAATGCTAAAAGCTGAGAGCTTTTTCATCCACTCAATTAAACTAATGTTTTCACCTCGTAGCTATCCGACAACAACATATCATCATGGTAGTTTTCCTTGATCGGCTGATAAACCAGGTTATAATGCAAACACAGAACATATTAACATATATGATTATGGAGGTGCGAATTGCCGGCAATTCAGGGAAAAATTAACACGGCGGGCTTAATTGTCGCCAGCCATTGATCGCAATCGCTTAACCAACAAGCTGTTAACATTTTAGAGTGGAATCTCCAACGTCATTCGAAAGAAGAAATGCGCAAATAAAATTGGCGAATTTGGAACCAGATAACTTCGGGCTTACCCGGGCGTCATAGCCAAAGTCAAGATTGGCTAGACGAAAGACTACGTCAGAGATTGGTTAGCTGGCAACCGGTTTTATTGATATCCATAGCCAGCATATCGGGTAACCGATATAAGCTCCACTGAGGGATAACCGGGTAAATCACCCAGGCAAACGCGGCGTATGCGCAATGCAGATGAATTAATAAAACGCAGGAAGGCAGGCACGCGGCCACCGATCGATCGAAATTTCATTTGGCCAAGTTAACAGCCTGTCGCAGAACGATCCCCCTCTCAGTCTCCATCTCTCTCGCAAATCTGCAAAACCAGTTGACTGGCGCTGAGAAAGTGCATTAAGCCATCGCGATTCATACAGCCTGCGAGAAAAAAACATGTTAATTGCCAGTCGATTGAAGTGTCTTGCACTGCCTGCAATGGACCGCAGTAGTTGTTACTGGTTACTGGTTCTTTTGGCCGTCTTGCCATAAGCCAGACAATGACCGGGCCAAATATTTGGCAACGTCTTTTGGCCAAGACGGCAAAAGTGGCCCACGGCGCTTGGGGATTGGGCGGGAAAAAGGCGGCAGGAGCATCTGAAGCGCAGGCCTTGATGATCGTTACATGAAAACATGAAAACAAGTTGGGTGACAGTCGATAAAGCGATCGCTTGCAGTTTAACGATAATGTTTGGGAACAGCGAAAGCTGGTTAGGGAAGAGCTCCAGATTCCCATCGAAGGAACATGGTTTATAGCAAAGGGTTCGGCAACAAAAAAATGGAAACTGATCAACATTTAAGATATAACACAAATAAGAAATAATAAATAATGAAAATATTAAGTAATAAAGCAACTATTATTATTATTATTATTATTATTATTATTATTATTATAACTAGTTCACATAACACTATTTTCAAGATGAATAAGCTAGTTCTTTAGTCAACTAAATAAATACAGGCTTTCCAACTATTAAGTCTAGAAATTACTGGCAACTCAGGATTTCCAGCACGGAAAATACACTTGGTAGTAAGCCAAATTATTATCGCAAATATTATTAGACCATGTTGGCTAACTAATTAGTAATAATAGAGAAACAGTCTGGAATTCTAGGAATAATAAACGTTATATAGTGGAGTAAATATTTTATACATATTCGAATAGTTTTACAAACAATAGATGTCTAGGATAAAACAAAAATAAGTGTGACAATTCACTCTAAAAAATGTGTTACAGCTGTCCAAAGTCAATTTTTCTGTAATTGTTGCCTTTTTATAAAATTCGTAATGAAAGAAAGGATTTTAATTTTAAAAGAAAGGCCTACTAATATTATATTTAATATATTATATTTCCTAAAACAACAATGAGGATTAAATAAAATAAGATGACAAAATAAAGACCTAAGTCTGTGACAACCAGAAGAAATATTTTGTGACTTAAGGAAAAACTAAAGTTGAGTTTAAACCTAAAAGGATCCCCAAAACTGAGTCCAGAAACCTTCGTGAGCCTTGCTATATACACCAATTGATCAGATTGACATAAAAAAGCCCCTCTTCCCACCGAGCGCTGTGAATTCTGCGACAGTCGACAAATTTGTGCGAGATGTTTCCTTGTGTGGCGGGAATGTCGGTGTGAAAAGCGGTGTGTGTGGGTATCGTGCAACGTTTCGCGCGATGCTTAAAACTGGTGACCCACGTTGGGTCTGATTTAGTCGTTAACGCGCGGCCAACACGATCACATCGCAGATCCATCCGACCAACTATACATGATCGCACAGCATAGCATAGCATAGTATAGTATATAGCCCATAGCCTAGTGAAACAAGTGCGCGGCGGTACGGGTTCTGCGTTGATTTAGATTTATGTTTTGATTTTTCGCCGTTTCTGTCAACGACTGTTTCGGTTAATTGCCAGTTGTTCAAAGGTTTTGTCAACCTCCGTTTTCGATTATCCAACGAATTTCTTTGGCAGTTTTGGATATACCCAGCACAAAGCAATCAGCATTCATTCCCGTTGAAAAGAAGCGTTTTGTAAACCTACAACGGTAAGCGAACGATCCATATTTTCGTTTTGTTTCATTATTTTGGGGCTAATTAGCCAGCGGAAGTCGCGACGCGCAACTTTTGCGAATTAGTAAGTCGGGCATGAGTGCACAGATCGTTGAGTTCCGTTTAGCTAAGTTAAGTGAACTAACCCCCCAATTAATTGCAGTTAAATTTAGCCAGCGACGCGCATCAAACGCCTGACGCAAATTATCGATCGATTGCCCAAAAATAGATCCGAAAAAGTGCAAAGAGTAGTTCTTTTCCTTAAAATGTAAATCTCAAATGAGTTAAGTTATTTTGAAAGGCTTATATGCTTTGTTAGCAAACATAATTTCTATTTATATCAAAGATAAGACCACAGTATTTTATGAAATGATCTTCTTGAAGATAACTTCAGCTATTTACAATGGTTTAAAATACATTTATTAGCAAAAACACCATATTTCTTTTGTCTTTAGGATAAGATTGGCAGTGTCTTAAAGTATAAACCTCTTTAAACAACATTTACTAAGAAGACGAACAAACATTTATTTTTGAAATTTAAACTTATTTCTTAAGATACACTTAATGAAGTAAATATAAGAAATCATTCTGTACCAACGTGCGTATTTATCTTAAAGATATAACCATCTGTGAAACAATTTCAAGTCTTTCTACAATATTTACAATGCAGTGCTATAAATCCATCGAACAGTATTTGTTTTAAAAGGAGACTTGTGTGATAAGCAGCATAGAAATGTGATAAAAAAACAAACCTTTCAACCCACATCACTCATACGTCAGGTTGGCCAAGCTAATGTGTTGCCAAACAAAGATCAGTGACTTTTCTGGCATTTGCACACCCCTGAGTAAAAAAGTTTACTAAGCAAGGTATTCTTAAATATGATTACCAGTTGCATTAGCATTTAAGTGCAAAATTAAATATAATGAAAAACCAATCAAAATATCCAAAACTTATGAGCGACTGGTATTAATCTAAAGCCAAACCTAATAATTGTAATTTTTCTTAAAGGTTAATTGAGTATATTACCATAAAAGTTAATGCTGTGAAATAAAAATTTAAAAAAACAATACCCATTTGCCTAATTGGAAATTTTAATGAACTGAAAATATCTCTTTAACGCTCTCAAATTCTCCAAAAATTAATATTACGAAATGAAAATTGTATTTTAGTCGATTTTATTTGATTTTTCCCTAAAATAATGAGTTCAACTGGCCTGTGTAAAAATGGAATCATATCAACCTCACTTGTTTTTCACCTTTAAAAGCTCTATTTAATTATCGGTTCGCGTGGAAAATTTCATTAAAAACTAGCAGTTGGCAGTTGCACCACCACATTGGCAGCTTGAAAACAGTTGGACAACCCAACTTTTCCACCTGCTCGGAATGTTTCGAGTGCCAAGAACTTTTCCACTCCAAAATTCACTGTCAGTGGGGCCAAGCCAAACGGTCGAAAAACTTCAGTTTTCGATAACGAAATGATTAAGCGGAGCAAGGCCGACGGCTTTTATAAGCCAGCGAGTAAGAAGTCGTTTTGGGCCAGGCCAAGATTCCACTGCCAACCAGAAAGCTGCTGCTGACAATTGAAATTTGTATTCCGCGGCGGCGAGTCGAGTGCTGCAAACCGCTAAGGCCAAGCTGTTTGGCCTGGCTCATTGAACTTGGCTAACTCTCGATAGTCTAGACGGCAAAAGCCCACAACACCACCAGTGAGTAAATAATAACAAAATAAAAGGCAAAACAAAAAAAAAAAACAAACCGCCGGGAGAGTCGCGTGCTGCTTTCAATTGATATTCCACTGACGTTCACGTGAACAAAATGCCAGCGATTCATGGGGAATTCTTGGCTCAGCTTAATATTTGAAAAATATTTTTAGACAGCTGCAAAAACAAAGCAAAATAAAGCAAATAGAAAGGAAAAGGGTCTCTAAATCATCTGTACACACGTCAAAACAGATTGGCGAATTGCAAATCGGCAGAGTCACATAAAATTAATTTATTAGTCTGATGCGAACGGGTATAACAATCCAGTTAAAACCGCCTGCACTTCATTAGTAAAACAAACTGTTGGGGTTTGCTTTGTTTTGTTTGGGCATAGTTGAAAATAAATTATGGAAATTATTTCTGCGAATTCTGTTTTGTGTGGAGTTTAGCCTTTGTCTATTTTTGGTGGTGATCCGATGCGTTTAAAAAGCGTAAGCCGGAATTAGACTATTGGAAAGTTATCAATAGGTTTCAGTCATTGAAGAAGAATTTTAAATATATTATTTAAGAATGATAATAAAGCGTTTTCCCATGAAAATTTGTTTAAATAAACCTATTATCTGAAATTGCTCGTTGTCATTCAACAATATCAATTTGTTAATAAACTACTTTAAAAGTTTTCCTCTAAAATGTGTATTACTCATACGTATTGTATTATACTAATTGATAGTATGTAGTTTTAGTGAATGATCTTCTATATCGTTTTATAGCACCTCTGGGAATCTTAGAATTTCTCACAAAATCATTATAAATGCAATGTATTCCAGTCAGACATAAATTATTTTGCATGGTTTTTCCCATGTAGAAACATTACTCATGCGTTCCCAAAAGACAATTTGGTATAATGGCTGTCAAGAGCTCCCCGGAGATCGGCTAATGACTTCCGCATATCTCAGACTTTGTAAGTGGCACAGAAAAGCCGCCGTACTTGAGATTATGCAGAGAGTCATTCAGGTTCTCGATCAGGTCTGGGTGGTTTATAAGGAAGAAGAACCAAAACCCGACTTGCATGCGATAACATAACATATAGCATCTGATCTGCAGATATTATCATGAGGACAATTGCAAGAGACACGCTAAAAACCACGAAGATTGAGAACCGGAAAAGTTGGCGTAATTTGCCAAAATTTCCATATCTCTCCGGCAGATGAGATTATCTTAACTGAAAGCCGTAAAATCTCAAATTGCCCGTTGTCACAAAGATACATATTTTCTAATTAAGCATGGGCTGAGATATGTCTACATTAAGGGGAGGAAAACAGGAGGCGGAGCGATTAGGGCGGACAACAAAGTCCGATTCTACAGACAAGTGACACTAAAATTGGCCTTTGTTATTCTATCGTTCTATTTTAGCACGTCTCAAAACACCGCACGAAATGCCAGGTACTCGCAATACCCTTAAATTCGGAATTCGGAGGGGAATGAACGAGGCAGTCGCTTTTGAATCGGGGCAACGCTTCGCTAGCACTGAACTTGACATTGCCGAGGTCTGCTTTCAATTTAGAAATATGTCAGCGGCACAGACTATTTTCAGAGCACCGTGCACAGAACACCGTGCACATCACGCACTTGTTGCGCCACAAATGCATTTACGGATGCAGATTTAGATGGGGATACAGAATTTAAAGAGTCACTGAGGAAGATTGATCTGAAAGAGATTTAATAAAAAATTCGTAAAAGTATTTTGTTTAAATATATATTTGATTTTTTACAATTAGTATAAGATCTAAAAATTTTAATATACCTACTTAGTACATTAAAAAGAATTAAATAAAATAAAAGTTTAAAGTTATTTTTGGTAAACTCAAAAGATTATTTTTTTAATTGATAGTAACATTAAATTGTTTTTGAAATATGTATTTAAATGAGTTAATTTAATGTAAAAAAAATAAAGTTAACTGAACTAAAATATTTTATTATTTATTTATTTTTATTTATTTTAACAAAATTAGATATAGTATACAATACTAAATCTAATGGATTTCTTAAAAGAGTACTAGATGCTATGGCCTACGACTCAAAATATTTTATTGTTTATTAATCCAAAATAAATTTGGCATTTTCGCAATATACTAAACTAATTTAAAAAGCAACTGATTTTGCTTAATTTTGAAAAGCAAAAGGTCACAAAAAAAGTGATAGTGTATTTTAAATTGTTCAGCTAAAGACATTTATGTTAATCAAATTGGTTTATTGTGGATGATGCAAAACTAATATAATATAATTCTTGTAGACCATCAATTACATTTTCGTTTCTATTTTACAGCCATGTCTAAGAATGGACACAGCAATGCGGCTTATGTCAGCGAACATGCAGACAAATTGGAACTGGCCGAGAAGGGTCAGAAGAACAAGGCCATAGTGGCCAAGGATCCCGACTACAATCCTTACCATCATCGCGATGTGGAGCACCCCACAACGTAAGTTTTAAAACTTTTAAAGGAAATATTTACCTAATTAATAAATGTAACATTCATAGGAACTCTGAGACTCTGTTCCATTTGCTGAAGGGCTCACTGGGAACTGGAATTCTGGCCATGCCAAATGCTTTTCGTAACTCGGGCTATGTCACGGGAGCCATTGGAACAATTGTGATTGGTTTTATTTGCACCTTTTGCATCCACCAGCTGGTCAAAGCGCAATACGAACTCTGTCGCAGAAAGAAGGTTAGTTTGAAATAGCTTAAACTATATATTCTTTTTATTTATAAAATACATTTTTTTACAGATGCCCAGCATGAACTATCCAATGGTGGCGGAAACTGCCATGGGAGAAGGTCCAAAGTTCTTCCGGTTTTTCGCTCCATACATTGGCACCGTGGTTAATACTTTCCTGCTGATTTATCAACTGGGCACTTGTTGCGTGTATGTGGTTTTCGTGGCCTCCAACATCAAGTCGATTGTGGATGCAGTGGCTGATACCAATATCGATGTGCGACTCTGCATGATCATCATCCTGTTGCCATTGATCCTTATCAACTGGGTGCGCAATCTGAAGTACCTGGCTCCGTTTTCCACGCTGGCCAACGCAATCACCATGGTTTCCTTCGGCATTATCTGTTACTATATCTTCCGGGAACCCGTCACCACGGAGGGCAAGGATGCCTTCGGAAAGCCCTCGAATTTCCCGCTTTTCTTCGGCACAGTTTTGTTTGCCCTGGAAGCTATTGGTGTAATACTTCCCCTGGAGAACGAAATGAAGACCCCGCAGAAATTCGGTGGCAGCTGTGGAGTCCTCAATGTATCCATGGTGCTCATTGTATTCCTGTACGTGGGCATGGGTCTCTTTGGTTATCTCAACTATGGATCCGCGGTTCTGGGTTCCATTACTCTTAACATGCCGGAACATGAGGTGTAAGTTAATTGATAAGTAGTTATGTGATTATCCTGTGCTTAATGGAACTTACTTTTAGTCTCTCCATGTGCGTCAAGGGAATGCTGGCCTTCGCCATCTATATCACCCATGGACTTGCCTGTTATGTGGCAATCGATATCACATGGAACGATTACGTGGCCAAACGTCTGGGCTCAGAACGCAATGCTCTGTTCTGGGAGTATGCTGTGAGAACTATCCTTGTCCTGATCACTTGTAAGTTTTAGTCTTAATTTGTCATGGAAATGTTTATAGATAACAAGGCTGTTTAAGATGTTGGTTGCATATGATTTTGATCACCACTACTTTTGAATTTGTTAATAGCGAAAAAAACTTTACAGTCAAAGCATTATAAAATGAGATTTACTATCCACACGAAGCCCTTAAAAGGATACCTAACTTTTGTTCACATTTTAAATTATTATTTAATATTCCCCTATTTCTCCATAGTCCTCCTGGCTGTGGCCATTCCCAATCTGGAGCTGTTCATCTCCCTATTTGGAGCTCTGTGTCTCTCTGCTTTGGGTCTAGCTTTTCCAGCTCTCATCCAGATCTGCACGCATTGGTACCAGACCAAGGGAGTCGGAAAGGCCTGGCTAATCCTGAGTGAGTTCACCTATAGAATACCCACCAATATCTTTACTATAATCACTATTCCTAACAGGCAACTTTGTGCTCATCATTGTGGGCATCCTGGGCCTCGTAATCGGCACGTATACCTCACTCAAGGAAATTGTGCTGACCTTCTCCGAATAGTCAACATATTAGTTAAAGCAAATCAGCCAGTGGGCATTCCAATTCAAGCGAAAGTATTATGAGCAATCGAAAGATATTGAAATCGGTAGACATTCGCATCGCAGCACAAATGACAAGGTACAGATGCAGATACAACTAATGATGTAGATACAGTTGAGCTAAGGTCTGCTGTACAAGTGTAAACTTCTTCTCCGAACTATTTTGTTGTGTATTTGTATAGAATTTATCAGATTTGTGATATTTTTAAGCATCGTGCCCAAGAATCTGTACAACAATTGTGTGTATATCATATATCTCTTTATATAGTAGATAACATCTTTATAAGTAGTTTAGTGCCAAGTCACATCTTGATAAGTCATATTTAAAGTACGATAGCAGTTATGACCAATACAATATTTTGCCATATTAAGATACTTCGTTGGGGATCTCTTGGGTGGCTATATATTCCTTGAGTGCGTGACAGAGTCTTCTGGCTCCTTCCACCAACTTTTCCTTGGGATAGAAGGCGATGGACAACCGGAAGAACTGCTTACCACTTTGGCCGTCGGCTGAGAATCGTGTTCCCGGTATAAAAAAGATTTTCTGATGCTCCAGGCAGTATTTTAGAAACTCCCGGGAATCCAGGTGATCAGGGATTCGCACCCAGATAAAGTATCCTCCCGTGGGGCTGACCAACTTGCAGCCCTTGGGCAAGTCATCTCGGAGAACTTGCGTGGTGGCTAACATTCGTTCCTTGTAGGCCTCATAAAAGACAGCAATCTGCTTTTGAGCCAACTTCAGTTCAAAGAGACTTCCCACGATCTCTGAAGTGTAGTTGTTAAAGCATCCACCGCTGTTTGCAAAGCCACATCCATCAAGAATCGGTTTTAGACGCGGCGGAACCTCCAACCAACCTACACGAACTCCTGGACCCAGAATCTTGGAGAAACTGGAATTGGAAATGACATGGCCGGCAAAGTCTGGGTCATTTCTATCATCGTAGGACATTAGGCGGCAGTGGGTGGGCTTTTCGCCGTAGTGAAGAATGTTATATACATCATCACAGACCACCAGGAAGTCGAACTTACGGGCCAGCTGCACAATTCCACGGCAGACCTCTAGAAACATAAATAAATTGATCAAATGTCATGATATAGTAGTGAGGTAAAAGTTTAGTGGTTTCCAAAGTTAAAGCCCACCTGGCGAAAATAAAACTCCCGTGGGATTATGATAGGTCGGAATGGTGTAGTAAATTCCCCAGAACTCCTTTTTCTCCGAATTAAATCGACGTTTGGAAACCTGTTCCTCGAGATCCTTAAGGTCCACTCCATCGTCGTTTAACTTTACAGGAACTATGGTGAGACTGGTAAAGTGCTTTATACTATCCAGAGCAATCATGTAGGAATACTCGTCCACGAATACAAAACCCTGAAAGTCTATCATCGTGGACAGAAGTACATGAAAGCCCTGGGTAGCTCCTGTGGTTATCATCAAGTCCTCACTGAAACCAAAACACAAGGTTTATTGGTTAAGTAATAAAACCACAACAAGCATATATGTACATTTACATACACATCTACGATTACCTTTTAACGGGGCTTCCAAACATATCGCTGAAGTACGTGGAAATCTCACGGCGCACTTCGAATGTCCCACTTGTTGGACCATATTGGAAAATTAACGACTGGTTTTCCCGCTTTTCACGTTCCTAAAAGCAAACCCCAGAAATGTCAATTGGAAGAGTGGATTGCGTAAGAGATTTACTCACCAAACAATGATCTGTGGCCTTCTTGAAGTTGTCACAGTTGGATTCTAGAAGATCGGTTCCCGGAGCTCCCACTCCTAGATTAAGGATATTAGGTTCGTATACATTCCAGTCGCTTCCATCGAAAAGGTGCTTCAGCTTTCGATCTGCTGTTGTTTTCGACATGTTTGATGGTCTGTTCCAGGCAAACTAATGCCTTATCTGTGCGAGGTGTACTCGCATTTATTAAATAAAAGCATAGGGAATCCATCTGTAACTTTTTGGTGGTGACCGCTGTATACCTATTACTAGATAAAGCAAGGGGTATGAGGTTTATGTTGATAGAAGAAAAGCTTTGGAAACTAGGTTTTTATAAACTAGCCACAAAACCATATATACTTGTGGTGACAAGAAATACAAATATAATAGAAAAAAAAATTACATTACAAATTTAAAATAGGCTCTTGGTATTCACAAACAATATACTTAAACAAAAAAACATCTATAGCACTAATTATCAGAAAACCTTTCTGATAACTTAAATTTCAAAAACATTAAATACACCAATTTTTATTTGTATTGCAATTCAAGTAATTTAACTAAAACTTAACACATTATAGTTAAAATAAAATGTAACAAATTGTTAAATTCGTTGAAAAACATAGTTGTTTAGGAAAACTATAGGGTATGGAACGGTCGAGTGTCAAAGTCTTTGATTATTGAGTTTTAATGTGAATGGCAAAATGCCCAATTGGAATATGCATTCTCAAGGCAACGTCTACAACAGCTGATTAAAACAATCACTTTGTTTTTGGAAAAGTCGGAAAATCGTAATACCACTTATTTTTTAACAAACATGGAAAAGCCCACAACCAGCGCTGCTGCAGTACAGGATCCCAATCTTCTCCCGGACTCGCCACAACACGGACCAACTTTGTCCAGCGCGTCCAGTTTTGAGGCTCTGACGCGACATGACCCGAATCTTAGTCGACTGGCCACGAAAATGTTCAACAAAACGGAGGAGTACATTACACATGAGCTGAACGCTCCTCTCGAGGATTACAAGCTCCTAGAGGAGATGAACAAGGCTACGATTGCCAAGTACAAGGATATGCGGCAAATAGCAGAGAATCTGAACACTTCTACTAGCGAGCTAAGTCTGAAATTCCAGCAATTGGCTCCAATGATGCAGCAAATCGATGAGATCTCCGATACGGTGGACAAACTGGAGGCAGCAGCCTATAAACTGGATGCCTACAGCATAGCCCTGGAAAATCGAGTAAAGTGCGTACTCCAAAGGAAATCCGGAGGTGGCCAAGTGGCTCAATAAGACTACTCATCTACAAAAGCTTTATGGTACTTTATTATATTAGATTCTATGTCAACCAAGTAATAGTTTAAATATAATCGCGATTATGTTAAGAAATATCAACGGAACTGTAAAGGGATAAGGGTAAAGATTTAGAATCTGCTTTATCAAAATTATATTTTTAATGCTTACTTTTGGCCACTGTGCGTATGGAACGGATAAGATTAAGAACCTGATCCTTGGCCGTGGGTGCTCCAAAATTCTGGTGGCCTGCCTGTCGTCCCCAGCCAACTAAAACGTGTGCCAAAAATTTACCATCGTGGCATTTGGTGCCAAAATATAAATGGGGTCTTACACTTAGCCAGAAAACGCTCCTCGTGAAGAATGCACACTGCGTTTAAACAAAGCAGCGAGGCTTCAATTAGCGTCCAGAGAGTAAACATTTTTGTGTCGAACACGTATTTACTCCAAAATAAACCAAAATCGGCAAACAACTTTTGTCGTGAGAGATGACGATTTGCCGTTCACTACAAACGCGAACACAGCTGATTGGCTGCGCTCAGTGTGAATGGCTTGCGCGCCAAAATAAAGTTTAAACTTGAGTTTTATTATACTTATAACAAAAATGTAAGCAATCAAACATAACTTATATGTAGCAAAATATTTATTGAGTCCAAGGCAACACACCCAATGCACATTTTGACCAATCGTTGTCTGCAAAGAAAATCGAAATTATTTAAGTAAATATAAGTAATAATTTTAAAACAAATAACTTACCTTTATCTATTTTCCAAATTCCCAAATTAGAAGATTCAGCATTGCTGAAGTTATTGACGTTACTATGAGTGGCTTTTGATACAAGCTTTTCCATGTAATCCAGGTTATAGCTTTCTTCCGAGGAACTATCTTCTTCCATTGGTTCTTCCTCGTCAAACTCATGCAATCTAATCTCACATAGTTCAGTTAAAGTATTCACTTGAGTCTGGCTGAATGGAGGTTCTGCAAGGGGAAGTAAACTAAAAATATGGAAAGTTATTTTAAATACAGTCTGGTTAGGAAAACCAAGTCTTACCCTTTTAGTATGGGGCCTGAATACTTGCTAAATGGTTCCAAACGCTGCATTATAAACTGCCGATCAAAAACCCAAGATCTGGACTTTTTGGGGTTGTCCCCAAAAACAAGGGTGAGCGAGGGATCCACATTTGAATGTACAAGCAAACTGCGCACGGTTTTCGAAAGCTTATCCGTATTAAGGGAGGAAAAATCAGCTGGTTTCAGTTTATTGTTCTAGAAAAAGGAATAAAAACATTTAGAAATAACTTCGAAATTCTCGCATGCTTACTTACCAAATCAAGTTCCTCTTTGTACATTCTTTTCATGCGCAACAGCATGGCGAAGGTTTCAATCATTTTACAACTCCAATAGCAGGCTCCAAATCGTCTTTTATCCGACTCGTTTGCATTTTCAGTCAGTTGAACTAAAGCCACAAAAAATTTTTCAATATATCCTTGCAAGGCCAGTAACCTAAAAAGTCCTTGAGTAGCTGAAATAATGACATCCTCATTGTCATTTATTTCCAAGCCAACGCCCAGGAAATAATCGTTTTTAAGCAGGCAACCAATGTAAACATCCAGCAGATCCTTCATGGAAAATGACTTGTTTTTTATCAGCGCACTAAGATCATTAACTACTGCATCAAGTATTTCCTTTGAGGTCTTTGCTTTTTTGCTGGATGAATAAACCCGAATCTTGTTGAATTCGCCGCTAGATTTCAGTTTGCTAATAGCTTTTAGTTTTTCTGCCCCCTTGAGATGGCACTCAAGAGCCAAGTTATAGATCTCAAGAAGATCGCTAACGGCTTTTTCGAATTTGAGCTTGTCCTTGCGCTGCAGCTTGCCTGCATCCAAGTTCAACATTGTCTCCTTGTGGGGCAGCCAATAGTAAGTGCGTAGCCATTCTAGACAATGCTCCGAGGTGTTCCGAAGCACTTCCACAGGCGGTAGTTCCTGTCCGTGGGCGCACAAGTGCCGCAGATCCACGATGAACGATTGAAGGCCCAGTTCCTTGGCCGTTTCGTACATGCTAGTCATGTTATGGCCCTGGATGATGGAGGACATGAAGTTGTAGAATCGCGTGAAGGCGCTTGCATAGGTGGTCTGAATCTTCGGGTTGCCTTGTGTGTCCTCCAATCGAGCATGGACAAGCACTGAAGTGGCCAAAACTGCCGCCGGACAAAGGTTTCCCCTTCGAAGGCTCCATATACGGATTTTACTAAGTGCCTGGCGCTGGCTAGCGGGCGTTGAGGTCTTCGCAAATAACAAATCATATGTTTCATTAAATTCTACCCTGGAGATTAATAATATAAATAATAAGATTTCGTTTTTGTTTTGTTTTAAAGACGCACGTGTCTCTCCAAGGAGTAACCACAGTTCGTTGTTTTACTGTTGTAGCCGGTGGAACGGGGACAGCTTTAACTTTTTGCTGCTTACCCTTCTCTGGGCTTTTCTTTTTCACTGTAGACTTTTCCCTCTTTGCAACAGCCATTCCAGTAAATATTTCTTTAAATATATTGAAATCAAAACAAACCGCGAATAAAAAACGGAGCAATAATGTTAGTGTTGAAAAGTGCTTGAGACTAGTTGCTCATGCTGGTGCTGTAGCTGACTCTCTTTCCCAAAAGCTAGCTTTCAAATAAAATAAAATAAAAAATTTTTTTTAATTGGATCAACCAAAGAATTAGGAAATTATTAGTCAATTATATAATTTTGAATATTTTTTCTTTTAAAATTTTTTTAAGAGTAACAATATACTTTAAGAATGGATCTGGAGAATTAGCTATTTGTAGCTATTATTTCGTTTGCCAATACTCCCGAGGTCCAACAGCTGATCGCGCCAACAAGACGCAGCCGGATCTGTGTGAATGGTAAATAAAAATTGGAGCCAAAAATAATAATTTTTTCCTTCTGGATTGAACCGTTTCCCGCGCCCCCTTATAATGACCACCTGTGCATAACCCGATTTCCTAAGAGAACCTACAACTTTTCCCGGTTATCAAGGCAACTCATGCATTTCGTCCAACATCCTTTCATCGTCAACAACAACAATAACGTGGTGGACATACTGCATCCGGAAAATATCGAATTCGATGGGCCGCCAGCGGCGCGGAAAATGATTATTGGCTCGTTTTCGATGTTCGTAATCTTCTCGTACCTGCAATTACTATACATCCTAGTGGCCATATACTTGGCGTTGCATCACGCTCACCATTAGGAGGAAATCTGTGAAGGATAATGTATCACTTTGTGTCTGAACAAACCCCGGAGCTGCGGCTCTCGCCGGATTCGTTGGTCACCAGCCACGTGACGCAGTACCTCAAGGGCTTCCAGTTGGATGCAGTCCGCTTCCTATACGAACATATTTCGAAGCGGGAATTTTGTATCCTAAACGATGAAAGTGGTCTTGGTAAACTGGCCACGGTGGCGGCACTTCTCAGTGCCCTAGATCCCGCAAAGAAAACCCTTATTGTGCTACAGAACGATGAGCACCTGCTCGCCGGTTGGCGGTTTCACTTGGACATACTCACCGACCTGCAGGTGTACACCATTCAAGGGGTGCAAGGTAAATTACTTTCGTTGATATAATAGTATAATTTTGGTTTTATTATATGGACTTCAAGAACATCAATTTATTACACAATAGTTAATATTTATTACTTTACACATGAATCACTTATACGTATATGTGATTTTTTTTCTTAAAAAATTACTTTTTTTTAAGTTTTAGTATTTGGTTACGAATTTCACATTAAAACGAAACAATACAACTTTTACTCTTTACCGAAACTTTTGACATTCAACGTTAATTGTTTTTCTTTTACAGACACCACAGACTCGCCATACAACGTTTACCTTGCCAAGTGGAGTCAGTTGCGCAGCATTGGAGATCTCAGCCGCCTCAAATTCGACTACGTTCTGGTGGACAATCGGGGGCACTCTCTGAACAACAGCTTTTGCACCTCCATGCTGCTCAAACATTTCGAGGGGCGGGTAAATATGGTTATCTCCAGTGTTGACATTACGGTGAGGCAATGCAGTCATAACTGAGTAACACGGAGCTTTAGTTTACTTTCCCTCTTTTTCCCTACTTGCAGTCCGAGGTGAAGTTGCTGTACAATGTATTACGGTTAGGCGGACGTCTGGAGCATCAGTACCGGAGTTTTCAAAGCTTCGATCGCAAGTTCCACCTGCCGGACCCGAAGGAGGTGTTCAGCAAGCGTATAGATCTCGAGGAGTACTACAAACAGAGAGGTTTCCTCAGCGAGTATATCAAGTAGGTGACCGTGTAATGCGCTCTAATCTTATCTATGAGCGACTTTCACTTTTACCTTTCAATAGCGCAGAGTTTATATTTACTCTGGATTACACTGCTGTTGTTCGACTAAAATCATTTATTTTATTTTTAGGGACTTTCGTTTGCGCCGTTTCCGCCATCAGTTCGACAAAAGCCTGCCTCTCGTGGCTCCCGAGCAATATAAACACAACCTAAACCTCTGGTTGGCCTCGAAAAACAGCCAGAGCACGCTGAGTGGCTCATCAGAAGTTTGTTCCACAATCGCTTCCATAGACAACAGTACGGCTCTGCGGATCGAAACTGTGCAGCCTGAGGAAGCGGATAAGTTATCCGAGCACAGCGTGGATGATGTGGTGGCCATGTCTCCGCTGATCTTCGAATCTTCCGACTCTGATGTTGAACCTATAACAGTGGAACCGGCCATTGACAAAAATCAGATCTTGGTGGTTTCCAGCGATGATTGCGAGATCGTGACGCCACCAAACACGCCGCCGAATCGCATGCCCACCTTAAACGAATCGCCAAGATTGAAATCCAAAAGATTCAGCAAGCGGCAGACACCTCAGAAAAAAGCCGATCTCTCCGATTCGGAGGAGGAGCATGAAGTGGTGGAGTTGCCGCCAAAAAAAGGGACACGATCTGTTACCGCTACTTTTACTCCCAAGACAAGAAGGCTTAATGTACGACTGTTGAGGGTTTCGATGGATACCCTAAGCACACCACCTCCGTCTAGAACTGTTCCTGCGCTTGCCACACCCAAAACGGAGCCCTCTGTTAGAAGGAAAAATCCGAAACCACGATATGTGAGTCCAGTAGACACCGGTCGACCGGCCACAAGAGGAATGCAGCGTTTAACGCGATCGGCTGAATCCAAATTGAACAGCAAGTACTTATCTCGCCCCACACTCGAAAATGTGAAGCGAAGTACTTCAAGAAGAATCAAGGCTGAGGGAAATCAAACGCCCAAATCAAGCAAACCCAGAGTGAAGCAGGAGCCGAAGGAGAAGCAGGTAGCCAAGCCGGAAAAGGAGCAGAAGTCCATGGAGAAGCCTGCGCAGGAAACTCCCAAACGGAAAGTAGGACGTCCAAGAAAACGCAAACCAAACGCCGAACCTCTAAAAAAATCCGATCCTAAGACGAATCCCGAACCCTTGGCACCTACTCCTCAAGTGCTCAGCGCCAGTTCCTTGTCCTCGGAGTACATGCAGTGTGCTCAGCCAATCCCAGACAACTTGGATGCCGTTGAGTCTGCTGCCTTTCGAGTGCCCTTCACCCCTCAGCCAACCATTTTGCCACTGACGTTGCCATCAGTTTTTAACTTGCTCAGTGACTCCGATGTGGTCGCAATTCCGTTGAGCAAGGAGCAAGCTGAAACAGTGGTGATCAACAGTTCGCACGATGAGAGTTCGCAGCAGGATCCGTCGCAGAGTCGTCGCACCAAGGCATTGAAAAGGAAACGCAAGCAGGAGCCGCCAGTGAGTTCCAGTTTTGGCGGAGGCTTGGGCTTGCCACCGTCCAAGAGAAGTGCGAACAAGTCACCGGATCTGTTTAGCATCTCCTCGGATCTCTCGCAGATTCCCCTCGCACAGCCACGTCCCTCCTCTCCGTTCGAGGGCTTCAAGATATTCGGCTCTGAGGTGAAGCAGTTTCAGCAGCAGCATGCCAAAACAAATGTATCGGGCCCGAAGAAGAAGCGTGATCGATCTTGCTTGGACATCCTGGAGCAAATGTTTGAGCCACGACAGCAGCCACAGCAGCAGGAGAAGACTAGTCCCAAGGTATTGCCCACCTTGCCACAGACACAGAAAGATGATGGGACGCCGACCATCACGCAGAGGAGAAGAACTCTATTGGAAGATGACTTTTTCGAGATTACCAACAATGGACAGTTTGGCAGTCGAATGAGGCTGAATTCCTCCGGAGATGTGTCACCCGTGCAACAAGATCCACAGACTGCCAGGCCCACGCAGGCCAACAAAATCACCAACTACTTGATCGGTTCCGGAATCACTCAGGAGAAGACGCAGCCGACAAGCGGAACTCGCAACTCTATTGTTGCATCGCTTCGCAAGTCCCCAAAATCTCCGAAGCAGAGTGGAAAGTCCACACAGGCCACCAAGCTCACCCGCTGGTTTGGCGCCGTTTTCGGCGGAGGAACCTCACAGACCAGCTCAGTGGAATCGGTTAGTGCACCAAGTACGCCGGTGGCTTCCACCACGAGTGCATCAGCTTGTCAAACCCGATCATCAAGGAGTGGTGGAGCCAGAGGGCCCACAAAGAGAAAGCGGTTGGAACTGTTCAAATAGGAGCAGGATAAATACAACGTTCAAAGGAAAAACATTTGATATAAGTTAACAATTTTGGAAAAGAATACGAACAGATTTCTTAACTGCAATACCTTATAAAAAAAATTTACAAAAGAATGCATGCAAAATCATCTGAAAGTGATAATTTAGCTCTATCAATCAATCAAAAGCCAAGAAACAGTTAACAGCATTCAAATTTGGACAAAAGACTCTTTCGTAGGTTGTAAAAACAATGTGGTACAATGTTAGTCGTAGAACATTACACCCACTCGAGTAATTAACTAGCTAATTTAGTTAAATTTCTATAACACTGAAGATTATTTTATAAAATTAAAGAGACACTGAACATTATCGGATATTTATTTTCGAAAACAATTTTATTTTTTTTTAATTGAAGCATTCGGTTATTAAAGTTCAGTTATTTATGTAGTTCCATATGCCCGCCATAATGTATGCCAGCAACTATGAAAATTTTGTAGTTAAATTATTTGTGTGCGCATTAAAATGTGTTAAAACAATTTTAAAGAAGAAACCCGCTGTAAAGTTATTCAATTTTTTAGAGAAAAATTCAACCCACTAATTTAATTATCTTAAAGATTTTTTTTTCAAAGAATAAAGAAACATTTTTAAGGGTTTAGTTTTAAAAATGTTTTTTTTCATTTAAAGGGAACGATTATTTATAGGTAAGTTAAACACATACTTTACTTGCTTAGAATCTCATTTAATGTTCTGTAAATTTATTTTTGCACATATTGCTTAATGTCATTCTCAAATTTTATCCTCTCTGCTTTGCGAAGATAATTGTCAAGTTGTGCATCACCGCCTGGCGCTGGAACTCCAGTTCCCGCCGGCACATGCCGCCCAAAAGAGGAGGGCACTGGTACTGTATGTTCTCCTGGGCAAAGGTATCGCCGTTTGAGTTCCTAAAAACGAACTCGCTAAGGGATTGTACTGCAAAGAAGAGAGATTATCAAGTCGTTCCTAGATAAATCATGACCTTCATCTTACAGCAGTAAAATCCTCCAAAGAAGCAGGTTTCATGTGTGGACTTAATGGCATAGGCCACCGGATTTGCCCCAGGCAATGACTTAGTGACCACGTATTTGGCCGTTGCCTTATTTATCCAGTAAGGCCAATGGGATAGTTTTTCTGTATACTCCACCGTGTAGCGCCAGTCGTGGGCGTGTCCGTGATCAGCTAGGATCTTGAAATTTATACTATAAAAAGAAAGAAGTAAAGATATATAAGTGCTACATAAAATGTCATCACTGTTCCATTTATGTTTATAATATAAATTTGCCTATGGTAAAAAATTGTTTGTCAATTCGAAACCTACAAAATGAAAATTCATATATAGTATAGGAAAATGTACACGCGTTTATCTAAGCATAATACAAGCATATTGTATTTCATATTATTTAGTAGAATATGATCTTCTCATTTAGAAATGATTCTTTTAATTGATGACTTTTGCCCAAACATTATTCGGGATCAGATATCAGATAGCACTCACATAGTGGGATTCAGCAGTCGCATCTTGTTGAAATCCGCCACATACTCCCAGACCTTTTCCGGTTGGCTCCGTTTGATAATGCCCTCGATCTGGTACTTCTGATAGCCGCTGGAGAAAACAAAAACGTAGAGCAGCAGGGCGGCGCTGAGTAGGACGGATGCCCGCTTTATATTCCACAGACGGGGACTATGCATAGTTCTGTACTTGATGGATTTCCGACTTCGACTGACGAGTATTGTGTGTATATGTTCTCGGTTTGTTCGAATTTGAAATAAACATGTGCGGGAGAGTCCACCACAAAGATTCGGGAAACAGCATCGAAAGGGGAAAGCGGGAGTTCCATAGCAAAAAGAGAAAGATAAACAAATAGGTTCTTGAAGAAGCAAAGGAATCGGATTTGTATGACTCTTTCGTAAAAGAGAGTTTAGGCTTTGCATGTGGATTATAGGTTCTTAAGGCATTTAATTCTTAACAAAAAGAGTATTTGATAAAATTAGGATGAAGTTTGTTTTATTACATATGTTCATACATATATCAACATTTATTACGAGGATAATGTTTAGGCATTTTCATTTAATGTTTAAAATTGTTCTCTAATTTTTAAGGATCTAAAAGAATTTGGTTTTCTAGAAATTCTAAAGTAAATCCTAGACTTTAATACAAGGCGAATTTTATCCAAAAATAATAAATAAAATAATATCTAGTAAATAATAATTTATTGAACATGTTTAGTATAAAGACCGAAAATTAACAAAATGGAAGCATTAATATTCCATTTAAGTTTAAGTTCTAATCAAGGCATTTAAAGAAGGTGTCTGGTAACGAATGGAACAAAATGCTGCTTTAGCACTGCCTGATTTTTGGCAACTCAAGCAGTTCGAAAAGTTTCCAGAGGTCAAAGCTCTGAAGCGCCATTCCCTTTCCCCATTATCTTCCCCCAACTTACCCCCATAATTAATATGTATACTATCTAACACTGGCATTAGAAAGCTTTGGCGAATGTGAAAAGCTACGCTAGAAGCTTATGTCCATATGATCGCCACTCTGCACTTAGTTTATAAACAACGCTCGCCGGGTGCAGTCGGAATCGGAATATATACCCATACAACCATTGGAACCCCAAGCGGCGTGCCCATAAGCATATGTAATTGCTTATCAACCCGGACTGTCCGAAATCGGTATGTTTCATCGCTCCAGCAACAACAGATCCCTTAACATCTCGAGCCCCCCGCAAATTGCCGGTTTACGTAAGCTAAAAACAATTGTGGTCGTTTAAAATACGTTTTAGCTGAGAGCACATCAATCAAAATACAAAAAAATGCGACTACTGGCCAGACACGCGATTCGATTGTTGGGTCAGCAGAATCGAGGAGAAGGTGGAGGCGGAGGACGTGGAGAGGTGGCTTCAATTTGGAGAGGAGGAATCCGGCTAAAAGCCACAACCGGTTACCTGAATCTGGCCACAGCAAGTGTTCAGCGATTGGAGCCGGAGAAACAGGTGCAGAGAAAGGTGAGTACTCCATTCGTACACCCAAACTTAAATAAAAAGTAATTCCCCAGAATGTAATTGCCCAGAATTCTCCACTTACGGATTCATTTGGTCGCCACCATACCTATTTGAGGATTTCCCTAACCGAACGCTGCAATCTTCGATGTAAGTTTTCAGGGACCAAACCACCTAAATATGTTTGTATCCTTATCAGTTTTACCATGTTATTGCTTTACCTATTTGATAATACTCGTTATGAAGTGGATCCCAACCTTGATTGAATAATGTGGCGAAATTCATGTCTTATACATGCACACCTGCGGTCAGCATAATAGTTATAGAGCCCCTTATTTATTCATGTGTTATCAAAATTAGTAAAGAGGATCTAATTTGATTTTGGGTTCTATTGTACTCAAACCAATTTGCCTCAGCTGGCACGACATTTTCTATTTCAATTACTGTTGGCAAACAACACTTGATAAATGATAACTTAATAATCTTTGATTTCCAGAAATTTCCACACAGTTCATTCATACATTGTCACCTTCATGACCGCCAAAATAAACTATATCTTAAACAGCTATCTAGAAATAAACAATAGTACTAATGTTCAATCAACCCACAAAAGCCGGTTTAACTTTTATTGAGCGAGCCACTAACTTTGTTGATGGTAATTATAAAAGCTTTATTGATTGATGTGGAACCTTTTTAAGTAAAGTGTGTATAAGAAAAAAAATTAATTGGAATTACGTCTTTAAGTAAGAACTCCCTAAAATGTTCGATTAAGCTTTTAGCAAATTTCAAAAGTATTTAAGTTTTGTTTACCAACGCATTCATTTCAGTTCAAAATTTTGTTTTCCATAATACATTTTTTATTGATTATTTATATAATATAATACTTTAACATTTGTAGGTGACTACTGCATGCCCGCTGAGGGAGTTCCACTGCAACCCAAATCGAATCTGTTGACCACCGAGGAAATCCTTCGCCTAGCTCGAATCTTTGTGGAGCAGGGAGTGCGCAAAATCCGCTTGACAGGAGGAGAGCCCACTGTCAGGAGGGACATAGTAGAAATAGTGGCACAAATGAAGGCCCTACCCGAACTGGAGCAAGTTGGCATAACCACCAATGGCCTGGTACTCACCCGCCTCCTTCTGCCGCTCCAAAGAGCAGGCTTGGATTCGCTTAACATTAGTTTGGACACGCTGAAAAGGGATCGCTTTGAGAAGGTAACCCGGAGAAAAGGCTGGGAAAGGGTTATAGCTGGCATCGATCTGGCCATCCAATTGGGCTATCGTCCCAAGGTGAACTGTGTCCTAATGCGGAATTTTAACGAGGATGAGATCTGCGACTTCGTGGAGTTCACACAGGATCGCCCGGTGGACGTGCGGTTTATAGAGTACATGCCCTTCTCGGGAAATAAGTGGCACACGGAGAGGCTTATCTCCTACAAAGATACCCTGCAAGTCATCCGTGAAAGGTGGCCGGATTTCGAGGCCCTGCCCAATGGACCCAATGACACCTCCAAAGCTTATGCTGTTCCCGGATACAAGGGTCAAGTGGGTTTTATTACCTCGATGACGGAACACTTTTGTGGAACCTGCAACAGATTGCGACTCACTGCGGATGGCAACATCAAGGTGTGTTTGTTTGGCAATAAAGAGTTCTCCTTACGAGATGCCATGCGAAATGAGAATATAAGTGAGGAGCAGCTGGTGGATCTCATTGGAGCGGCGGTGCAGCGCAAAAAGAAACAGCATGCAGGTGAGTCCTCCCGAACCCAAACGAAAGTAGAAAGTCTTCAGACCTTGGTAATCCTTCGCAGGCATGCTCAACCTGTCGCAGATGGAGAACCGGCCCATGATACTCATTGGCGGCTAGTAGACACACCACATTCTCTTCCCTCTCTCCCGTTGCAGATGCTGCGCCACAACTCCATCAGCATCACCATCATCATTATTTGTTTCACCAAACATATCATCCTACAAGAACGCAACTTCAGGTTCGGAATTGTAGCCACCTCACCCATGTCAATGCACAGGGCAAAGCCCAAATGGTCGATGTGGGCGCAAAAACTTCGACCACAAGATTAGCTCGAGCCGAGGCGACCGTCCAGGTTGGTGAGAAGCTCACCCAACTTATAGCGGCCAACGAGTTGGCCAAGGGAGATGTTCTGACGGTGGCCCAACTGGCTGGCATCATGGGAGCCAAACGCACATCCGAACTAATACCGCTGTGCCACAATATCAGCTTGTCCTCCGTGAAGGTGCAGGCCACTCTTCTCCAGGAGGAGCACTCAGTACGGCTGGAGGCGTCTGTTCGCTGCTCAGGCCAAACTGGCGTCGAAATGGAGGCACTTACCGCCGTTTCCGTGGCTGCCTTGACTGTTTACGACATGTGCAAGGCCGTTTCCCATGATATATGCATCACCAACGTTCGCCTGTTGAGTAAATCCGGTGGGAAAAAGAACTTTCAGCGGGAGGAGCCGGAAAAAGGAGCAGTAACAGAGTTCGAATGAGAGTCCCACTAACTCATGAAATGGTTTCTAACAATCGTATGGCTAAGCCGTATTCAGGGGAATGGTAAATCAACTACTGCTTATTAGGATTATCTACTAGTTACAATTTTTAAGAATGAAATATGAAGAACCAAGCACAAATTTAATGTATAAACGTTCCGTCACTTGCACGGTATCGTGACAAATGCAATAATTAACAAATGTTTGTTCATGTAAATAAATAAATACAAATGCACGTCAAACTTGTATAAACAAACAACCAAGTATTTTGAGTATTATTTTGCATTGACTAAGATCAAAATTAAAAGAATATTTATAGTTTCTGATTTAAATTCCGGCAGAAGCAGACTTGATTATAATTTTTACTTATTGTTTTACAAGTTTTTGTATAGAAATAAAAGAACTCTGTAGATAAAATCAATCCTGCCAGTGCGTGGGTCTTCAGCTCCTAAATGAATCTCAACCCGAATGATTAATTTAATACAGAAGTTGTAATTTGCGGTTCTTTTTAATTCGTCGCCAGAGTGGGTTAAGTTTAGATGCGGGAAATTATGGATATTGTTGGGGTGAATTGATTGAGGGCGTGTCGCGATTAGAGCCTTACAGCTAGAAGTACATACAACATTAGAAGTGTTCAAGAAACGCGGATCATATCTCGCAAATCCAGGCAAAGTACCCTCTCAACATAGACACAATAAATACGGTGTGGTGAGGTAATTATTTCTCCTAGTTGGACACCAGGACATTGCGGTTTTCCGCCTTGCTCTCGGACTCCGCGCCCTGGCCTCCTTCAGCGCCCAGTTGCTCGCCACGGATTTTAATGTTGTGCTCCTCCTTGAATTTGTTCAGCTCGCTGCCCTTTTTGCTTAGGTCTTCGGTGACCAACTGGATGGTCTTGGCAATGAAGTCCTTATTCTCCACCAGCAGCGGCAGCACCTCCTTCACGGTTCTTTCGCACAAAACACCTCCAATCTGGCGGAAGCACTTGCGCTCCGGATCTGCCGCCTCCAAGGTTTCTATCACAGTTCTGAAGCAGATTGGGAAATATTTAGAAATGTACAAATGGGTGATGCTCGAGTATTCAAACATAATTTAAGCCTCGGTGACTCACTTGTGTTCCCTCAAATCCATTTCGAGCGTATTTAAACTGTTGGCCAAGTTGCGCTGGTCATTGCGCAGCTGTTGGAACTGGGCCACAATGGCCTCCTGGCTGGGGGCCGGTTTCGCCGATTCGGTGCTCATCACGTTCTTCGCTCCCCAAAAGGACTTCTTCGAAGGATAGACCTGGATACTCGCTCCAAATTGACGAAAATCAGGGATTTTCTTTCAAAATAAGTCGGCGAACACGAGGGATATGCGGTAGAGACGGGACAAAGGTCGATATTTAATACTATCGATGTATCTGGATGTACCTATCGATAATTCACTTGGCCTGCAAAACAAAACCATGAATATTAGCATCAAGCGAGAAAACTAAAAAAACATGTATTATTATAGAGATATAGCTAAAAATTGGTTGCCCATAACATTTTTAATATGAATATATAAACATACTGAATTAAAAAATTTAAGTGAGATTAGATATGTTTGAATTACTTTTTTCCTCTTTAAGCCATTTGTTTTATAAGCCAAACTGGATACCTACGGGATTAAGTTTAAAAAATATTTCAAAACTTTTTAACTGATTTTAAGTATTTGAAAAATAATTTTTTAGTGCAATTCGTCACTTTAGCGGACCACCATTCGCAGTGAACGCAATCGATAGGCGGGAACCATATGTTGTTGACGATTCGCGGCGAATGCCACATTTGAATACACGTGCAAGTTGTTTTAAGCGGTGTTTAATTTGTTTAATGATTTTTATTTACTAAACTGCTAAGTATAACCATGCCGGCAGCAGTGGCCACAGGCGTGCAATTCGGAGGACCGTCCAAGAACAAGAAAATCGTATTCGATGACTCCGGCGAGGCTGTAGTTAAACCAAACAAAAAGGAGCACCCCCATAAGCCAAGAAATCAAGGCAGCGAGCAGGTGCAACGGCCTCAGAAAATCAAGTTTGGCGAGGATGGACAAGCTCAGACAGGGAAATCATTCAAACCTAATGGTAAAAAGCCTGATCATGCAAACAAACCTCAGAGGATAAAGTTCGGTGATGATGGGGAGCAAGTTGGACACAAATCCTTCAACAAAAACTACCAGAATGGTCAAAAAACATTTAACAAAAACCATCAAAAACATAATGGTCAAAAGCCGGACTATGCCAATAAGCCACAAAAGTTAAAGTTTACTGATGATGGTGAAGAAGTATCTCAGATATCCAATAACAAAAACTTTGATCAGGCCAAGAAAGCCCAGAAAATAAACTTCGGAGACAATGGAGAGACTATAAAACCTCAGCGCATAAAGTTCGATGAGGACGGAGCAGAAAAAAATGTATCCGATAGCGATGGGGATAGTGATGAAGAAGTGGGACAATCATTTTCCAAGAAGCACAATAAATACCAATCCAAACTTGACGAAGATGAGGAGTCCCAAAAGAAATGGTATCAAGTGGTACGTAAGCATTAGGAAAAAAAACAAAAAAAAATTGTTTTAAGGCGTTACCTTGTATTTTAGCATCCAGATTATCCCTCTACTGATGAGGTGCTAGACATGAAGGAGAACGAGCAGCTGGAGCTCTACAATCTCTGCAAGAGTTCATTCGATGCGGAGAAAAATACATTTAATAAACGTAGGTTTTGCTAGATTCAGGAATTATTATTTTAATTAATCATCTTTTCTAAACTACTAGGTAATCCCTCGGATGCTCGGTGGCTGCAAACTGCTCTGCACAAGGGTACAGCAAAGGATCGCGCCAATGCCGGCGCCTTGCTGGTGACCAGTAATCCACTAGGCAACCTGGAAGCCTTAACCACATTGATTGGTTTTTGCAAGATCTCCAACAAGGCCAGCAACGATGTTATTGCTGTGCTTACGGATCTTTGGCAAGAGGTTCTGCTGCCGCCCAACAGAAAACTCCTGGCGGTGCACACCCGTGGAGCAGATTGGAAGAAGCTCAAAAAGGATGAGAAGCTGCGGAACGAGCAAAAGCGACGCATCTATGCGTACTGGCATTTCGAAAGCGAACTGAAGGACCAATACCACGAGTTCCTAAAGAATGTGATGCAGGGCTTGCAGACGGGGCAGGAGCACAACAAGAACTCCTCCATTGTGTCCGCTGCCAGACTGCTGGCTTATGCTCCAGAAAAGGAACAGCTGCTGCTGACAATGCTGGTGAACAAGCTGGGTGATCCCATCGCCAAAATTGCTTCCAAAGCGCTGCATCACCTCAGCGAGGTAGCCCAAAAGCATCCGAACATGTGTGGTGTCATAGTTGCCGAGGCGGAGAAGTTGCTGTTCCGTAACAATATTTCCGAACGGGCGCAGCACTTTGCACTGTGCTTCCTCTCCAGCATCGCACCCTCCGGCCGGCCCGAAGTATGCACTAAGTTGGTGAACATCTGCTTTGCCTTGTTCAAGGTTCTTGTCCAGAAAGGGGCCGTTAATAATAGAACCATGCAGGCCATTCTGCGGTGCCTGCAAAAGGCCATCGTGGAGGCTCAACCGGGAAAAGATAGTAATGGCGAATTGCTAACGAAGGAAATGCAGGACACAATATACCGATTAGTCCACTTGGCCGACATTCGGGTAGCTGTACATACTCTGGGGTTGCTGCTGCAATTGGTTACGGTCAAAACTGAGAAATCTGATCGTTTCTATAATGCGCTGTATGTGAAACTGCTGGATTTGAACCTCGTCAACGTTGGCAGTAAAACGGCGGCTCATTTGCTACATATTGTCCATCGAGCCATCCACATCGACAACAATGTGGCTAGGGCTCAGGCCTTTGTCAAGCGTCTCCTGCAGCTCACCCTGTATGCTCCTCCTCACATTGCAGCAGGCTGTTTGATTGTTATCCACAAGCTGTTGCGCATGCGCCGCGAGCTAATTGGTGGCAGTGGAGCTTCGGAGGAGTTGGACCTTAATTCCAAAGCAACTCTACCATTGGGTGCAGACTTGGATAAGTTTGGCAGTGATGATGAGGAAGTCTACCAGGATGTTAAAGAGGAGACTGCGGAAAAGGCGGATTCTAAACCATCGGAGGAGAAAGCTGAGGTTGAGGCCAAGACGAGTGCTTCATCGTGGCACCATGCCAGTGTTCCTGCCACGGAGTCAAAGGTGCGGGAAATTGATTCCTGCAAATACGATCCATACCATCGAGTGCCTGCTTTTGCAGGAGCAAGCTATGCGCTTCGGCATGAACTTCTGTTGCTGCGCCAACACTACCATCCCACTGTCCAGGTCTTCGCCGAGCAGATCCTTCAGCGTAATTACTACATCCGTTTCTCTTTCCGATCAACGTTGCCTTATCCACAAATTGTCTTTCAGAGTCGCGCATTGATTACTATGGCGATCCGTTGAGGGATTTTGGACTACCACACTTCCTGGAGCGATTCGCCTTTAAGAATCCCAAGAAGCTGGACGCTCCGCAGGCAGCGGAAAGTGCTACTGTGGCCCACAAGCGCTACACAGCTCACGGGGCGCGTGGCAAGCCAGTAAGATCTCTGACCAAGGGCAACTGCACCGAAGACGAAATGTTCATCTTCAATTTCCTGGAGCACAAGCGTCGGCAAGCAGAGATTGTGGCCGAGAACAAAAAGCAGAAGGGAGTTAAGAAGGAGGACGAGGAAGCCGGTGAGGATGCCGACGGCGGAGAAGAATATTTGAAAGAGGGCGAAGTGGACGACGACGAGTTCGAGGCATATTTGGATGGGTATTTCGGAAAGAAGTTCAAGGAGGGCGTTGACGAGGAGCAGGATGAAGAGGAGCTGAACTTCCTACAGGAGCTCGGTGGCGAGATGAAGAAGGACAAGTCCAAGGACAAGAAAAAGAAAAAGCAGGCTGAAAAGGCGGAAGATGACATGGACGATATAGACGACGACTGGGGCGACGATGATTTGGGAGAGGATGAAGACGATGAAATGGAAGGTGCTGGAGAAGATCAATCCGATGATGAGACAGGCTCGATTGATTTGGAGCCATTAGATGACGACGACGACGACGATGATGTTGAAGAGGGCTCTATTTCCGATGGCGCACCAGACGACAGTGATTCGAGCGACGCTCCGGAGAGTCCCGACGAGGACGAAGATGAAGACGAAGATTCTCCGCCCAGGTCCAAGAAATCCCGCAAAGACTCCTCCGAGATGGTTGGAGGACGCAGCTTTGCCAAGACACTCAAACAAAGTCATGGTAAGAATCTATTAAATGTCCTTTCCAACTCAAACAAGAATTAATTATTGATTCTTTTACCCTTATAGATATGTCCTCTCTGTTCGCTGCCGCCGATGACTTCTCTTCACTGCTTGAGGAAACGGCAAAGGTCAAGGGTCAGGGCACAAGCAACGCCGTCTTCAACAAGGACAAGTCCTCCGACAAACAGCTAAAATGGGAGGAGAACCGGCGCTCGAACACCAAAACCTACAAGGGCAAGAAGTTTGCCGGCAAACCAGCGGCCAAGGGCAAGGGCAAACCACAGAAAGCGGGCAAAAAGCGGAAACACTAAACTTAATTTGGTTACAGAACCGAGCCAATGTAATGGTTAGATGCGTAAATACACAAACGCAAGATTGTAAATTTCAATTTTGTAATAAGTTTAAAAATATAATAGACTTTGTTTATCATTTGAAATGCTTTTATTTTAACTGCATTTTGATATTGGTTTTATTTACAGACTTTGGTGACTTAATCGCTAGCAACATCTTTCAAATTCATCTGTATACTTCAAATTGATCTCCGCGTTCGTTTTTTTTGGTTACATAACTATCCATATTCCGTATAACGCTTTGGCCGAACTATAAAAACCGAGTTCTATACGATTTGATTGCTTTATTCTTACATTTAAGTAGTTGTCCCCCATTGGTTGATGCTTATTGGTTGTTGCGTCCTCTGTAGGTAGATTGGATAGTGCCTATAGCCTAGAACAGTTCCAGTGATCTTAAACTAAGACGAACCGCCACTGATCGCGCCTATTAAAACTCATGCCAAACAGCTCGATTATCTGTTTACCGTTTTGCTTATAAAATGTAAGGTTTGTTTAACTTTTCGTATTGCAACTTCTTTAAGTTTTTCTTTTTTTTTTTTTGGGTTTTCATTTGTGTGTGTTCTAAGGCAACTTGTTAAAAGGCAACTTTAATATAAATGTTATTTGTTTTATACTAAAATTTACACCATTATTTTTAACATCCTTTTCAATCGACTTTACGGCAAATTTACACGGTTCGATATGTGAATTGGTTTTGGTTTAAGTTTTTGTCAGGGGAGCGGTTTATGTGGGTGCGTTCAAATCAAAAAAAAAGAATACAGAATATAAATTTAAAAATCATGCGTGTTTAAAATATTGTAATTCTTTTGTTTATTTAGATTTCATCGGTTTCCATTGCTTTAACTTACTAAGTTACAAGTTTAAAAAACTAAACAATGAAAAATACTTAACAAAACAAATTAAAGTTGGTTTGCCATTAACAAATCTACGACTATTTGCGTTTCTTGTTCAGTTTTCATTTGCAAATAACGCATTGTTTTTTGCACGGCCCCGAAGAATAACTTCTCAGTTTCATGTGGAAATGGCTCTTCGGGCGTTTCTTATTTATCCCTTTAGTGTCAACTGAAATAATTAATTTTAAATATATTTAGGAAAACAAATTGCCAAGCCCGATCGGGATTGAATGCCATTGGCTAATCCCGATTGAGGTTGGCAATATATTTTGGGCGGTACTCTTTGTTAGTTTTTGGGTACTTCTGAGAATTCTGCGTTAGAGATAATAAATGTATATCTTAACATAGAGCACAACTTAAAGCAAAAGTTTGTAATAAGGGGGCTGGCTTTTTATATTCTTCTCACTGTCTGGCTTAAACATAATTTTGCACTAAACTAATTGCGAACTCTAATAATGATATAGTGATTGTGTTCCGATGTCGCTAATTGTAATTTTTTTTTTTTGTTTTTCTGTCTTAACCGCACTAAGATCAATGCAAACTGCTGCCTTTGTATAGTTACCGTTTCCTTTTGTGTCTGACTTTTTATAATTAAATTAATTCATTTAATTCAAATAATTAACTAGCACAACAAATCGCATATAAAATACACTTATAAGATCGTTTTCAGTGTGACGTGAAAAAGTGGTAGGCAAACTGAGTTATCTCGACTTAAACTAATGCATAACAAAATTGAAAATAATTATTGACAGGATCTTTGGTGCGATCTGCGGATCCTCTTACTTGTGTTATTTATGTAATGAAGAGTGTTAGTGGGTCTGTTGCCGCAAGGGGTCTGCACCCACGGTTTTGGCCGGGTTCTGGTCATCGTCGTCGTCCTGAGCGGGCCAATCGGTCAAAGTCTGTGGTCAACTGTACATCCGCGGCCTCCTGGGGAAGCCCTCCCACTGCAGCACCGCTCGCAGTTGCTCCCCCTCCTCGTCCAGCGGTTCGTCCTTGATCTCCACCACCTCAACCATATCGTCCGCGTCATCCTCATGTCATTCGAACACATACCGCTGGCGCAGTGCCCGCGCCCTTTCCGGCTGTACGCGCGTCGGTGGTCGCGGCACCTTCTGCTCCCGCTTAGCACGCCTCAGCTGCGCCGGCTTGGGTCGCGGAAATATCAGCGGTTTCTCATACGCATGATCGATCTTCTCCAACTTGATGGGGGGTAAGCAGTAGACGCGTCGCGTCTTTTTAAACCGATTCTTGAGCACCTGCTGAACGCCGTTGATGAGCAAACAGAAGTGCCGCCAGCTGGCCCGCGACTTGCGCCATGAGTTGGCCGTCTTGCTGAAACCATGGAAACTCTCCTCGACCGGCTTTGAGCTTCCAAATGAAGGCGGCAATGTGCGTACGACGCGCTGGGTTCGCTTAGGCATGGGGGCCACTACTATGTCGGCAGGTGGCGGCAACTGCTGCATCAGCAAGCGCAACGAGGCCTTGCTGTCCTCCAGCGAAGTGGCGACAACAGACTGTAACAGCTGGCTCTCGGTGCGACGCTGCTGCCGTGTTCTGGGCCGTCGACTGACCTGTTCCGCCTCAACCTCTACCGGAACTGGAGGTGGTGGCATGTGCAGCCTATCCTCCGGGGGCAGAGGTAACTCAATGTAGTACTCTTCGGGAAGAGGCAAAGGCGGCGCATCTTCGTCAAAGCCGTAGAAGTCCGCCTGGCACTCGAAGTCCGGGTCGTATCGTCCCTCGTCCTGCGTCAATTTGTCGAGCTCGGATACGGGCTGTTCCTGTTCCTGCTGCTGATGCTCGTCCAACCTACCTGAAGTCACCTGCTCCAAGTTGTCCTCGCTGAGGTCCACAACCTCCTGTTGATCTTCCGGTACAATGATGTGCACGTCCGCATCATTCATGCTGTACTGCAGCCACTCGCTGTTGAGAATGTCTGTCAACGTGGGGCGATCTGCAGGATCTCGCTCGAGGCATTGGCTGACTAAAAGCCGGAACGCAGGACTTGCATTTTCCCAACGCTTTGAGTGCTGGTTGAACCTCTCCCGACGCATGCGTTTGCGCAGCTCATGATGGGCGCTGGCAGAGTGGTTCACATCGTCCTGGTTTTGCCTGTACGGCGGATGACCCACTAACATTGTGTAAAGCGTAGCCCCAAGACCATAAATATCCACTGCTGGCGAATAGGTGACGAGATTCGCATCCTCAAGCATTTCCGGCGGGGCGTAGTCCAGCGTATAGCGCGGTTTGTCCTTCCAGCTTTGGAAAGTACTGTTGTAACTGTTGGAGTAAGAACGACAAATTAAATCAAAACTGAAAACAGCAGGTGTAACTAATTCCCTACCAGGCATTGCCAAAGTCGACCACTTTGACGTTCCTGTCCTCTCGGCTTTCGAACATCACATTCTCTGGTTTCAGGTCACCGTGTATAAAGTGCTTAGAGTGGATATGACGCACGGCCATGACCAGCTGCAGGAAAATCTCCCGACACGTCTGCTCATCCATGCGAATGGCGGTGGTCAGCTCCTCGCCACACAGGTACTCCATAATGATCCAAGTCTCGCACTTGTCTCTAAAAGTTCCATGATAGTTAACGATATTTTTGTGACTGTTTCCGTCCAGGGCGCATGACATCAGGGCGTCCACCTCGGAGAGCCGGAACTTGGAGAGTGGTACGACCTTAGCCATGAACACCATCTCGGAGGAACTGTCCTCCACAAAGTGACACGTGCCATAGGCACCGCCCACGGTGCGGGTGCCCAATTCGAGGTCATCCGGTCGCGCAGGTAAAATCTGCCATGATATTAGCCAGTTATAGTCAAAATTATCAGATGACAATTCAAACAGAACCCACCTGAATTCCTGGATTGCAGTATTGAATTTGGCAGTGGTTATCCCGTCGCATCTGCTCCAAATGCTCCGGTGCCACGTACGTGTAACCGCGGAAGAGCCTGATCCGGCTAGGTGGAGCATCGCATGCCGGGTCCTCCGGCTTTTGGTCGGTAAACTCATTGCTAAAGTTCTGTACATCGTCCTCGGAGTTAAGCGGGGGCTGGTAAGGCGCCTTCCGACGCTTGTTGCGCAGCTCTTGCCAGTTGATGCCATGGAAAAAGGGATGCTCTTTGATTTCGCTAGCGTCACGATGGTTGCCACCCAATCTCCGCTTCGGATTCTTCTCCAGCATCTTCAGAACAAAGTCACGGGCATTGGCGCTAAACGAGGATGGGATCATGGGCTGCTCCTTTTGGATTCGTCGCGAGATCTCCGACTGCTGTACTTGTCCATCGGCCGTCGCGAACGGCGAGGCTCCAGCAAGCAGTTCAAAAGTGAGCACACCCACCGACCACCAGTCCACAGCACTGTCATGTCCCGGCGGCCCCGTCCGGATGATCTCAGGAGCCATGTACTCCAGGGTGCCGCAGAAACTATGAGCACGATACTCATTCTCCGCCGTGAGGATCTTCGAAAGTCCAAAATCGGAGAGAACAATATGGCCCTCACCGTCCAACAGAATGTTCTCCAATTTTATGTCACGGTAGATGATTCCCAGCTGATGCAACTGCTCCAGGGCCAGCACGACTTCGGCAATGTACACCCGCACTCTGGGCTCCTCAAAGTGTTCCGCGTGGTAGAGATGCGTGAACAGCTCTCCGCCGTTGGCAAAGTCTAAAATATAAAGCTTAAATTAGTATATTTCTTATGATTTTAATACAATGTGAGTATGTTACCTAGCACGAGATACAACTTGGAGGAGGACTGAAAGGCGTAGTGAAGACTTACAAGAAAGGGACTACGCTGAACGGCCTCCAGTACCTGAAACCAAAAAGAGAATTTATGTGTTTAAAAATAGCGTATGTATTTATTTACAAACATATGTAAATTAAATGTTCTTAGTTTAATATTCCGATAACAGCTTTGTTTCCCCATTATCTTACTTAAAGGGGAAATTTGTATGCTTTATTTTACCTCTGCTTCCCCTCACTCTATTATCAAAAGCTTAATGTGTTTTTATTTTGTTTTGAGCTTTGTTTACGCGACTGGACTGGAATGCATTAGTATTAGTGGTTCTGTTGATTTGCCTGCATGTAAGTTGCTATTGTTGCATTTTATTATTGATATTCTACGAAAGAACGAAAAAAGGAGAAACATGCTAAAGAAGAAGTGAAATCAAGTACATACATATATACATATGTATATATATTTAAAAAATGAATTAGTACAAATGAATAAGATTTTCGCGTAAACACTCGCGGAAAAAGTAACAGCATTCAACCTAGTTTCCAGATCAAATTTTGAACTGAATCAAAAAGGTAATCTAAAAGACTAAATTGAAAGTGAGAGAAAAACAACGAGTGTTTAAATCAGTAACTCGTTCTTATGGGTAATACATTTGTTCTGTCTTGCCCTATTTTTTTGAGTGCCACTGTTGATGCCTTTCTATTTTGGCCACTGCGGGCCGAATTATAGACTTGTCGAATCGCAGATACCGGCGACGTTTGATAACTGGGTTAGTGGCACAGGTATCGTACCTTGAAAAACTTAAGTGGCTGGGGAAGGACGGAGGGGGAAGTGTAACAGCACAAAAAACAACCTAAAAGCAGGGCGCACAATTGTAAATTTGTTTAAGCTATCTGCCGCTATTGCGCCTACACCTGTTTTGCAGTTATTTAACGTATTTTTGTTGTTTCCCCCATTTCGTTTTCTATTTTCATTGATTTACTATGACTCTCTCGAGCGGAAAAACCGGTTGCAATAGGCAGATGCAACAACAACTTCCACTATTGATCTGAACAGGAAGCGCTCTCCAGCTCTCCCGAACCTCTACACTAAGAAAAAACATTAATAATATATGTATGTCTATTTAAAAAAAAAAAGTTTAGATAGCTATTCAATTTTGTACATTTAACACTATTAAAGTTCAATATTAAAGTATTATTTGGAAATTAACTGAACATTGAGCGATTTTAAATGTTTTTCAATCTCTTGTTTTCGCAGTGTACATATGTATGTATCCTCTCTTTTGACTCTCTGTCAACTTTTTGCCGGTGCAACAAGAACAAGTCGCTATGTAGGTCAGAAGAACATTTCTCCTCCTCTCCCCCTTTATGTTTTCCCGTTTTTACTTCTTTTTTCAGTGATTTGCTTCTGGAAACTGTACGTGCGACTTTAAAGGTTGTCAAATTGCTCGACGGGTTTAATTTCAATAAGCTGCACTTTATTTTCGTCATTAAAGTGAAGAATCTAAAGTTAAAGAAATCTGGAACCGGTGAAATTGCAAAAACATCACGCAGCGGTAAAAGGTAACAGTATACAAAAAGCAAAGAGCTACCAAAAAATAAGTTGATTAAACACGTTTGCTTTGTCGTCGTTCTGCTGGTTGAAAAGCAATTTAAAGGGTTTCTTGTGGGCTATAATCTCGAGTTTGCAGTTGCAGAAGTTTCCTATAATTCCCAAACTCTGTTGGGTTTCTTTAGTTAAAAAAATTATCTTTATATAAAAAAATTATATTTGGCTAGACAGTACCATTACTGAAACAATAGCAGTAATGTTTGGACCCCTAATCAGCTTAACCTAAAGGTTAAGTAATAAAAAACTTAAAGATAATGGCTTTATATTATATGGACTTCCAGATAAGCATGTTGTAGCCGAAGAAATTAAGTAGCAATACCGCTGTTATGAACGTTTGAGAACATTAAACTAAAGCCGTATTTTCTTAAGATTAAAATATGTATACAACTTTTAAGTAAGGTTTGATTTCAAACCGCATTTAGTAATCCCTACACTTACCACACGCTCCGTTTTTGTGTGTTCGGCGGTTTTACGCTTCTGGACAACCGTTATCTTATTAAGAACCTTCATCGCATACAATTTTCCGGCATCGTGTCTTGTCAGTTTGCGAACAAGGAAAACCCGTCCATAGGCTAAAGAAATAAACAATTATTGTCAATTTTTTTTATAATTCTCCAAACATCCAATTTAAGATTAACTTACCTCCTGTGCCAAGAACGCGAATTATTTTGAAATCATTCAGACTGACGGCTTCATCACTGTACAATTTTACTGCGGAGGAAAAAAAACTCATTAGCAATTTAATCAATGCAAATAAAAATATATTTTATTTAAGTATGTAAACATGTAAAAATTACAACTGAAACTAATCAATTTACCCTTGCAAGCCAAGTTATTCCTTTCTACGAGGAAATACGATAATGAAAAAGAATGTTAAAATAAGTGTGAAGGTATGTGCAAAATATTGGTGAGGGCGATAAAAATAGTTCTTTGCATTGTTTTACTTGACACTTGTGAGACGAGTTATCACATTTTATTTTTATCGCCAACGCAGCACGTGCCACACACTTGATTTCGTTTTTGAAGGCGAAAGCAAACAAGTGGAAATCGCATTCCGTTTATATGGGCGTTTTGGAAGCAGAGTTAAGAAATTCACAGGGAGGACGGTTAAATTGAAACTTAGTTGGCTGGCTAAAGTTGCGCATCTCGAATCCAAGGACAAGTCAAAGAACTTTTTCGACATTGGGGAAAGAGGCATTTTCTGTACATGTTTTTTGGGTTTCTTAAGAGGCATTTGCCATAGGCCATAAAGGTTCGTTGGCCCGAATGTCTCGCCATAAGACTGAAGAGTTTTTACGGTTATTACAGGGCAAAAAAAAGTTCGATTTTTTGGGGCTATAGCAACATTTTGTTGAATAACATAAAATTTAAAAAATGTATATCAGGTAATTTAAATCTATAAAAAAAAAAATTATAATTTTTTTAAGGCTGAATTACTAATTATTAATAATTGAATTATTAATATAAATAATAATAATAATAAAACACTTTTGCCTTTCAAAACTATTGTAATTTTTATAAAAAACAAAAGTGAGAATACTCATTTCTATGAAATAAATATCTAACCTAAATGGTATTCCCCTGAAATCAACTTAGTTTAATAATGAACAGTACTACTAAAAACACTACACCCAATCAAAAGGCGTATAATTTCGCATTGACCACTGAAAATCAATTTGAATTGCCTCTACATAAAACGTTCCCAAGTGACTAATTCGTGTGGGCAAACTCATCCTCCGGATTCGGGCAGTGAGTCAGGCGAACCCATTGTGACCTAACTTCCTCCCGGTCCAAAAGTCTGAAAATATGACTTTTATAAATGTTTGGCTGCTGCTTTGACACATTAATCGTCGTCATAGCGGGCAGCTTGTGGAATTGTCCTTGAACTTTGCAGGAGGTGATTCGAAGTTCATTGCAGCCAAACCCAAGAATATCTGCAACATTTTGTCCAACATTACTTCACCATTACAACCTATGTACGTGCATTCAACCCCCTTGAAAAGGAGCCATCAAATTTTCGAGTTGTTGTGAAATCAAGAAACATTGACACAAACTTTGGCAGGGGTTAATGGAATCGAGTTGCTCGGCCGAACCTGTTGTATTATTTGAAAATACAAGTTGCTAACAGCAAGTAAATGTAATTTACGCGAAACACCAACAACGCACGGGACTACGCGTGCCGAAATTCTTGGAGGGGTGCAACGAACTCAGGACTTCGAGTGGGTGGCAAATTGTGAAAGAAAACTGTTCGCCAGAATTATTGATTCAACAAGAAAATGCTGGAAAGATTGGCGTAAACATGGCTAACATTTCGAAGGGAAACAGGTTAAAATCTTTTTACTTGGGTAAATCTTTTTTAAAAGACAATAATATACAAACAAGGCTTCCTAGTCATGATAAGTATCATGAAGTTTTAATCAGTTTTACACCAATTTAAAAGCGTATTCACATAATCGGTTTCAAATTTAAGTTTAAATATTAAAATATTAAAAGCGTTGCTAAGCACGAGTGTTTATATTTTAATTATTTCGCCTTAGTTTTTAGTAAAGTCTACTGATAATCTTCTACTAAATTTAAATATATTAATATATAATATGGGAATTCATCGCATTTAAGTGTCTTAAAACCAAAAAAGAAACATTCCATTCAACCAGTGTCCATTTCTTATATTTCAAAAAAAGAAACAGTCAGTAGTAAAGGCAAGTGTCAATTTTTCGTATATATTTTTAACCCTCCTGTTTGGACTCGCGTGACGTTGAGCAAATAAATTGGCCTTGATATGCATTATATTCTCTTGCCAGGTTCTTAAACCTTATAACCGCACAAAAATGTATGTGGCTAGGCAAAGTTTAATGAACGCTAAACATAAGATAAATAATACAACCCGCAACAAGTGGAGAATGTTCTAGTAGCAAGTGCAAATTGTCGCTCGATTTAAGCCCCATTTACCAAAAGACTAAAATATCAATTTTATAGGAAACATTATTGTCCTGTATAATATTGGGTTCGGCACGTTTTTTCTAAAGAAAGGGAGGATATACATAGGTGGTCATGTTTCGTTGCCCTGACAGTGTTCTTGTGATAATTAAACAGCAATCGACAAACATAGCTCACTTATCAATTTGCAGGCAATTATCTCAGAGGCTAACTCGTTCCTATAATTATATACATACGTACATTGATATCTATGCTCAATGTTCGGCGAGTTGCATTGTCAAGTTCAAGTAAATAAACTGCCTACGAACAACAACCAACCGTTTATGCAAACAAGCATGTTTGTGAATGCAGCAAACACAGCGATGCACATATGTTTGTACGTACGGACATGGTCACGAATGCACGGCAATTTCGAAAACGGCGTACAGTGGGTCCCAATGTAGTCATATTTTTAAAAACTAAATACACAATTTATAACAGTTTTCATATCTAGTTTCTCTAGAAATGTACTCAAACTGTGGCTATTTACGAAAACACTTTTGAAAAACTTTAGCCCTTAAAAAACATTCAAAAATGTATTTCCTGCAGATCCCTTACAAAAACAATTCTTATCGCAAAGTTTTTTTTTTTTTTAGTGAATTTTGCATTTCTAAACACAAATTCCGAATGCAATAACATTGTGTCATGTTAATCTGCTAAATGAATAGTTGTATATTAATATTGCTCTCAAATAAATAATTAAATATATTCATGAAAATAAACATTCACCCCACTGTGCTGAAATGAGTCTTTTAGGTGGTGGGTATTTTGTCTGTTTGATGTATATACATAGTAACGTGGTGAGAGGTGAGTACGCAGGCAGTCGGGGCGGTTGGGCGAATTCGGGGGAGGTCAGTAGTTTTGGATTTGGCCTGACGAACGAACAAAGCCGGGTTGAGTTTTCTGGGTAATCGTGTCAAGGTTAAATGCATGTGCTCCACTTTCCAAAGGACGCCATAGACGGTGCTCCATCTGGCATTGACCAACTGCAAGCCACTTCGCCTCCTTCTCAATTAAGCCTTGAGACATCCCCCTTTAAAGTTATCAATTATTTCAACCCCTTTGGGTATCAACTACTCTGCTTAAAGAATATTGTTGCTGAAGCCTTTAAATGGGAATACAGTATTAACAGAGTTTTAGTTCGAATTTTCCACAAGTCTAGTTTGATCAATTCATATTTATAATTGCTATAAGTAAATTTAAGTTTAAGCATAAAACCACCCTATAAACCACTATTTAACCATAAAAAATTGATAATTCTTTCAATTATACTACTTAAAACAAAGCCTTAATTTAAATGGTGTCTACCTCCCAATTTGTTAACTTATTATAATGATATAAACTTATATCGTGTCAATGAATGAGAACCCTTTTTTACAGCCTCGTGGTTTGAATAAATAGAACAAGTATGTACATACATACATATACATACAGTGGTGGCCATAAGTATTTTGTCAAAATAAAAGTGAAATATACTCGAAACCTGAACTTGCTTCTTTTAACTTTTGGTATCAATGGAAAGGTAATTCAAATGCCTTTTGAATGATGCCATACTTTTCTCAACTCATTCGATATTTATTGAACAGGGCAATTTTAAAAAAAAAGTCAAAAAAAAACTTTTTCCCTCGGCTTCAAAACTAAAATTTTTGGATGCAAAAAGTTTCTTTAATCAAAAATAATAGGAACTGCAAAAAGAATTTTTCAAAAATAATTTTTCTTCTATTTTTTATGATTTTTTGAAAATGACTAGAAATACGCATTTCAGCCATATTTTTCTCTTTTCCATACAAACTTTTTCCGACATTGTCACCTTCAAAAAATCATAAAAAATAGAAGAAAAATTATTTTTGAAAAATTCTTTTTGCAGTTCCTATTATTTTTGATTAAAGAAACTTTTTGCATCCAAAAATTTTAGTTTTGAAGCCGAGGGAAAAAGTTTTTTTTTACTTTTTTTTAAAATTGCCCTGTTCAATAAATATCGAATGAGTTGAGAAAAGTATGGCATCATTCAAAAGGCATTTGAATTACCTTTCCATTGATACCAAATGTTAAAAGAAGCAAGTTCAGGTTTCGAGTATATTTCACTTTTATTTTGACAAAATACTTATGGCCACCACTGTACATATGTATGTATGTATGCAGGCTGACGTTTTGTCTTTTTTGCATTTATTCTGTTATCTAAATTGTGCTTGCTTTGGATTTGGTCTTATCTTTTGTGTCTACAGAGAAATTCTTGTGCTGCATGACTCACCATAAGATCGCAGATCGGTGACCGCCTCCAGGTCCCGTTGGTGATCCTCGTTGTCCAAGTCAAGAGGTGAACTGTTGCTTGTGGGCATGGCGTAGGAGGGCGTAGCCGGCGGGGAGGCCATAGAGGCTGCCGCAGCCGCTGCTGCAGCCGCCGCCGCTGCAGCTGCGTTGTTTGACTTTGCTTTGAATTTGCTTGGGGGCGTCGTATCGACGTCCTTCCCGCTCGGGTCCTCCTCCTCCGTATCTTGGTCGTAGTAGTCTCGCTCTGGATCCCGCTCCTCATCACTTTCGGCATCCGAAATGCAAACAATCTCCGCAACATTTTTGGATGGCGGTGATGAATGTTTTGGCGGGGATATGGTATCCCGGTAATTGTAATCCCTTGCAGAAGATGATGTAGTTTTACTGCTGCTATTGTTGTACTGGCCATTGGTTGTACTTATGCTGTTGTTGTTGTTGTTATTATTATTGTTATATGACAAGGACTTGCCAGTTCCCGAACTAGAACCCTCTGGATTCGGTTTCGACTTTTTGCCATTGGTCAACGTTACGGATTTACTATTCTTCCGCTTTTTGCCATTTCCATTTGACACTACATGTCCATTAAAATGATTTCGCACCAAACAATCCTGGTCTTCAACGGCTGTAGACCCCAATTCATGGGATACATCCTGATTCTTGCGACGCGACTTGCTCGTGCCACTGCTCAAGATTTCGTATGGCTGTTTCTCCAGACGACTCATGGCTGGTTCCTTTAGCGTATTTCTCTCTACGAAATCCCAAGTCTTCAAAATTCTCTACGTACTTTTTACGTAGTCAAAATAAAATCCAACAATTAACAAAAAAAAATTAAAAGGTCCTGTGATAGATCGTGTCGCATTTTTACGCTGAAAGGGAAGAGAAATAACTTAAGTAATTTAATTATATAAAAACCAAATGATATTAAATGTTATATACAAATAAAAAAGCTTGATATTTTATTCAGTTAAAAATTTTGTATGTTTTGTATTTCTTTTTCGATGTTTTAAAAAACACATTTTTATAACGTTTCAATTAAGCCCTCAGAAAACAATTCCCGTTTAAGCTGTATCCAACATGAAAGAGCTACTAATAAGTAATGTAATCGAAAACTAATTTAAAGATTTTCTAATGGACGAGAATGTATGTATATTTTAAAAAACATTTTTTAATATTATAATAATAATACAAATAATAAAATATTCCCCGTAGGCATTTTTTACCGTACCCTGCACATGCCATTGCCCATTCTCGTTCCCAACCCATTTCCATATCCATTCCCATTTCTCCTTCCCTCACAATATGGTACAGTTTCAACGCAAGCGGGAGTATTTTTCCCGCTGTTACCGGGCAATTGGATCGAAAAATTCTTTTTAAACAGAATGAATATATGGGAATCCGACTCACCAAGCGAGTGAAAATAAGCGCAATATTATAATGCAGACGTAGTTATCCCAATTCGAGTATGCGTGAGCGGGGGGGGAGAAGTGTTGGATTATGCGTGGGGCGGCAGCGATGTGCAACACTGAACGTTTCGATGATAATGCGGCCCGATTTTTGCAGCACTGGTGTTGGCTTAAATAATATTATTCAACCAATTTAACTGCGCTTTTTTCTTTCCTATTATATTCTGTGATTATCACAATCTTTATCAGCCCCGCGTTTTGCACTGCCACATTTATTTTTCTTTCTTCGCCGTTCTCTTTGCCCACTACTACGTACACATTTACACACGCACACGCTGACACTTTCTGTATCGGCGACTGCGTTTTTAAAGCGTTTTTGTTTTCGTCCCCAGATTCCGCTCTTCGGTGACTGTTGCTCTCAATTTTCGATAGGCTTTCCTTCGTATTTTATCCACGTACTTTCCAATGAGTAATTGATTATCTTTTGGAAATTGAATTCTTTATTTTTTTATTGAGTGTTACACGCGAAGGTTTTTACCGCCGCTTTCTACTCGTTTACGCACACACACACTGAAGCGCGGGACGCGCTCTCCGCCATCTGCTTTGCGCTCTCATTCGTGAACACTTATTAGCAGCGGCCACCTTGAGTGCATTCGCCGCGATTTACACTCGATCAGATTGTGGATATATTTCTCGCAACCTGGATAATCACTACAGCGGCCCGATCGAACGGTTCACACCAAATAGAAGGCTTTTTGGTTTGTTTTTTGACTTTAACCTCAGTACACGAACCGAACGCAAAATTTTTCCTTTTGGTTTTGTGTCACTCGTGTGGCCAGATGGGGAAAACTCTGAAATCCCAAAAAAAAAAGCGGAAAACTCATGCACGTTGGCATCTCCGTAATGTTATCGCCTCCAGCGGTGGTCTATCGATATGCGGAGGGTAAGTGCTGGTGTATTGTGAAATGTCAGTATTTGAGATTGGCGGAAACTTTTAAAATTAGTTTTAATTTTATTCAAACAGGAATGCATTTAATATTCAAACACTAATTTCAGTGGAACGTACATAGAGAACATATTTTTATATACAATAAGTTTAAATCGAAACCATTATTTCGTTTTTTGATGTTATTTTTATTTATCTCTATTTTAATATAATAAGGTTAAAATAAAACCATAATATCTAATAAATTTTTACGCTCTAAGTCCGGGACTGTACAACCATCCTTTGGATATCCCACTGGCAGTAGGATTAGTAGTTTTTCATTTGTGGGTCGCTTGAGCAGGGATCTTAAAGCAGGGCCGCAGTTTAAAGGAGTTGTGACTAAAGAACTAAGTCCTGCAGCTTGAAGGGCACACAAAAGGAGTCCGGCCGAAATGGAAGTTGATATTTCGTTGTAGTAGTGCCTTTTCCGTTTCCCGTCTTTAGATAATCCGTAAGTTTGCTTGAAGATCAGTATAAGGTACGGGGCATCTGTGAGATATTCCTTTATATAGCTGGTTTGCAGGGGCCGGAGATCCGTGACCCACTGGGGATGCATTCGCTGACTGTAGTTGATGAGCTCCTCCTGCTCCACAATCTCCCGAATGGATTGCTTCACTTCCGAGCTCTCTACAACGCAGAAGGTCCATGGTTCAGTATGGGCTCCACTGGGAGACGTTCCCGCTGCCCGGATGCAGTCCTCAATAACGCTTAAATCTGGTTTGGGGTGGCTCTTGAAGGAGCGAATACTCCGACGTCCTCGCATCAATTCGTAGAACTGCTTAGCACCATTGGGATTGAGATTCTGGCCAGGCACAAAGGGCACATGGGGTTTCTCCTCTAGAGCAGGCTGCAGTTCATCCTCGAGATCTTCCAAATCGTCTAGTTCACAAAGTATTCAACAGAAATCATTGTTTTTATAACATTTCGAATTTTCAGTAAAGGTAAGGTAATGTACTTTTGATAGAATAAAAGATTTTTTAAATGTTATATTTCATACAAATTAAAGAAAAATACAAGGTTTTTAAGTACAACAACTCTTGAAGATACTATATAAAAATAATTTGTTAAAGATTTGAATTAAAACCTTAAATACAACCTTACCTTCCTCAGCTTCCTCCTGGTTTTCCACACTGTAACTCTTCCCTGCATCTCTGTATCTTCTGTTCCCATTGAAAAACCAGTTTTTAAGGATCCAAATCAGGCCCAAGCCAAGAAGTAAACTTGGCCAGTGCTTGACCAGCTTAGAGCTGCTGATCAGATCGTCCACCTCCATTGCTTTCCCATGTGGAACTGTTTTTTCGTCTGAGAGAAAGTGTTTGTATACGCTTGAGTTGGCTTATCTCTCCGTTAAGTCGGTCAGGGTTATTGTTGATAATATTGTGTGGGTTTTGGTTTCAGTTCAGTTGTTATGCCGGCAGCAATACGGGCAGTGACAGGCCTTAAGGTGGTCGCAAATCTTAGGTCCTTTTTCCTTGTTCTTTTTATCCGATTTGTGCAGTTGGTTTTTCAGCGTTAGATTTCGTCTTGAATATTTTCGCGGCATGACTTTCTGTTGAACCAATTTTCGCTTGTGCACCTGCTTCAGAATCTCTATGATCTTCCACTTGGCATCGAAGAAAATAAACTCTGGCGCTGTAGTTAGTTCGGTTGTAATCAAATCGCAAAGCATTTGGATTTGCTGACTATTTCCCGGTTGAGGTTGCGGCATGTTCTGTGGTTCTTGAGGGGATTCCGAGGTGCTTACCCGGCATCCGGTGACACAAGCCGAGTTTTCCGGTTGCCAGGGACAGGATATCGGTTTCTTTACAGGTTCTGATACTGTTCCTCTAGCCTTAAGATCGCCTGCATATTGTTCCGGTTGGCCAGAGAAGGTATCAGATTTTTGATCATATTCAAATTCTAATTCCGAACTGTTCCGCTGATTAGGTTGGGGTTCTGGCTTGTTTTGTCGTTCTTGAGGGGATTCCGAGGTGCTTACCCGGCGTCCGGTGACATTAGCCAAGTTTTTCGGTTGCCAAGGGCAGAATATTTGTTTTCTAACCACTTTTGGAACTACTCTAGGTTCAAAACCGCATACATATAGCTTCTGTTGGCAGTAGCAGGTATCTGATTTTTGATCATATTCAGGTTCTAATTCAGTACTTTTCCGCCTTTCAGGTTGGTATTGTGGCTTGTTCTGTGGTTCTTGAGGGGATTCCGAGGAACTTACCCGGCATCCGGTGACACAAGGCGAGTTTTTCGGTCGCCAGGGACAGGATATCGGTTTCCTAACAGCTTTTGAAATTCTTCCTCTAGCTTCAAGACCGCATGCATATTGTTTCTGTTGGCAATAGCAGGTGTCCAATTTTTGATTAGATTCAGGTTCTAGTTCCGAACTTCTCCGCCTTCCTGGTTGAGGTGACTCCAAGGTACTTACCCGGCGTCCGTTGCCATTAGCCAAATTCTTTGGTTGCCAAGGGCAGAATATTTGTTTTCTAAGAACTTTTGGAACTGTTCCTCTAGGATCAAGACCACATGCATATTGTTCCTGTTGGCAAGAGCAGGTATCTGATTTGTGATTAGATTCGGATTCTAATTCCGAACTTTTCATCACACAAGAAGAATTTAACGGTTGATAGACAAAAGGTTTTGTTTGAGTGGAAACGGATTCTGATTCTTGATTATTGGGTGACAAATCGGTTGCCTTTAAGTCTTGATCGTTGGCATCGGATGAAAATTGGGTGGACGTCCTGGGGGTAGATTTATATTGACTGGATCCTTCCTCAGTGTTATTTAAGTTTTTTGGTTCCGATGAGGGAGAAAGAATTACATTTTGCTGAGCATCTTCCTCTTCACTAGATTTTTCTTTCTCTTTCAATTGGGCGGACATCCTGGACGTGGATTTATTTTGCACCGAGGAGGGGGATAGGGTAACACTTTGCTTGGCATCTTTCTCCTCACTAGTTTTTTCTTTCTCCTCCGATTGGGAGGAGACTGGAACTGGACTGGAACCTTCCACATTTTTATTTATCGACTTATCCTCCGGTAAGGGGGAAAAGGTTTCCTTTTGCTTAGCATCTTCCTCTTCACTATTCTTTTCTTTCTCCAGATTTTCTTTCTCTTTAATTTTCTCTTTCTCGTGCTCAGGAATCTTTGAATTCGGTCGATCAAGCTTCTCAATCTCCGGTGTTTCCTCTATATCGCTGCCCTTTTTATGCTTCTTCCTGCACCAAGATAGGTTCCCAGGAAAACCAGCTAAAGGAATGCCGGAGAAATTGTTTAATTTATGGCATAACTTTTCCGCTGTGGCCATTTGGTTTTTCACATTCCTTGAAGGAAGTTTTCCGGGGGACAGCAAACGTGTGCCGTTGCAGGGAAAATCCTCATCAAAATCGATGGACAGATAAGGCACCAAGAATAGAAACTCTTTGTAAAAGCGAATCGAAGGTGTTATTACTTTACCATGCTTCCTTCGGGCACTTTCAATAATCCTATATTCCCTCTCGAAGAGAGTTCTTAGTTCTTCGAGATACGATCTTAGTTCCGAGCCACTTTTTCCTGGAAAAGATCGCGCCAAGTAACTGTAGCAATCCTCATCGATCTCTTTGTTGCCATAGTAAATGTTTTTCGGGTTGTAGAGACTATTATATTTGCAATACAGGCGAATTAATTTCCTCACATCCTTTTCCTCTAGGCACAACCTGTTACCTTCTAGCGAATCATTTTTCTTAGCTTTACCGATTCTTTTGCCAAAGAAAAACCGGAAGAACCCTTTGAATTTTTTAGGTTTCTTGAGGGGATTGGGCTTTGATTCTGATGCCGTTGTAGTCTCAATTGAGCTGATCTTGAAGGAATGGTTGTCCATTGGCATCATTGAGCAACTCGAAACGGAACGCTTGGAGCAGCTGTGTCTGTGTTTTAGTTCCATCCTCAGCTATCTGGCGTTTGAGGATCGTAACATTCGGATCGGCCTCGTCTTGTACAGACTGTAAGTTCATCAAGGGCAACAGCATTATTACTTAACTAAATTTTGAAGCATTATTTAAAACTATAGATTGTATTCCTGAATTTTTTTGTTGGTTTTTTTTATTTATTTATTTTTTTTTTTTTTGATAGAATGACAAAAGGCCCTTTGGGTTGTCTATTTGACGTGCAAAAGTTTTAGAATATTTATAAGCTAAATTCAAAGGCTTAAGTGTGACCTGACCCTTTTGAACAAAAGCTGTTAGTGTGTTGGTGTCCCATTTTGTGTTGAAAGCTATTTAGTGTTTTAAAGGATTTTATTTTTTCAGGGAACTTTGTATACAAACGGTGGAAAACGGGTAAAGCCAATTGGAAAAGAATTTTTTAAATAAAGAGTTTGAAATAACAGCTTAGCTTTTAACGGACTTCTTCAAACAACGTTATCAGCTGTTTTTTGCTACAGTCATTTTACAACACTTTCTCCAAGAGACAGAGAGAGTGTTCGCCTTGGCCTTACAGCGAAAGAGAGAGAGCGAGAGCCCAAAACAACCAAAATAAGTTACGTGAAATTATAAATAAAAAATAAGGAAATAAACGTACAGCCGTCGACCAACCCAAGTACAACAAAGCAACGCTCCAAAATCTGACAACACATTTTAGTTTTTGCTCGTGCCATGTGAGCAACTTCAAATCGAAATCGGATCAGAAAGCAGTGTGTGCGGGTGTGCTAATTAGCGGAAGACGGCAATTTATTACAAAAAAAAAATACCCATAATCAACTTCTAATTCAACACGAAATCCAAATTAAATCGCCGTCGAAGTTTTGAACCGAATGAATGCGAAAAGTGCAATAAATCAATGAATTGTGGTGGAGAAAAGAAGAGGAGAGACGAAAGCAGCGCCCACAACAAAAACAAAGAGAGCAAGACTTAACGGGACACCCAAAACTTTAAGGCACTACGAGATTTTCATAATAGTTCTAGTTTAAATAGATCGAAAAATGGACGAGGTCTTCAGCCTGCACATGGAGAAACTGGACGTTTACGACGGTTAGTATGTGATTTCCGGGAAATTCCACTTAAAACTAATAAGATGGATGTATGTACTGATAAAGTACATGGAGCTTGTAGTGTGATAAACAGCAAAGCTAGTAAAACATTTCTTTTCTTCTTTTTAATGCCCCAAAAGGAGATTCTCATTTTTAAAAGTAATAACTCAATCTCAAAAATAAGATAATCTGGAATTGCCTCTCAAAAAAAATTATGCTTAAGAATAGAAGACTATGATTATTCATTGTACCAAAAATTATCACACATAACATAGCCAGCCGTATTGTTATGCGAAGATATTTACGAAATCAATGATTCACTCTGGAATTTAATATTACTAGTGTAGTCTAGTTTGCAAGTGGTAATTCTGTTAATTTGCATTTTATAAAAAAATTCATAATTAACCAAGTCATTTACCATTAAAAAGCGAATCATAAAAACAACGTCTGGGATACATTATTGGTTTATTTAATGTTAATATGTTAAACTTGCTTATTTTTTTGTAAGGTTTAAATTAGTTTTAAACTTATGTATCTATTACAAAGGTTATAAATAATAAACCAATAAAATTAACTTATAGATACAGATGAATATAGATTAAGTATGGTATTAAGATACCAAAAAGAATAAGGAAAAGGACATTTAAAATTGCCAAATCCCAGATTCCTAAAAGTAGGTAAAAATTATAAAGTAAATCAGGAGCAACTCCTCGTTAGTCATTATCTTCTGGATCCGATCCTGCGAGTATCTCCTGGATGATGCGGTGTCCGTCCTCCGTTTTCTCGCCCTGGATAATGAGATCCCTTAGTGTGGATATATGTTTTTCGCCCTGCTCTATTTGAACTTTCAGTGTGTCGTTTTCCCTTCGCAAATCGTCGATGCGTTTTTTCCGTTCCTCCGCCGACTTTTTGGTCTTTTCACGGGTGCGTTGTACAGCCTGTTGCAAGAATTAATAATAAATCAATAGTTGCAGCTATTTTTGGGGTGTTCTGGGGGCCCCATCGGCAACATGTTTCCCACTCTCTTTACATATTTATATATCCTCTCTGTTTACTTACCTCATTGTTTTTCTTTCTTTTTTCTTGGTACGCTGGATCGTCTGATCGCGGACTCAACGGACTTTCTCCATTTTTGCTGGTCGATGCCGCATTTGCAGTTCTCCTCTTGGCCGGCATTCTCTCCGTGATAATTTTGATCTGTATTTAGTTTATATTCGATTTAAAACCATCAAAATGCAGCAAGAAACGCAACGACGTAAATGTTGTGGTGAAATTACACGACAAACAGCTGTTCACTGGCCCTGGTAGTGTTGGAAAGCGCACCGCCTACACTGCCCAGCAAACAAACATTTGGCGGTATTATAATTCTGATTGAGAAACTTAAATTTAAAATTCACCTAACATAGCCTTAGAATGTTATTCAAAAACTGTCAACATTTTGCTTGCTCAGACTTTTTAGGCACCTCGTTTATTTTATTATTTATCAACTGTTTATACAATTTATTTGTAAAGACTGATTTCTAGTACGTAGATTGTAGTCTAATGGAATTAAATTAAATGAAATGTAATACGTAATAGTCAATAAATGTTTTAAATAAGCAAAAGTTTAAATTTTCAAAGTGTTTACACTACACCCAATATACAAACTTGCTGAGGTTAAGTGTCGACCCTCTGCGATTTGCAACACTGTGATTCCGATTTATTTGCAACCGGCACAATTTTGCATTAAAATCTAGGCAAAATGTCCTCGCCAGCGCCCAAATCACCGGAGCTTTCGGATAAAAGCAAGAAATATGATAGACAAATCAGGTAACTGCTCGGGCAAATTTAAAAATTAAGTAACTACAATTGTCTCTGCAATTCAGGCTATGGGGCGAGCACGGTCAGACGCTTTTGGAGGCTGCTACTATTTGCTTAGTGAATGTTACGGCCGTGGGATGTGAAACGGCGAAAGGATTGGTACTACCCGGTATCGGAGGCTTCACTGTGGCAGATGGTAGCACTGTCAAAGAGGAGGACTTGGGCAACAAGTGGGCAAATTATTCCATAACGCTTTACCAACATTAAAGCCAATTTTTCTTTCTAGTTTTTTCCTAGATCACAGCTGTTTAGGAAAATCTAAAGCTTTCGCTTGCATGCAGCTTCTCCAGGAGCTTAATCCCGATGTTAATGGTGATTATGTGGAAGAAAGTGCGGACTATATATTGGCCAACAGGCCCAATTTCTTCGACAGCTTTGATTTGGTCATTGCCTCCAATTTGAATGAGCAGACGTTGCTCCTTTTGGCCAACCGCTTGTGGGAGGTCAATGTGCCCCTGATCTACTGCCGATCCCTGGGCATGCTGGGCACTATACGCCTCCAAATACGGGAGCATTGCATCGTGGAGGCGCATCCGGATAACAGGCAATTTGATTTGCGTCTAGAGCATCCATTCGATTCCTTGCGGCAGCATCTCGACAGCACCGAGGTGACCAGCAAGGTTCCTTGGCTACTGGTACTTCACAAATATTTAAACGTTTGGCAGAAGCAGCAGGCAGATGGGGCTCAAACACCCCGAAATTACAAAGAGAAAAATCAATTGAGGGAAGCAATTAAAGAAGAAATGAAGGCGGATGAAGAGAACCACGAAGAAGCCATCAAGGCGGTAAATACAGCATTCGGAGCGGGACACGTTCCTAAGGGTCTTAAAGACATATTCGATGACGATGCCTGTGAACAGCTGAACAAGAAGGTGGTCTATAGTTTTCTATAACATGTTTTTTCAATATTCTGAAGTTATCCCTTGCATGCACAGAGCAACGTCTTCTGGATCATGGCCAAGGCGCTGAAACACTTTGTGGTGCACGAAAATGAGGGCTATTTGCCGCTGCCTGGCGTTCTGCCAGACATGACGGCCAACACGGACTCCTACATTGCCCTGCAACACATCTACCGCCAGCAGGCGCTTCAGGATGCCGACCAGGTGTACCACAAGTGCCAGGAGTATCTCAAGCAGCTGGCTCTGCCCGCCGACAGCATTGATGAGAGGAGTGTGCGTCTGATATGCCGGGAAGCTGCCGGATTGGCTGTGTTTAGAGGCACTCGCATTGCTGAGGAGTACGAGAAGAGCAGTCGACTTTTACATCTTGGTAGGAGCCTATTTAAATAATTTATTCTTTAAAGTCATTTTTTAACCTCTTAGTTGAGGACAACGAGCTACAGGGTGACCTCACGGCCTACAACTTTGCGCTGCGTGCCTATGAGCGTTTCCTCAGTGAGTGTGGCAACATTCCCGGTGAGTGCATCGTAGAGCAGGATATTGGTCGCCTAAAGAGCATTGCCGCCAAGATGCTGAGCGATCTGGGCATGCATGCCAGCATCAGCGACGACGTGTTGCACGAGATTTGTCGATACGGCGGAGCCGAGTTGCATGCCGTTTCCGCTTTTATAGGTAAACACTCCTCTGCAGTTGAGAGTAACATGATTTAATTTGCTCCTCTTTCTTTCAGGTGGCTGTGCTGCCCAGGAGGTGATCAAGGTGATTACCAAACAATACAAACCTATAGATAATACTTTTATATACAATGCTATAACCACTGAAAGTGTCACATTGAAGCTATAAACGAATCGTATTTTAATAGAGCCTTTTTTGGAATTAGTTATAATGATTTTTTGGCAGCTGGGTATACCATGTATTTTTGAACATAGAACCTTCCAAACATAAAGAGGAAGGGTAGCATATAGGCGGCTCCAATTAGGGTTATCCAAGTTCCGTACTCGCAGCCTTGGATAACCACCTGCAATGCCCAGAAAAAGACGACAGTAAACTGGACCAATTGGAGGCCAGTCAAGTATCGCTTCCACCAGAGAAACTTCTGAACGCGGGGACCCAGTACACTGAGCGCATAATAACTATACATTACTATGTGCACGAAGGAGTTTATCATCGTTGGCACATAAACTGCAAGAAAAAGAAGGTATTACCTTTACGGGACACCGAAGTTCATCAGAAGTGGACTAACCTGAACCCGTCGGCATCCACTTTATGAAGATCCAGCAGAACACGAACATGGTGCTGTGGTGGTACACGTGCAAGAAGCTCAGTTGATTCCACTTTTGGCGCAAGATAAAGAAAGCTGTGTCGGCGAACTCCAGTATTTTCGAGATGTAAAACCACCAAAAAGCCGCGGCTAACTGATTGACAAATTAATAGTTTCTCGCTCGTATTATATTTTTTCCTTTAAATATCTTACCCGCATTTCTTGGGGGCTGTAGCTCACACGACATGGCTGGCAACTAAAGCTATATCCCAGTTTTCTAGACGCCGTGAAGAGCTCGAGGCAGATGTGTGCATTAAGGAATGCCATGGCTAAACTATGGCTGAATAATGGCACTCGCAGCTGCAGCGGCTTGTACCTTTAAATTTAGAATAAGGTATTCCTTACTCTTAAGATGGATATGTGTATGACCTCACCTGGCTATCCATTTGGGCCCGTAGTGAACCATCAGGAAGTAAAGTGCCAGCAGGGTAGGCACATTCCAAGGAGACTCCACCAGTGGCCAATTACGCGTCCGCTCATCGGCCAAATCCGCAAAGGGATACGAATAACTGCCAATTTTTGTGTCATTACCAACTGCCTCCATTAAATGTGTGCTCCAAGAACTTCCAGATCATACTGGGCAAGCTGGCCTTTCAACGTTCGACTCTTATAAACGGATTTTGGCCATGATCGCTCCGCTCATGCGTTGATATTTTCCCCCAAATTTAATTAGATGTCGCTGGAGCAGAAACGTTGGGTAAGGTCTGGGTTTAACTAGCAAGATTTTCACCTAGCGTTTTATTACTTAATGTCTATTGGTGTCCAATGTCAAGATTTTATATTTTCTGGGTCAGTTTCCATTTAATGCCATTTAACTCTTATTATGCATTTTTAGAATTATGGGAAAAAAATCATGGTCCGACAGCCTTCCATATTTAAAAAAAAAACAACCAGGTTCTTTAATTCTTGCACTTTATTTTATTGGGACTTGGAAGTGGGTTTAGGAAATAACTAGAAGCGGCGGCTAAAACGGCGACCACCTCGGCGCTCACGCACTACAAGACGCCTCCCCAGACGACGTCCTTCACTTTGGCGGCCACTGCGGCGTCCTCCACTGCGGAAGCCGTAGCTCCTGTGGTGGTGGTGGCGGTGCCTGTGGCACCTCTTCGTCGATGTCTCAGTGGTGCTGGTGGAGGTGCTGGATGCCGTGGTGGTCGTAGTGGTGGTGGTGGTTGTCGAGGAAGATTGTTGCAAGGACAACGCCACGAGGGCGGTCAGGACGACGAAAGATAGCAGAAGGACGGGACGCATGGCGGCTTCTCTTTTGGCTGGACTCGGAGCTCTGATTCTGGCAGCAACTCGTTCTAGTTATTTATAGCAAACGCATCAAAGGCATCTGCAGTTGCTTACAGATCTTGCTTGTTTGCAGACCAAACACATAGCATGCTCTGGAATTTCCAAAATCTGCACGAGAAAGTATCTAACGCCGTCATTGTTATTAAAGTTTAAACTAAAAAGAAACAGAAACAAAATCACTTTTGTTCTGGCAAAGAACAAAGCAAGAATAAACTCAACTATAGAGCTCTGAACGTTTAAATACCAGTCACATAACCATCGACGCAAAGTCCGGGCTATTGCTTAAAGAAATATGGGGCCGTCGATAAACCTCGTGACGCTAACTCTTTGCTATTTTAACCCCCTTCCCCCTATGTGACGCATCCCTTATACAAGTTAGAACGTGACTCTCTGATGAACCCCCCTGATCTGAACTCTCTGATGACGGTCCCTATGTTCTTATTTTAAAAAAGGTTTGCTCTTAGGAAAATATAAAAAACTCTAGACTAAAAATGTATGTAACAAAATGGGCGTTAATAATATAATAATATATTTAATAATTACAAAGGAGTACAGTATACCCTTGAACTCAAACGTAACGGGTATCAAAACCAAATTTTAAATTATACATTTTGGCTTGATCTGAACTAAGCAACAAATCAAATAAATAAAGCATAGCATACTTTTTTGAGCCTGGCATCCATAAGTAGATTATTTCTGTTCGTGGATCGACTTATGTATATACATATGTATATATATGTACATATTGACATTCTTAAGCATCTGCTGGCATTAAGTTTCGGTCCTCATTAAATATGTATCTACAGTAGAATCCGCTTATAGCGACTTTCAAGGGACCGACGATTTTTCGTCATTATACCCGGAAGACGCACTAAGCAGAAGGATTTAAGTGTATAAGTCTGTATATGGACCAATCAAGCCATGGAGTTTTCGTCGCAAAAACCGGACGGACACTATAAGCGGAGTCGTTATAACAGGATTCTACTGTACATAACTATTAATCTGCTTGGTACAAACTAGAGCTTAAAAAAACTTTTATTGAAGTCTTGTAAACATAATTCAAAAATCGTAGTTCACGAATGTAAATTATTATAAATAAAAATCCCTTCATGTGATGAAATGTAATTTCTTTTTTATTTTTTTCTTTAAAACATTTCTAACAAAATGTTATAATTATAGATTTAGTTAAAATAGAGAAAGAAAAAATAAATAGCTCAAGCTTCTGTGCATAGAGTGTAAATATTAACTAAGCGGGTAATAAGCGGTTGCCAAGTTTACTTTGCTGTCTGATTTAAGAAAAGAACACGCTCCAAGATCTGGTTAGAAACGAAAACACAATTTCTAATTAAACAAGCCAATAATGAAGGTAACAAACTAAGCCCAAAATATTAGCTGTTGATTTAGTAGTTTTAAAATGGAATTAAAAATTTGAAAACTTTCCGTACCCTTGACGCAATAGGCCTGTAACAGGGCTATAAATGGAAGGGCGACGGCTTGGGTTGGCACACATTCCGTCGGCAACCAGCATCGAACCACATCTAAAATGAAACTACTTCTTCCACTAGCCTTGGTTATATGTATTGTTCATTTGCCTAAGCTCCGTTAGAGGCGCCTCCTCAGGCTCGGGTACTGGAACCGGCACAACTGGAACAGGAACTGGAACCGGTACCGGAACAGGCACAGGAACAGGCACAGGAACTGGAACCGGTACCGGAACCGATACATCAACAACAACAGTAGCACCCACGACCACCAAAACTACAACTACCACCACGGCCACCCCTGCGCCGACCCGCAAGACTGTCCATCGCCGAAGACGCCGCCGCATCATCATAAGGAGGATCGTGCGCAGGCGCGCAGCCGAGAGAAGGCGTCGTAGGGTTTAAAAACTGTTAGCAAATTGACAATATTCAGAGCACAGAAATTGATGTTATATGTATGTATAAAGGTGTAACATAAAACTTCAATTTAAAATGTACAAACACACAATCAATATTTTAATTTGATTTAAAAAAAAAACTAGTTAATTTACTACGATAAAAAATGAAAAAGAAACTTTTTTGGGCTTTTTGTGTTTTTTTAGTCTTTATTTTTCTATGGTTTACATTTTTTGGTCTTACTATTCAAAAATTGTTTAACCTTAAATAAACCCTAGTTTTTAGCGTTCAATATAAAAGTAACCACTTTAAATAAATGAGGGCAGAGGAAAACATTGTCTAGCTCAGTGTTTCCCAAACTTTTCGGGACCGCGACCCACCTACATAAAAAATTACAAGATCTATATGACAATTCTTCTTCTTTCTTCTTTTAAAATTGTAAAAATGATTTGTATATTACTCTTGCTAATTCCTACTCGTAACGTTTTTGGCTCCTTTTTCTTTTATTAGTATAAATTTAAATTTTTCTTCTGCTTCAGTGGGAGAGTGTCCATTTTATGCTCATTTGAACTAAATCCCTAGCGTGTAATTTTTTTCATATTTTCGCCTTAGTTTAGTTTTACAAAAAGATATAACAATCTAAATATTACATCTTTGAGCTGGTTAAGGGATCATCCTGTCGTTGTAGCTCTTTCTTTAATCTTAAATTTGTATTGCTATGCCTTAATTTATTGAATCCCAAGCAATGTTAATTTAATTTAATTTTACGTTATTAACTCGAACTCATTGGCATATATGTATCGGATTAATCGAGGTTGTGTTGATTTTCGTTGTACATCTAGTTATTTGCATATCTGTACTTAATAAAAAAGCGCCGCGTATCTAATGACTTATGTATTTGCACCAAGTATAAGTTATGGGTGAATAAGAAGTTATGGATGAATAAAGTTATTGTAATCCCTAAGGTTGTCATCCAAAGTTAAAGTAACACATAACTCGCATGTATTTTACATTTGACCCAAAGCTATTAGAGTAAGGTTTTTAACAAAGTAAAAGTAATTCGTTATCAGATAAGTTCCCCCAATTACTTTGCAGAAGTTATGTTATTCCGATACTAACTCGTGGGGAAATTACCTGGAAGTATTGGATCTTTATCCAGTCTTAGGCATAGTATAATTTGCATCTTATTTGTATTATTCTAATTATCTTTTATGCAAAACCGATAATGTAGACCCAAGATACACTCTAAAATGGTTTTAATTACAATGATTGTTAAACATTTCTTAAAATTTTTTTTATTGGTGAGTGGTATTTTCCATGAACAAAAGACATCCACGCACAAAACATAAATTTTCTTTTGCTAAACCAATAGTAACAATAAGAGAACAAAGCGGCTTTATTCCCTTATTATCCAGAACTTGGAAATTCCAGAGAAGGTTACATATTTGGAGTGCAAACAACAATGATATGGTAGTTACTTCAGATGCTATATAAGTCGATACGGTGGATGGTAAAATCAGAATCCCGAGACCAGTCAAAGAGAATCTGCCATGCGTCCAGTTCTTGCGCTAACCCTGGTCGTCCTGACCGTCCTCGTGGCCCTGTCCTCGCAGGCATCCACGCCGAGCAGCTCCTCCACTTCGCCCAGCAGCTCTTCCACCTCCCCGAGCAGCTCCTCCACCTCCCCGAGCAGCTCATCCACCTCTCCGAGCAGCTCCTCCACCTCCCCGAGCAGTTCCTCCTCCTCGTCCGACACCACCGCAACCACTACGACCACGACCACCACCACTACGGCAGCCACTACCACCACCTCCACCACGGAAACAACGAAAAGGAGGCATCGCCGCAGACACCGCCGCAGGAGGATCATCATCATCCGCCGCAGAGGAGGAGAGAGGCGTCGCAGGAACCGCTTCCGCGATGGCGAGGATGATGGCGGTCGTATCGTAAGGCGCATTCGAGTGCGTGAGCGCCGTGTCGGAGGTTTTCGCCGTTTCTAAAAATCATTGAAACATTTACCGATTTCCATTGAAAAATAAAGTCTTTCTAAAAAATATTCTTTGTTTTTCCAACCTAATATATGTATTGGCTAAACGCTATCCTATAAAATGTATTGTGCTAAATTAAAGCACAGAGGTTGCTTTAGAACAGTGACAAAGCTACAAATCTTAAAGCATTCGACTTAGCTGAAAGGTTCCTTATTCTTTTCGAGGAAATTTTCAATAATGGTATAGTTACCATCTCAAAACTAGAGTTCATATATCAACTCTCTAAAATTTCTTTGAAACAGTTAATCGCCTTCAGGAAGAAATAAATTTCATAAACAACAAATCATTATGCGTTGTTTGTAAGCGAAGTTTTGAAATTAAAGCGATGCGCAATATTCGTTTCTAATTTTGGCTTTCTTTTTCTAACTCATTTTATTGCAATAAAATTAAAGTGACCTTTCCACTTATACTTCGTTGCATAAAGTTATACATAATTAATTTTTTTATATTTAACGATGTTTCTAGTTGCAACTATATCTTACGATCTTCTCATTAAACTTTGTTCGTATATCATAGCTAAGTTATTATGCGAGAATATTTAAAAAAAAAATGTGATGCGTAAAGCAAGATTAATATCTTAATGTAATAATCTATGTTTAAGTTATGACAACGAAATAATTTGTGAAGAAACTATGTATTTTTTTTAAAGTATTTACTTTTGTCTTCTTTTATAAAGGATCAACCTGAAAGGGTATATAAATGTTAACAAGAGAAGAAAAACAATTCCTTTATTATACCATTGTGTTTTTTCATATGATTTTTACTTTTCTATCCAAAAACTTACATATTGACTCGAACTCTTTTGTTAAATAAAACAGTTGTAGTTAGACTGTTAACTAAGCAAATATGTTCCATACATTCTTCAGCGATCTAAAAAGAAGTTTTTATTGTTTATTTAGTCTTAACATTATATTGTCAGCCAAAAGAAAGTATACTTATTAAAAACTATTTTGTAGGTACTGATTATTTTTGATAACTGTAGATAAAGTACAATTTAATTACTGAGAAATAATAATAAACATAATGTTAAACTTATTTTAAACTAAAAATGTCATTGTTGGGAAGACTTTAAACTAATTGTATAATTGATATTTAAATCATAATTTCGTTTAATCACATAGTCTATGTTTGGTTTAATTCTTATATTTATTTTAAACTTATTTGCTTTTTCTTGGTTCGAATAAGTCAGACCTTTAACGCACTTTTAAAAATAGATGCGTGGTACTTTCCATGAACAAAAGACATCCACGCACAAAATTCTCTTGTGCTAAACCAACAGTAACAATAAGTGAACAAGACGGCTTTATTTTCTTATTATCCAGAGCTTGGAAATTCCAGAGAGAGTTACATATTTGTTTGGCAAACAACCGAGATCTGGTAGTAGCTTCAGATGCTCCATATGCCTTCACTATAAATAAGCCGATCCGATAGGTGGTAAAATCAGAATCCCGAGACCAGTCAAAGAGAATCTGCCATGCGTCCAATTCTTGCGCTAACCCTGGTCGTCCTGACCGTCCTCGTGGCCCTGTCCTCGCAGGCATCCACGCCGAGCAGCTCCTCCACTTCGCCCAGCAGCTCTTCCACCTCCCCGAGCAGCTCCTCCACCTCCCCGAGCAGCTCATCCACCTCTCCGAGCAGCTCCTCCACCTCCCCGAGCAGCTCCTCCTCCACGTCCGACACCAGCCCAACCACTACGACCACGACCACCACCACTACGGCAGCCACTACCACCACCTCCACCTCGGAAACAACGACAAAGAGGCATCGCCGCAGGCACCGCCGCAGGAGGATCATCATCATCCGCCGCAGAGGAGGAGAGGGACATCGCAGGAACCGCTTCCGCGATGGCGAGGATGGTGGAGGTCGCATCGTAAGGCGCATTACCGTGCGTGAGCGCCGCGTCGGTGGTTTTCGCCGTCTCTAAAAATCATGTACCATTTGAAACTGAAACATAAATTCCTCTCCAAAACAACAAACGATTTTTTTCTCAATGCTGGTGGGCAATGAAATTATTCCTTTCAAAAAAAGCCGAAAGACTTCCTATCCTCAAGAATAGAATGAGAAACACAATGGCTTTCCTTTTCACTTTTCAAACAGGATTTTTTTATTTGAATTGTCTTACAAGCATCCAAAAGGATAATTTATTTAGACTAAGAAATTTTTAGAATGGCGGAAGGTCTAAGCCACATTCGTCTGGTTTTTTGAATACGAGGGCGTAGGTGAGTACGGGATGGACATTGCAATCCTCGGAAGCTGTGGAGAGCAGCGAGTGCGTCGAAGGACTCTCCATGAACAACATCTCTGCATCAAACTGACTCCAGCGTCCCCGCTTCAACTGATCCTTAACATATTTTAACTGGGTGTTGATCTGGGGAAGTCGGTAAGAGAAAATGATTTATTCTTTTCGGTATTAAGAAAAGGATTCATATATAATTAAGGATATTTTGCAGTAATTATGGCAATATAGATTTAACCTTTTAAATTGTATTATATTTATCCTTTTTTTTTTCTTAGGGTTTCTTTCAGTTAATAAAGGCTATGTGCCTAAAAACAAGAAAGGAAGCTAGCTTCGGCAAGCCGAAGCTTATATACCCTTGCAGTCATCAAATATTTCGAACAGAATACACAAAGGCTAAACAACATCGAAGCAACGACGACTTTTCTATTAATTTTTTATATTTTTGACTATTGTTCATATGACAGCTATATGATATAGTCGTCCGATTTTGATGAAATTTTATTTGTTATTCAAGAGTCGTTAGAAAACTCTATATTCCAAAAATCATGATTTTCTGATGAGAAATAACGATGTTATCATTTTATTTTCGTTAATTCTATATAGATTTTTCGATCTTTCCTATGGCAGCTATATGATATAGTTGTCCGATTTTTATGAAAATTGTTTTATGAACCAAGGCTAGTTAAAAACTTGATACTCAAAAAATCATAGTCGTGTGATGAAAAACAATCACCTTATCAATTAATTTCCATTAATTCTATATATATTTTTTGATCTCTCCTATGGCAGCTATATGATAGAGTTATCCGATTTCGATAAAATTTAACCCGAAATTCAATAGTAACTAGAAAACGCCATGTGGAAGAAATCAAGTCGATCTGATCAAAAACAACGGCGTTAGAATTTTGTATTTCAATCTCTTGTATGGGAGCTATCCTATATAGTCGCCCGATCCGGCCCGTTCCGACTTATATACTGCGTGCAATAGCTACACACCTTTTGGGAAAGTTTCAGCAAGATAGCTTTAAAACTGAGAGACTAGTTTGGGCAGAAACGGACAGGAGGACAGACGGACAGACGGACAGACGGACAGACGTACAGACGTATTTCGATTCAGATGGTGATGCTGATCAAGAATATATATACTTTATGGGGTCTAAGGTGTCTCCTTCACTGCGTTGCAAACTTCTGGCCAAAATTATAATACCCTTTTCTCTGCAAGGGTATAAAAATAATTCAATAACTTTACCATAGGAACCAGCAAAGGGTTCTTCCCACAGTTAAACAATTCAGCCACAAACTTTCGGAGATTTTCAGGACTTGGTTTCGCATTGAGTGCCTGGTGCAGGATTACCCGAATTATGGCGCGTATCTTAAATTCGCAAAACAATTAGGAACAACTTTGAAAATAAATAAGCAAAAGACAAAAGTCCTACCTCCGGATGTTGGCAGAGATATTCCCAGTTGCCAAGACGAAGCTGTTTTTGGATGCGCGATATAGAGTTATATTTTTTTATGTCTTTTGACTTCCATGTTCCAAGATCCCAAACCTTGGAGAAATACGGCTTATTTAATTTCGACATTGTTTTTATCAGTTTACAAAAACTTGCTTTAACGAGAATTTTGAGTCATATATTAGTACAATAAAAAATTAGAAATAAAAAACAAAGGTCAGTTGATAAGACATACTTTTTTCACTTTAGGCATTCTTGAAATAAAATAAACCAAAATAAATATTTTTGTATAATCAAAATTAAAAATCCCGCCAATTCGCTTTGGTAAAGTACTCGATACTTATCCCTGCAGTCTTTTGCAAACTAAGAAAGGGTCACACTGCCCGCACAAAAGAAAATTTTGAGGAAAAATTTGAGGTTTCCGCTTTTAATTAACAATGATGAATTAATTAGCGCTGGAATTAGCACACGCTACAACTTCAGAAACTTTAAAGGGTCCAAGGCATTAGAAAGCTATGGTAAGACCAGTAAAGAGAATTAAAAACTGCTGTTTTTAGGGCGAAAAAAACCTGGCCAGCTGAACCGGCTTGCCCGGAAAAATGAAAAGTCCGTCGTAATATTGGACCAAAAATAGACCGGAGCGCAGTGACCCAAAAATAGCCACCACATGTGCCTCTAATTGAAAACCTCTCCTTTGCTTTTGCAGGCCGTGCTGGGCGCCCAGTTGGTCATCACACTGGTGATGGTCAGCGTTATCCAGAAGCTGAGTCCGCACTACTCGTTCGCCAAGTGGATCCTGTGCCGCACCGGTCTACATCGATACCTCCATCCCACCGACGACGAGCTGCGCACCCGTGGCGGAGTGCCCAAGGAGAAGCCACCGAAGGGCGGCCGGAATAAGCATGCGGCGAACGGCTCAGGACCGGGAGGAGCCGGAACCCAGTTCCACATACCGCGCAGCATCGAAGTGGAGCTGCTGACGTCACCGGTTCTGGAGCGGGATGTCATTCACCTGCGATACTTTACGGAGTACCAGTGGCTGTTGGATTTCAGCGTATACACGGGCATTGTTTACGTGATCTCCGAGGTAAAACTTATTGGGAATCAACTTTATTCTTCAGATACTAAAAATATATAAATGCTGTGTCATTCACAGGTGTTCCACTTCTACTTCCCGCTGCGCCAGGAGATCAACCTGAGCATGGTGTGGTGCCTGCTAGTCATCTTCTTTGCCCTGAAGCTGCTCTCCTCGCTCACGGTGCTCTACTTCCAGAGCGAGGAGTCCATTGGCGAACGATCTATGGTGATCGTTGCCTGTCTAGTCTACCTTCTGGTCGCCATGGTCGTTCTTATTGTGGACGAGCGCATCCTCGAAACAGGTCTGGAGGATGCCTATGCCAGCTTCAATGCCAGCGCATCAAAGTTCCTAACCGAGCAGGGGCTGCCATCGTCGTAAGTTGATCGCACTCGGATATCCCTAAATAACTTGCTAATTTATTTTTTATTCTTCCAGTGGTCCCGCCTCCAAAATCGTGGTCAAGTTCTTCTTGGCCATGGGTTGCGGCCTACTTGGCTCGCTGTTCACCTTTCCCGGCCTGCGGATGGCCAAGATGCACTGGGACTCGCTGAAGTACTGTCGGGGTAATCGCCTAATGCAGGTGCTCCTTAATCTCAGTTTCGTGCTGCCCTTCATCCTGGTCATCCTGTGGATTAGGCCCATCAGCCGCGACTATCTGACAGTGCGCGTCTTTCAGGGAATGCAACAGCCGCTGTAAGTAATTCTATTCCCTCCGTCTTCTTGTTTTTGCTTATAACCTTTTTCATATTTTTTTTCAGACTAAAGCCGCATGTCTTTGAGACTCTTCGCCTGCTGCTGGTCATCCTTGTGGTTGTCGTCCGCTTTGCCCTTATGCCCATATATCTGCAATCGTACCTGAATCTGGCCCACGACAAGATCCTGGATCTGCGCAAGGAGGCTGGCCGCATTACCAACGTAGAGTTTAAACAGAAGGTTAAACATCACATGTAAAGAGGATTCTTCAGGAGTAACCTCATCGAATGTTCTCCCTTGCAGATATCGTCGATTTTCTATTACCTGTGTGTTGTGACCCTGCAATTTGCTGCCCCGCTGATTCTATGCCTTTATCTCACGCTCATGTACAAGAGTCTGGGCGGCTTCAGTTGGGCGGGCATTTTCCGTGAAAGTGTTGTCCTGCAGCACGAGTGCGCGGCCAACGATGTAGAGCCAGTGGGTGCTGCCGTTTCCCAAGGAGATGGTGACTTCAACATCATAGAGTCTGCACAATCGCTACAGGCTTCATTTAGTAGCCTGAAAAATGTAACAACCTAAAATTTTAATGTTAAATCCGCTCCTAATTTTGACTTTTTCAGGTGTTCTCCACGGAGGTGTACAAGGGCTTTCTGGGTTTTGCCACCTGGTGGAGTTACTTCACGCTTTTCGCCACTTCCTCGCTGGGCATTGTCTACCAGTCATATTTTAACAAGACCTAAGGCCATTTAATTTTACACCTCAAATCGTTATAGTAGTACGAGTCTTTTAATTTATAGTCCATTTGTATCGCACGTGCAGGTACTATTGATTTTTTCTCATTTGGCGACTATGTTGGCTTTCACCATGTTTTGTAAATAATACTATTTTACTCATTGTTTATAAAGTGTGTAATAAAGACTTTTAACCCGGCTACCATGAGAGTAACCAAAATAAATAAAAGATAATATTATATATACCAATGTATAATATTATAACAAAATCATTTTGAATTGAAGCATTGCTGCTTAAAAGAGGGAAAACGTCAGAGAAATACAAAAGAACAATTTGATTTGACACTGACTAAAAAAAGAGAAATTAAAAGCCAAGCATTTAATCAAATATTTAAACGAAGTTACATATGATTTTACTAGGAGAGTCCGCCCTTTATTTTATCTTATCTTATTAAATGTACTCAGAAAGCATCAGATAATGCTTATGGTATATCAATTCAAAAACACAGCTTTTAGGTTATAGGCCAATTTGAAAACACCAATTTATTTAACCTCAGAGGTTGTGTATAAACCTAACAGACCACAGGCTATATATGTATATGTAGAAATGTATAGTTTGCATATCTCCAGTGTGTAGCGCTAAATAGAGTTGCTCAGCACAGGGGCCGACGACTTCGGAATAGATTATTGGATTAGATCTTGGCAATGCCAATGACGCCGCAGCCGATGCGGGCACCAGCGTTGCCCGTGGACTTGCTCAGCTCGTGTCCACCCTTGCCGAGATCATCGGCATCGGCGTGGACCACCACGGTGCGTCCGATGATGCTGTCGGCGCCGAAGAGCGTGATCTTCGAGTCGGTGATGTTCACCTTCGTGGGACAGTCGCCGGTGGCCTCGATGTTGCCCAGGTCGCCCAGATGGCGATTCTCGTCGGTGGGTGCACCGTGCTCCTTGCTGTACGGATTAAAGTGCGGCCCGGACGACATGCAACCGTTGGTGTTGTCTCCGAACTCGTGAACATGGAATCCGTGCAGGCCTTTGGCCAAACCGCAAACCTCGCCGGTGACCGTCACAGGGGTCTCACTGCTCTGCAAGGGGGATAAAGTGAAAAATGTGGTAACTGAGGCCCAAGTTAATGATAGTGCTAGCCTCCCGATAACGCAGAAGGTGTGTTTAATCATGACATGTCCGAATAGAAGTACTCAAATGCTCGGCCTCAAATGCTGATTTGGCTTATTTTGATTTAGTAGATAAGGTGGTAAAATACTTAATTACAAAAATAAGGTATAGGTCAAACATCCCAGTGATATGTGCTTCTAGAAACTTCCTTTGGCTCGATCTAACCAAAAGTTTTACTATTTTCATTTTTTGGAGAATTTAATCTCCTTACAAAAAGTATAGCAGTTTCCTACATTATATCTTTCCAATAATTTAAAAGATGAAGGTTATTGCTAAAGTATAATATTGTAAAGTTAATGTTTTTTTTAAGTGGGTTGTGAAACACAACCTGGAATTTTCAAATAAAATGTAATATTTAGTTTAAAAATATTAAAATATGCTTCAAAATAAACATTAAAAAACGCCAGATTGGGTTGCAGAGTTAACCAGAGCTTTTCCAGTCCTATTATCTTGACCCCTGCTGTAGGTTCTTGGGTGCACACATGTGCGCTTTTGTTATTGGCTTATATAATTGTGCATTTGTAAGATGAGTAAGCATAAAATCAGACTAATGAAGTGCTCAAAGGAATTTTAAGCAACTAAATTTAATGAAAGAGGGCTTCGCGGAGAAGCCGGCAACTTGACCTTTAGAACTACTTCTTTGTCGCCATTATTTCAACCAACTCCTCGAGCAGATCGCCAAAATATTAATCGCTCTTACCTGCTGTTCGAAAAAAACAGTGCCCTTGGCATCACCATTAATTACGCAGACGGCTTTAACCATTTTGACAATTGATTATTTATCAGAACGAAAAAAACTTGCGAACTTTCCAGGTATCTCGTACAGTGTGACCGTCGCTTGGCAGGGCGAAAACACCAGAGCCCCATAATATTGCGATCAAATACTGTTACTACGCCCACGCACTTTTCTTAATATTAAATTTTTGTTTTCAACCACGAATACACTCTGAAATATTCTTATTAAAAATTTGAAACTTTAGTGTTTAAGTATTTTAATAATTTACGACATATCGCAAAATATATCTTATATTGATTAAAAGCTTGCAAAACATAGTTTGAAATAAGGGTTGTGATGTATGTAAAAATATCGTACCAGTGATACATATATCGTTTTTCAAAAATATATCAAATTATTTATTAATATTTATTACCCAAAATTCCCGATGTATGAAGTGGACGCCGATCTAAATCTCAGGGATTTGCCTTGGAACACTACACACTTCACCGAAACGAGGAATACCAGATCTCGTAACTTAACAACACATCAAGTTGACAAGCGTAATAATGAGCGTATGAGTCTATAAACATAATAAATAGTTGAATTATTTTAAATACATACATATGTAATCCTGATTTTATGTTGCTTTTTCATATACACGAAATTCGCGGGAAAAAATTCAAAAGCAAATCCAATCAACTATGTACACTGAATGTAATGAACACTCGTTCAAGCACATTTTTGACGCGCTTATCTCCTTGGCTTCAGGGTAATCACATCAGAGTGACCAATTAGGATATATCAAAAATATACATATGTACACATATAAAAAAACAGTCATACAACAACAAGCTTACTAAGCGGAATTAAAAACAGCGTGTTAGGAATATTGCAACTATGGAGAAGTGGTAAAAAAATATATTATTCCACAAAAAAACTTTTTACAATTTAAATTTACTTACAAAGGCTGGCCGATTCTTTCAAAAAACTTTTAGAGGATGATGCCCTTACCGACTGCACTGTGATCGTCGAGAATAAAAAATTCCGATGCCACAAAGTAAGTGGTGATAATACTAGTTAATGTACAGTCAGCTCACAATTTATTCGGACACCCGTGATTCATCAATCTTATTCATCAATGACTCAACAAATATATATACATAAATATTAAGGGGGGAATTGACTGCCCCGACCCAACTGGATCTATTGTACGCTTAACCCGGCTCCTTTGATAAAGTTACGAGTTGTGCTGGGTCGATGCTTCCGGAGGTCCAAAGTGTAAGGGACCGGAAACAGAGGTTCTACATCTCAGGCTACTTAAGGCTGGGCAGTCTGAGACTATCTGTAGGGAGGTTTCATCCTCGGTATCAGAGAATCTGCACGAAGAAAGCAGGAAAGTTTAGACAGCTTTCTTGAAAAGTTAGGCACTGACGCAAGTACTAATTACTCACTGAGGCGAATTACTAAGCGATACAAGCAAGGGCGTCGCCAAGGGGGGGATTGGGCAGCAGCCCCCCCCTAAAGTTTTCAAACTCTTTTTTTTTTTCTATACCCTTGGCAGCTGACCCCCCCCCCCATTTTTGCATTTTGTTCGACAACTCTATATTCCAAAAATCATGATTGTCTATATAAATTTTTCGATCTTTCCTATGGCAGCTATATGATATAGTAATCCGGCTTTTTATGAAATTTTTTTCTCGATTCACGGGTATTCAAAAATTTGATGTTCTAAACATCATGCTCGTGGGTTTAAAAACAACGACGTTATATTTTTTTTCCATTATTTTTAAAAGGTTGTCAATTGTTCATAAAATTGGTTATAATAATGCGATTTAAGTCAAATATGGGACGTTTTGTCCGTGGACGAGTTCCCAACGAGATGCCAACTTCAAAATGCCCCTCTTATAGAAGCTCGCTTCCCTATTGGCAAAAAACTCGGAGATCCAATTTTTACAGGACTCTCTTGTGGCCAACTTCCGACTTCACTTGGTGCGAGATCCGGACTATACGGTGGATGCAAAAGAACCTCCCATCCAGCTCCGGGAGCTTCTGGCGCGCCACCAAAGTTGTGTGGTGCCTGGCGTTGTCCTGATAGAAAACAATTCGGCCTCTTTTGTTCAAAGATGGCCTCTTCTGCATGAGTGCTGCATTCAAGCCGTTGGTGGCAGAACAGTTCCGAATTGAACGTTTGGCCATGGGGGAGCAGCTCATAGTGAATGATTCCCTGCTAGTCCCACCAAACACACAGAAGAGCCTTTTTGGCCGTCGATCGAGGCTTGGCCACCGTCTGGGCAGCTTCACCGCTTTTCGACCACGACCGTTTGCGCTTTACGTTATCGTAAGTAACCCACTTTTCATCGCCAGTCACCATCGGCTTCAAAAACGGGTCGATTTTGTTTGCGATTCAGAAGCGATTCGCATGCATCCATACGGTCAATAATGTTTTTTGGCGTCAAGTCGTGTGGCATCGAGCTTCTTTTTGAATCCAAGCTTCTTCAAATGGTTTATAACGGTTTGATGACTCATGCCCAGCTCTTGGCCGATGCTTCGGCTGCTACTATGCCGGTCACTTTCGATCAATTCAGCGATTTTATCGCAATTTCCGACGACAGGCCTTCCGTAGCGTGGCGCATCTTCGACCACCTCTGCACCAGAACGAAAACGTTGAAACGTTGAACGGCTAAAAACAAACAATAATAAATTAAACTCGTGTTAGCGCGTGAAAAGAGCTTTCCAAAAAGGTCTAGCGTGAACCCAAAGGCGACGAATAAAACTAGAGCTGCGCGCTTGCAAAGACACCTAGCGGAAATTCCGCAAGACTTTTTTGACTACCTTATATGTACATATATATATTTTTCGATCTATCCTATGGCAGCTATCCGATTTTGATCAAATTTAATCCGAAATTCAATAGTAGTTAGAAAACGCCATCTGGAAGAAATCAAGTTGATCTGATCAAAAACAACGGCGAAAGAATTTTTTATTTCATTCTCTTGTATGGGAGTTATCCGGCCCGTTCCGACTCATGTATATAAAATTTACAATAGTGAGCGTCCGAATAAATTTTGTGCTGACTGTATGTACATATGTATGTATTTCTACATTGTAAAATTTTTGTGACAGGTGGTTCTAGGCATTTCTTCCGAGTGTTTCAGACGCGCCTTTCAGACTGGTTTCATTGAGGCGGAAACCGGGGAACTAACCCTGACCGACGTCTCTGCGGAAATTTTCGAAACATTCAGGCTTTATCTTTACACCTACGATCAGGACATTATACGCGGATCCAGCAACTCGGATATTATAAAGTTGATGAATTGCGCTGACATGTGGATGGTCCAACCGCTCAGCAAAGTCTGCGTAGAAATTGTCCGAGCCAGACTGCAGAATATGAAATTTGTGGACTTGTTACTATATTTTGAGCATGTGCAAGGTGAACAATTTTCAGAGCTTCAAATTTGCATCAGCCATTGGTTGAAAACAATAATAGAATGCGAGGAGATACCCCAAGAGGCTTACGAACTAGGCTCAGAAGCGTTCAGAAGGTTTTTAAAACTCATTAAGGGATCTATATCAGAAAGAAAACTTTATGATATGGTGGAAAGATATGTGGGTATTAAAGGAATTTTTGTACATCAAAGTGAATATAAGAACTGGAAATTCAACGAATTAAAAGACCCAAGCAAAAACGACTTGCCAGCATCTGAAACCGAAAATACCAATCAAAATTATGTAAAGGAACTACTAAGCATGATCGACTATAAAGAAATGACAATCGATGAGTTCTTTGAGGGGCCTGGAAGATCCAAATATATTACCTTTCGGGACAAGTACTTTTTTATGCACCAAATAGCCAAAACAACGGAAAACAACAAACCAAGATCACCCCTGTCGGTTTCTATGACAGGGGCGCAAAGAGGAAGGCATTTTTTACCCCTGGAAATCGGCGCACAGAGGAGGGCAATTTTTACCCCTGGAAATCGACGTTAGATGGATTGATGAAATGTACACCAGCCCACTTTGATATATTGGCTTTTACCTACCCTATGAATGTCGGTAAATTATTAGCAAACTTTTTAATTGCTCTTTCTTACAAAATTAGAAAGACAAAATAAAACAAGAAAATTTACATTTGATTTTTGTTTTTTAATACACAATTTGTCCAAACACTTAAATGGGATTTTCTTCATTAATAAGAAATAATGTGCTATCGTTTCAATCTTTATATATTGTTATTGTATCCGTAAATTTGTAGATATTACTTATTAATGTTCATCATTTTGTTTTTGTTTTTTATTTTAATGTTTTGTATATATATTTATATATATATAGATATATATATATATTTTTTTATATTTAAATCGATATAGGTAAAGGTATGTAGATAGGTAATATTATTCATTCGCCTGTTTGTTTGTTACTTGTGTGGTTGGTTGCTTGTTACTTGTTTTTTCCCCAATTTTCTCACGCTTCTCGCACAATTCGGTCACATAGCTATAACATCTTAAACATCATATCATCAATCATTATAATAATCAATCGCATAAATCTATATAATTTTGCTTTGTTTGCTGCTTTACCTCGCTTTAAACTTAAAATGTATTATATTACTTAGAGAGTAGCGTCATCGAGCATATTGAATTCGTCAGATCTAAGGGATTAAGTCGTAACTTCGAATCGGGTTCTTCGAATTTTGAAAAGTGTGCATATAGTTGCCGCCGTTGAACGGTTCTATGGGCAACATTTTAAACACAATCTCACAGTTGCTATTTGTAATATGTTCCATATCAATTTATATATTTAGCTTTTGTGTTGCTTTTCTTCGCTTGCGTTCAATTCGCATATGTTGTGTTTGTGTTCGCATTTTGTTTTGATTTGTTTTTGGGATTTAGGTATAGGTAGGTTTATGATTGGCAAATTCAATATACAAGATGGAGATACTTTTTGTTTTGCTTTCTTATCGTTTCCACCCGTGGGACCCACTATTTGCCCTTGTTCTGCCGGTGCTTCTGGATCCGCACGCATCAGAGCACCTCGGACACGTACTTGGGTCGCTTGGCCACTGTGGCATCGGTGGCAGTGGTGACGCACTCCTCCTCGCTGGCCTCGATGTGGCCACTGTAGTCGGTCGGCAACTCCTCGTAGATAATCTCTGAATGCTGCTGTTGCTGCTGCCGTTGTTGCTGTGCCACCGCCTGCTGCTGTTGCTGCTGATGGAGCGAATGCGATGCCGCGCCGCCCATCACATGATTCCTCTTGAGCGCAATCAGGGCTCCCACTCCGCCGCCTCCGCTCGCGCCGCTTCCCTCAACATGCGTTTGTGGCGCGGCAACGCCGGAGCTTTGATTGGTTACATAGTACGGACTGCCGCTGCTGAAGGACGAAATCAATAGTTTTATGTGTGCCACAGATTAAAATGTTAACTTTGTTCTTGCCTGTACTGATTGGAATTGGTTGACAGCGTCTGCTGCTGTTGGTGCTGCTGTTGCTGGTGTGCATTTTGAGAGTTGTAGATGATTTCTGTAAAATTGAAAAAAAATATCAAATACAAGCCATGTTCAGCAATTAATCCTTGCTGACGTAATTCTTTTATTTTCCCAAAGATCATATTGCTAAAGAACTTATTTCTTTAATACTAAAATTGCAATGTACACTTTGAAGTATTTTGATTATAAGCCAGATTATTATAACTTTAGAACATTTTTGGTTTGCGACTTTTAGAGAAAAACTGTTTTAAAAGACAGAATAGCAAATACTTCTTTCTATTCGAAATATCCTATTTAAAACAAAACAACTTACCGGCATCAGCGGCGCGCTGTTCCAGCGACATTCCCGGCGATCCGGGAGCAGATTGGAGCACAATGTCCTGCAGCGGAGAGCTCTCGCGTGAGTTGTCTGCAACGAATTAGAAAGCGTTATACGCGCATTGCGAACGACGGGATGGTAGACGACCGCTTACCCATGTGACTTGGCGAGACGGGCGCCGATCGGGGCATCCCGTAGGGCGGACGGAAGCCCTGGCTGCTCCTCTGGCGCCTCTTTTTATAGCTGTGGTCGATCAGCTTGGCGCCGCTGTCCGGATCGATGCGCCAGAAGGAACCCTTGCCGGGTTCGTCCTGAGAGCGCGCCACCTTGATGAAATACCTGCGAGGATAAACGGTTATTTGAGATACCATCTCTTCACCACCTCTAGATCATTTTACCTATTCAAACTGAGATTATGACGTATGGAATTCTGCCAGCCCTTGTTCGTCTCCTTGCGGTAGTACGGGTAGTGCTTGACAATAAACGAATAAATGCCCGAGAGCGTTAGCTGCTTGTCCGGTGCGGCAGATATGGCCTGGACGATAAGCTGGGCGTAACTGTACGGCGGCTTCTCGTTGTGATTGTAGCTGGCTGTGGAGGGAGTCTGAAACAGATCCTGCTGTAAGTAGGGCAAGTTGTTAATTAGTATGCTGATAAGGAACACCAAGATGAACTTACTGTATTGTTGTTACTGTAGTTGTTGTAATTGTTGGGCTGGTTCTGAATGAAACCCTGACGTGGACTAGCCGGACAACTGTTGGCAGCGCTTATTGTACCTGCGAATTGATTAAAAAAAAGGTTGATTAATAAAAGAATCACATCAAATAATATTGTGGTAATTCCTAATATTTAAATTTTGTAAAACTATTTTTAAAGAATTTAAATAAATGTTTTTGTGTGCCTAGTTTCGTTTAGAGTTACTTTTACCCAAAACATAACATTTTAACATTTATGCAAAACAAAGGAACCCATGTTAACTATTCCACATTTTCAAAATATTTAAGCTTCGAATAAAATAAATTAAATTAAAGCTTGAACTTTAAAAACAACGTTTTAATCCTATCAAATGGCTCAAGTTCACATGATGTATGACATAAAATTCCACTTGCCAGTTGGTGACAGGTAGGGGCTCTTCTGCTCCTTTTTGGGTATGGATATCTTGAGCGGAGAATAGGGTCCATCTCCGGCGGCGATTAGGTGGGCTGCTGTCCCAGCTGGGGGCGCCACAACGATGTTGCCACTGCGCTGTTGCTGCTGGTGCAGAGCTGTGTGGTGGAGCGGGTGGTGTGGTGTGTGCGGGAGCGGGTGGTGCGCCGGTTGCTGCTGCTGCAGCGGCAGGTGGTGCGCTGGCTGGTGGTGCGGGTGCTGCTGCAGTTGCTGCGGCTGCTGGTGGTGGTGCAACTGCTGCTGGTGAAGTTCGTCCCTCGGCGGTGGTGTAATAATAACGTGGGCTGAACCACCACCACCCGCGCCACCACTGCTTACAACCAACGATGGCGAGTGTCCGGCGGCTGCATCCGACTGAGTGGCGGGCACATAACTCTCGAACTCTATGCGAATTTCCGTGCTGGGAAAACGGAAGTAGCATCTGCAAGAAAAGATAGTAAATTTAATAAGAGATCAAGATTAAAGCTGACTGCTTTTTATAGATTAGTTGTCTGTTTCAAGACACTTTATATTAAATAATTAATAATAAATAAAACACTTCAAAACCTCCAACGAAAAAACAATTTTAGAAATCATGTAATAACAATTGAATGGAACTCTACTTACCGCTGCGGCAGACGAAGTGGGTCCACGTTGCGGCGCTGCAGGAAATCGTCGACGAAAATTCCGTTCTTGCTGAGGCACTGGACAAAGAAGGCGCGCTCGTCCACGTCGAAAAGCAACTGGAAGTGCTTGCGCGACACCAGATTGTTCTCGGCCACGTTAAAGTGGACCAGCGACGTGGAGGAGTTGCGGCCAATGACCGTTACGGCGTCCGTGATGGGCAGAACCTCCTGATTAAAGCGCAGCTCTCCATATGGCGGCGGAGATGATGCCGATGATGACGAGGCATTGGCGGAGGGGGTGGCGGTGCTAGCGGAGGAGGAGGAGGTGGTGGTGCTACTGGTGGCAGGTGGGTGGTTTGCTGAATTGTTGCTGTTGTTGGTCAGCTGATCGGCACTGTTGCTGCTTCCCGCGCTGCTGTTGTTGTTGTTGCTGCTATTGCTATTATTGTTGTTGTTCAGCGCCGCTGTTGCCGCTGCTGCGCCATGATGCAGCTGCAACATGTCCTTGGCAATCGCGACGGTGGCTGCGTCGGCTGCACCACCGCCTGAAATATTGGTGGGTGGGTTGTTCAGTACGGCGTGTACGGTAACGATGTTGTTGTTGTTGTTGCTGCTGGTGTTGTTGTTGGTGGTGGTGCTATTGCCGGTGGTTGTTGCTAGTGTTGTGGTTGTTGTTGTTGTAGTGGCGGCCATTGAAAGATTAATCCCACTTGTCCTATGATCGCTTACTTTTGTCGTTGGCCTGCAAAATAAACAAATATTGTTCTTATTTAACTAATAATTCAAAAAGTTGTAATTCATTTTAAGATGAAACATTCAGAAAAAAAATGTTGTGTCTTTTCTGAGACTTGCAGTATAACACCCACCATTACGGTTGATTAATTAAGTATCCTAATATTACCACCTTATTTTTTTGTATGTACATACATTTGTATATTATTCCGTTTCACAGCTAAACCTTATTTACGCATTGACTTCACACCTTAAGAACTGATTTTTTTTATTCGCAAACTATTTTTTTACAATTATTGCATTCATTTTTTCCTGCTTTCATACATAGTAGCTTTTCACGCGCTTTTCGCTCTCTTTTCGTTTTGGCCCCAAGGTTTCTTCTTTTCGTCAGCCACAAATTATTTTCCAAATATACACACACACCGATATCATTGCTGTTTCGGTTTTTGCTTTACTCTGTTTTGCTACCGCAGCCGCTCATACACAATCTCACCTATGTACATACCTCGGTCGGCAACAAAAACAAGCGCCGATTGAAGCAACAACAATAATAATAATAATAACACAACTACTACTATGCGGCGAGCACTACGTGAGTAAACAGACACGCACACACCTATATAGCGGAGCGGGAATGAAAGAGCGGCAACTGCAAAGGCTCACGCTTGCGCTCTTATTCGGTTTCCCGGGCAGAGTGGAAAGGAAAAATCTCCTCTCTCCAACTCCTCACACACATATCGGTATCCCCATCTCTCCAAACTGAGCTTGTGGCCAGTGTTGCCAAAAGGCGATATGTGTACATGCCACATATAACGAATAAATCATTTAAAGCGGGAAAAAAATAATAACCAAGATGTTATTAAAAAGGAGGAAAAATTTCTTTACAAACAAAAAAGTATACATAAATATAAACAAAAAAAAAAAATACATATGTATGTATTATATATAAAGAAGAACGCCTGACTTGTTCCCTAAATTAGAAATACTCACTTCAATAGTTAATACATTTAATAATTTCCTAGACCAAATATAGGAGATTAAAAACTTGTGGATTTGAATTTGTTTACATCGGTTAGGGCCGTTTTGATTTGAACTCCATCGTCCTTACGGCATTACAGTTTTCAAGGACAATTTTGCAGATTCTAGTCCAATAACGATATTATTGAATAACATAAACTACTTATGTATTTGTTTAGTTGTGCAACAAATAAACAAACGATAAAGTTCGCCACAAATAAACATTCTTTCAGTGATTCCGGCAAAAACAAGTGCATCCAGGAGAACTTCCATGGCAACCAAACATTTTCGCAGCGATCTGTATCTTTCTCAGAGAAAGAAGGGAAAAGGGGAGTAATGAGACTTTTTCTTAAAATGCGTTTATTAAAGAACGTTGGCAACACTGTCTGGCTGTTCGACTCTCCGACCTGTTTGGCTCCACTTGGCACCAACACACTCATAATCACTGGAACACTTGCACACACATGGAGGGATTGAGAACTCTCGCACTTGGCAGGCCCCACATGGCTCCCCATCAATCGATCGAGCTTGCATGCATAAACATGCAAAACGAAACCAAAATAAAATTAACGAGAACAACAAAAGGCAAACAAACGCCCATACATACGGCCATATAAATAAACACACGCACACACACTGCTACATATGGATTTGGCGAGTACATATATGCGTGAGTGTATATGTTGGGTCACTCGTAACGGCAAACGACGGAGGCAGGCGAAAGAGAAGCACAATAAATAAATAAAAACACCAAAATACACACACACATACACATATATAGATGGCGTATTGGAAATGCGTAAAAAATGCCGCTCGTTGATTTTTCAGCTAGCAACCGACTCCACCTGCGCATACATACAAACGACGGATGTCTTGTTTGTCTCTTTGTAAACACACAAAAAGCACAGTTTTCACAACGTATAGCTATACTTTGCTGCTCTTTGGTTTTCGCTCGGCGATTGCGTAAACTTGCCGCCCGCTTTTTTCCCACCTAACATCAAAATATGTACACACACTTGAGGCCACCCATACCACGGTGCATGTGTGTGAGTGTGTGCGGTGTGTAAGCGTGTTCCAAAATAAAAACTTAATATTTATTTATACGCCATTTAGCTGGTTGCTTTTCCGCATCACTCTGCTATTGATTTTTATTACTACTAATTCTCGCTCTTTCTTTCGCTGTTTATATTTTTGCCGTTGGTTATCAAACTCGAATTGTTTTTGTTGTTTTTTTCAGTCTTTTTTTTGCACACAACACGTTTTTCGCTGCGTGTTTGTGTGTGTATATTATTTTTTGTTCGCCTTGTTTATTTTTATTTTTTCGTACCTTCTTGAAAAAACCGTTGGCTGTCGGAATTGGTTAAATCTCTCGATATAAACGTAACACTAGTAATTGGGCAACAATTTAAAGCCGATTTGTGCACTTTTTCAGCGATTTTAATGCGGTTTTCCGATTCTTATTGCTTCAGCGCGGTGGAGGAGAAGAAGAAGAGAGATCTTCGAGCAATGCGATGGCAACGCCAACGACTAAAGCCAGGCATGGGCTTTCGGAAGTCTGGCAACTCTGCGAACAGCTGTTTTAGCCGCATTTCGATTTTGTAACAGTTTGGAAAATTTTAGTGCGGAACTATTTTTTTCAAACCAAGTGGCAAAATGCAAAGTCTCACGCGTCTGCTAAACACGACATTAACCCTGCAAACGCCGCCACGGATGGGGGCAGTGGGTGTCGCTTTACAGCAGTTGCGCGGTAAAACCAAAGTAGTTGAGAAACCACAACCCGGAGCCGGGCAGCAATTCCGGCGGACTGTGCACTTTCCGGAAGAATACACAGTAGAGCCGCTTAAGATTACCCATTTGGCAGGCCGGGACCCAGTCTCCGGCCGCCTTGTGGCCAAGGGCATCGGCGGAGGCATAAAACAGCAGTACCGGTGGGTCAAATGGGTGCGAGATGGACCCGCTGAAGGCGCCGCCCAGGAAGAACTGGTGCTCGAGGTGCTCCGCGATGGTTGTCGTACTGCCAAAGTAGCCCTTGTGGCCGTCGGTGATGAGCTCAAGTACATCCTAGCCACCGAGAACATGAAGGCGGGCGATATTCTTAAGACCTCGCGAGTGATTCCTAGGATTCCGGGTGAGTTTACTCTTTACTTTAACAGTAGGCAAAAGTCAGATTAAAAAAAAAAAAAATCATTTATACCCACAGTTTTAATGCATTAGGGAATTTGGTTTATCTACCATGTTACCACCATTTCCTTTTTTCTAATATCTGTTTTTCATGTATTTAAACTATCAAGCCACTTATATAATTGCAAAGATGTTTACTATACCAACTTGTTTCCCTTTATTCCCTCAGTTCGTCCGAATGATGGCGATGCCTATCCACTGGGAGCTCTACCCGTGGGCACTCGCATCCACTGCTTGGAGAAGAACCCCGGCCAGATGTGCCATTTGATACACGCCGCAGGCACCTTCGGCACTATCCTGCGTAAATTCGACGACAAGGTGGTGGTGCAGCTGCCCTCCAAACGAGAGTTCGCCTTCCAGCGGACCTGCATGGCCACCGTTGGTCGGCTGTCCAATCCGGATCACAACAAGGAGCACGTGGGCAGTGTCCAGCGCATGCGGGAGATGGGCAATCGTCCGCGTTCTGGTCTGTGGAAGCGCAAAGAGGGAAAGCACGGCCGGAAGATTCGTCGCTTGCCGCCCATGACCACAATATCGCCGCCGGCGCCCCCAAACCGGAGGCGATCAAGTTGACGCTGCCCCTGTGAGGATCTTTCTTTAATTTCTATGTGTCACACAATATACAACTAGAACTAGATCTAAAGCTAGAGCTATTTGCGCGTTTTCTTCATGGAGAATCCGGTGCCGTGGAAGTTCTCCGCATCGGAACCATCGGCACTTCCGCCTGCGGCACCATCTTCATTGCTCCTGTCGCTGATTGGGCGAATGTTGCGGTCGAAGCGGATAAGGCCGAACTGAAAATCGTAGTCGGGCACGCCGCGCGGCAGAACCTTCTTGAGAACCGGCGTCTCCAGCTGGCTTTCCTTCTTCTTTTTGCCATCTAAACGAACTCCGGACCCCTTGAAGGTCTCTACGACCTCCTCAAGTACGGTGCTGGCCCCGCCGGATGCTTCAGCGCCGGCAGGTCCTGCCGAACCCGACTGTCCCGAGCCGGATGCCTGTGTTTCCGAGTGCTCTTTGTAGCCAACCGGTGCCTCGAACTCCACATTCATGTCGCACTCGATAATGCTGACCGCATTGCCGGGCTTCGTCTCCAAAACGCACAGCTCGTAAACTTTCCTGTTGTACTTGATGGCTATGACGTCGCCCTTTGTGAGACAGGCGAAGTTGCGAAGGGCGTTCTCGAGCACAGCCTTCGGACTGGTGATGTCGAGGAAGTCTGTGCTGTGCGGTTGGAACTTGGAGAACGTCGCCACCGGCAGGGAGACACTCTCGATGTTTAGGATATCGCCCTCCTCCAACAACAGGTTGTCCATCATCCAGTAGGGTAGATAGCACTTGCCCTCGTCGGCAACGAATTCCAGGACGCCAGCATGGGAGGACCGCGATTTTTTGCCATTGGTCAGCTTGAATAGCATTGGGTACTCCACGTTTAGACGGGTAAGGGTATCCAGCGCCGAGGGAGGCATAATAACTGGTGGTCGGAAGGAGGAATTACAGCGATTACGGAAACGCTTTGATCACTTATTCAAAGGAAACTTACTCTTGCCGCCCTTTTCCACATCGGATCGTTCGTTTCCGGGAAACATGGACACGGAGAAGCACTTGTAGGTTGCTTGAAAACTACGTCCCTCCGGGAACATCATGTTGAAGCCGCTAAAATGGAACATTTTTTATGTGCCACAGCCTAACTTTTGTTTTTAGTTTTTTTTTGTTTTTCTTTTTTGTTTCTGTAATGTCACGGCTGCAGCAGTGTGACCAAAAGCAACAACGGAAAATGATTCGATTGCCCGTCCACAGACTGGCTACACTTCCCGGTCGAAGGAATTGATTTTTTTGTACACTTAAAAAAAAGTCGGGTAATTGTTAGGCATTAAAGAAAAACAAAGACTAAATTATGCCTCAATAGTTCTTAAAATGTTACACCGAGATAGATAATTTTTCTCGAAATTGAATGATCTATAATATTATTTTGTAAATACATAATTCTTAATTAGGCTTTTCCCTTTGAACAAACATACAATCTTATTAATATATTAACATTCACTGATATAGAATTAATTCTTTTAAATTGTAGATTTTACTTTCGACCTTAGGTTCAGATTAAATGTAGAACCTTTTACCTTTCTTAGGTACATATTTTTGTAACGGTACAAAAAAAGTGTAACCTTGGTTGAAAGCCTTGCTAAAGGCGTAGCGCGGCTTGCTTACTACCCAAAATGCCGTCTTCCATTAAAGAAAGTGCTCAAACGAATTTTAAGACTGAAATATTTCCTTAGTTTGCATATTACAACCACAATTTTGACTAAAGATTTTAAATTTATTAAGTGTTGTATTATTTGAATGTTAAAGCGAGTGATTTTTTGGAAAAGCCCCTTATGCCTTCTGTTTTTAATAAAGTTGTATTATTCAAAAGAAAAGATGGATCACAAATCGATTGAAAATTTGTAGGTGTATTGTATCCAAATCTAGAGCCAAAACCACGAAGCTAACTTTGTTTTTGTACCACCTGGCATGTTGCATTCAGAATTCGAAATTGTATTAAACTTGTGTGTCTGTTTACTTTTTTCATAACCAATGTAGAAGTTTATTCTGAAAATGGTTGATGTCTTCGTTACATTCTGTTTGACCTTTTACATTTTAAACAATAAAGCCAACAAAAAACAGTCCGCTTATGCTGTCTGTAAATTGTGGACCCTTTCCCCAATTCTGCAACACGGTCACACTTTCGCCAAGCAAGCCGGTGGTTGCGCGCTCCCGCTTAAATAAATTCAATAAACGAGTTATTGATTTAAAAAAGTGCTGCTGATCAAGTGAGTACTTTTCATCAAGAAGACCAAACTCTTCTGCATCCTTCAAAATGGTTGTCATCTAAGGAAATTTGGCAAGACTCGCTCCTGGCGAGCTTTTCAGTCAGCGTGAGTGAGAAAGTGTGTGTGTCTCTGCAGGATATATCCTTGTGTATCCTTGTAGTCTGGCTGGCGCCGCGTGTTTTTCGCGTGGGTGTTCTCAAGTGTGTGTACGTGTGATAGATTTTCGACAACAAATTTTTCCACGAAACCCTGAACTAAAACCAAAACAATCAACAAATTTAAAATGTTTGAGTAGAAAAATCAATAAGCTGGGCAATCGATGAGGTGAAAATAGGGGGTGGTAGTGGCAACCAAAAAAAAAAAATGTGTTTTGTGGCTCCCTATTCAAAAGTACACCCTCTTCCAAAAAAAAGTACATATTGTTATTCCAGAGGCCAGGAGTACAGTTACTTTTCGATATTTTGCAAAACAGTTTGAGAGCCACTGATTTTTGTGCAGCTGTTTTCAAGTCTCTGTTGTGGTTATTATTGTTGCTTCGCAGCTGCAGCAACACCAAACAACAACAAGAAAAACCATTTCAGCAAGATGAAGGGAGCAAGAGGATGCGGGTTTGGGGCAAAAAATGGACTTCCCTGCGCACTCTCTCGCTCTCTTATCTCTTCTGGCAGCTTCCAGACACTCCCACCTCCCCCTTACTTTCTTCTCTCTTGTTCTCTCATTTCCCTAAAAACAACACCGCTAGAGTGATTCATTATTGAACGCCCCCCTCCTTTCTTCCTATTGCGAAAATGCTCTTTTCTCTTGTGAAATTTACCTAACGTTTGTAAATTTTCTCATTTGAAATTTATTTACCACTTCCCGTATTAGCCGTTTGAGTACACAGAATAAAAGGCAATATCTGCTCCATGTCAAGCTTAATATCTGTAGCGATCACTAGGGCGTTAGTTTTTTAAACTATTAATGTTTAAAGCCGTAGAGTGCGTGCTCGGACCCAAATTACCTGCTTATATTTCACCAAAAATGAAATAACAAATTTTTGGAGTATGTAGATACATATGTAGATGTAGATATTCATTTAAAGCTTATTGTGCAGTTAAGGAGATGAAAATTAAATTAGCATTTTGTGCAGATGAGTTCCACTGTGAAACCAAAAGGATTTAGGAGAGGAGAGGTACTTCGGCATCTTTTTGTGTAAAGTTTTGTGCGGCTAAGAACTAAATTTAACAATCGAAAAGAAGCAAAATAGAGCAGCTTCCCGTGAAGCATTTCAACTTTAAAATAGCGCAACGACAAGCACACAAGTCAACGACAATCCCCAAATCTGTACACGCAATCTGTACAATAGGGGAAAAACTGATTTCGACTATTTCCTATACCAATCCTTTAGCTTACGTCAAACAAAAGAATTTTACATTTTTTTCGTGCGCTATAATGATATCATGGGTAAACTGATTGTTTCGGGCCATGAATGAGTTAGTTTGAGAGTAAAATGAGCAGCGGGTGATGATGGGTTGTTGGGTGGCAGCAACCCCGCAAGGTCAAAGCGTGTACACACTCGTCGCCGGACGGAAAATGTGTGCGAATTAGACCGTTTCAGCGCTCTCCTTATTGCAACTTGCGGTTGGATGGTCATTGCACAAGTGCCTCTCAAACCAACAAGTACAGTTAGAGTTCTAGATTTCTACCCTGGCTTAAAAAAAAAAAAAAAACGCCGGTTCTTCTTTTAGTCCTTAAAGGGCTTAAACGGCAGCTTTTTAAACGTTCGACTAAACTTTTTTAATAGTGAACAACATATGTATTTATGATATGTACTTCACATACATACATATGTACACTCATACTCATATGAAAAAAATAAGTGCCCGAATGATTGTATTTTTTATTTTATATAATTTTAAAATTAATACTGTTTACAAGTCAGACTGTATCCAAAGTTGCTTATGTATTTTTAAGGAAAATATAAAATAAATTCAAATAAAAATTCTTCAGATTTTCCATTTTGAATTTGTTTCCCTTAACTGCAATTTTGGAATATGCCAACAAAGCCAGAAATAGCAAATTTAAAATAAAATAAATATGTTTCATCAGCGGCTCCGTTTTTCAAAATATTCAAAATGTACATACATAGATACGTATGTATGCTTGCATGTACAAACATATGTATGTATGTACATGCCTGTTACCAGGGGCTTAAAATTTATTGAATGGAATTGGTATTTCTTTACATAAATACATACAACCATATGTACGTATGAATGTACATACATACATATGTGAGAATCAATGAGCCGGCAACGAACGCTTTTTTTTACATTTTGTGCACACGTTTTAAATATCAGCCGACAAAATCGTGATTCCAATTTCGAATCGCGTGTGATGGAAAAACCCCCAAAAAAGCAAAGCAGCTTTGGAGTTTAAACACTTTTAATGAATGCTAAGAAGGCAAAGCAGAAAGAAGAAAGAGAGAGCATAATCAGCCAGAGGTAGAATTCGGCAAACGAGGCCGGCAATATTTTGTTTACTTCTCAATATTGTACAGTCTCACGTGCTTGAAACATTTGCAAAACGTTTGCACAGTGGTCTCTCGAAAGTGGAAATTTATTGTTTTATACTGTAATTTTTAATTTGTGGAAGATTATAACTGAATGTTAGTATATGTAATATACATATGTTAATGTTAATTTTATTAATAATACAGTTAAGGATTTAAAAAAATACCTTCAAATCTGATTATACAAATGGTGTTTAAAATGTACTTTATTAAAAAAAAAAAAACTAAAGAAATGTTACTTTTGAACGCCTTGGTTGTTCGATTTCGTAATTGATACAGTACTTCTTGTCCTCTTTATGCCCTTAATTGCCCAACGACCTTCGCTGAGTATGTAGTTGCTGCTTTTGTTTGTTGCAGGTATTTGTTAATTATTTGTGTGCATCCCTTTTCCACCTCCGAGCGTTTCCAATTGGATTGGGCTGTTACTGATTGGTATTGGAAGGGGGTTGCGCTGTACAGTTTGACATCCTCTGGGTGAGGCGGTGGTGTTAATTTAAAACAAGTTACCCTGGATTTCGAGGCGGTAGCGCGACCTTGAACTTGCAGCAAGAACCACCCCAAAGGCGGGCCCATCGCCTCAGCAAAACAACAAGTGGATATTGTGTTAGCTGAGTAAGCGTGCAACGGTCGCTTTTCCTGGCCCAGAAAAATTCGACTGGCAGGCCTTTATAATTCGCGGTGTTTGTATTATTATTATTTTTTTTTAGCTCGATCCGTCCTTGGGACAGTGCGGAAAATTAAATCAATATTAAATACAGTTTACGGTTTGCAGAGTCAGTTCAGTTGCAGTTGGTAGGCGCCAATGTCAAGGTTGATAGTGACGCGGCAGGTGCATCTTACACTCAAAAAAAATCCATTTATTAATCAAATATTACACATCGAATGTGTAAATAATGGCACTGATCTCTTTTATTGAATTTTATTATATTTTCCATATTATAGCATTGGAAGTTAATAAAAAAGAAGAGTTATGTAAATGAGTTCATAACTGCGTTATATTGAAGGAAACATTTCCATTTTTATTGTGTAAATGGCCCTATGCCATTAGTTTCTATTTTGCACTTGCCATCCAATCCATTTTAATTCCATTTTCATGTCATGCGATGGCAGTAGGAATGGCAATTGCCCGCCTCCGAACCACCCATCTTCGATCTGCTAGAACTTTACGGTTCATTCCAATTACAAACTGACCACCTGCCCGGCAATAACTGTAATTTCTCAATCGTCAATGTGCGGAAATTGATTTATTGCCCGAGGAATTTAGAAAAGAAAAGAACCATTTACTGCCAATAAATTCATTCGAATCAGTTGTTCTCAACTATAAAGAAATTCTTTTGAATTTCAAATATAAAACCAAAACATCCCCTGATTTTAATTTATGAATTCTCTTAGAAAAACAATTATCCTAAACAACGTAAACAATATTTAGCCTTTGTCAACTTTTTGGGACATGGGACCTTACCATCTGCTGATGTTTTTTTTTCCGCTTATTACCATTGATCAAAAAGTATTTCAAAGATCTAATTCATTTCATAACAAATAAACATTTATTTGCATCTGCAATGACTGAAAATACTCCCTTGCGTGTTTGCGTATTTATAGTTCAAAAGTTCAAAATAAACCATCTAATTGGAAGCGATTTCCACAAACCTATGATTGTTTCCTTTCCATTTTCATTGTGAGGGCAGGAAAACGTGCACCCAGTGGGTGGAGAGGGTGGAAAGCGTGAAAAGCGTATACCACCCACCGATGACAAAGCACGCAAATATGGAAATTTCGCGACCGAGCGTCAGCACAAATCGTTGCGACCTTGCAAGTCGCGGTGTCAGCCATTGTCCTGGTTACTTTTCTCAACCCTCTGACCTCTGGCCCCGCTGCCACCCACCAACCTCTTTGTCATCCACTTATTTGTGGGCGGGTTTTCTTGAGGTTTTTCTATTTGCGTTGGTCAGAACCGTTTAGCGTTTGTGGAAAGTGCGAAGTGAAAGTGTTATTTTTATTTGTGTTGTTTTATATGGGCTGGTAATTAAACGGTTTACGATGTGTTTTGTATGTTTGGCTCTAATACGCTTTATAAAACGCAATCTTGATAAAAAGGATGATGTTTATATAATCCTACAAACCAGGAAATTAAAGCACTCAAAAAAATCATCCCTAACAACACCTATATTGCTTTATAAGTTGTACTAATTCTAGTTTTTCAATGCACACAAAATTTTGGTTGAATTACATCAGTAAACTACGCAGTCATTGATCTTCCTTGTAAACAATAAAAATTCATTGTTTGCTGCATTTGAACTGATCTGGACAATAATAACAATAACAGCCGAGCGCAATTACAATTTCAATTGCGAATTTTCATTTGAATTGAAATCCGCCCACATGGGGCTAGAAATAAATTTCAATTTCAATTGGAAAACTTTTGAAATTGTAGTGCTCCGGATTTTTCCGGCTTGAAGTAGCTAAAAAACGATGATGAATCGAACTTTTTAGAGCTTTTCCTTTTTATTTTAAAATACCAATCAAATGAGTGAATGATCATAAATTTTAGATCAGTTTTAACCGATGCCAAGTTGATTAGGCCAGTTTGAATTGGAACTATGAGTGTGCCGATGTATAAAATGGGCTTGATGTCATTTTTGGCGCTTAACGTATAAGGTGGTTCAACGAAACGGTTTAGTAATTTGTTAGTTTGATGGCAAATTTAGAAAAACCAAAGAGTGCTTAATAAATAAGGTTTTATAATAGATTTTTAAAATTTTTCATTTCATTTTCAGACATGGTGAATAATTCTCTATGGTTGAAACAACTTTGCTACCCCAAACGTCAGGTAATGTATATTATATTTAAATAGGCTAAAGACAAATAATCATAGCTTTCCGACGGTCTAATATTTCTTTTCAGTTTACCAACTCGACACTTCTCAACTCCTATTCAACATAACAAGAAACTTAATTTAAATAATTATTAACAACCAACACAACAACACTATATCCACTCAACAACATCAACGATCGTCGTTTAGTCTCAAAACGTAAACACAACAATTGCTTAAGGAGTTATCCAGGAGTTAAACGTATTTAAGTGGAGTTAATGTTGAGTGAATACCTGTGAATTCCTTCCAACATTGAGCATCAAATTCCATCGACAGCAGGGATTTGTTAGCCAAGGAGGAGGATTTTAATTTGGAAAATTGTTCGTTCGTTTAGTTTTGGTGTTTTGTCCATCCCAGGGTTATTTGTAAGATTTTATTTATTTATTGCTTGATTTAAGGCAAAGCTGATCGTCAGCTTTAAAGAGAGAGAGGCTCCAAACGGAAGGGTTCAATCAAAGAGATAACATTTCAGGGTAATTAGTCACCTAAGTAACACACACACCTTCGCAGTTCCAAGCGGCGAGTTGTTCCCCGATTTTCATTATGAAAATAACGACAATGAAGTTTAAGCGCAAATATGGCTGTTTAGAGAATATTTGAAAAGAATTTCTCACTTATTAACCAATTTGGATTTTTGTTTCGACCCTCATTTGTTACGTAGTCTTGTATTTTATAAGTTCTCAACGATTCTTTTGCACAATTCAAGTCATCCACCAAGTTAAACCCGCACCACCCACAAACCCACACAGTTTTGAGTTCAGTTTTTTGAGGAGCGAGCAGTGTAATCAGTATTTAGTTAGAGTTGAGGGAGTTAAGTGGCTTGCACCGAAGAGTTTTGAGATACATCTAACACCGAACCACATCGTCGGCAACATGGAGAGCTTTTCGCCGGAAGTACTTTGGATGGTGATCATCGGATTCCTGATCGCCTTTGTTCTGGCCTTTGGCATCGGTGCGAACGACGTGGCCAACTCCTTTGGCACCAGCGTCGGCTCCGGAGTTTTGACCATCAGGCAGGCGTGTATTTTGGCCACGATCTGCGAAATATCGGGTGCCGTTTTGATTGGTAAGTAATCAAGCAGACATAAACATTTGTGTGGTTCAAATATTTCAATTGCAAGTTAAACTTTATCTTCTATAAAATGTTAAGGGAACAATGCTACAATCTTAGGAAAAAATTATAAAGAAGTATAGAAATTAAAGAATGTAAAGGCAACAAATGTTTTTAAATTAAATAATTATCAAATGAAACCTTGAAACAGATGAACATTAGTTACTACTGGTATTAAATAAACCCTTTAAATTATTTAAATAATTTTTATAAATATTATATATATTATCTACAAGTAGAGAAAAGGCTTTCCTGTGTATTAATGTTTTATAATCTTTCCAGGCTACAAAGTGTCGGACACCATGCGCAAGGGAATCCTGGAGGTCGGGTTGTACGAGGGCTCCGAGGAGGTGCTGATGCTGGGCTGCGTGTCTGCGCTGGCCAGCAGTGCCGTGTGGCTGCTGGTGGCCACTTTCTTGAAGCTGCCCATCTCGGGAACGCACAGCATCGTGGGCTCCACCATTGGATTTTCGCTGGTGGCACGCGGCGTTCAGGGGCTCAAGTGGTCCACGCTGGGCACCATCGTGGGATCGTGGTTCATCTCGCCGGTGCTGAGCGGCGTGGTGAGCATCCTGCTCTTCTTGGCCATTCGTCGCTTCATCCTGCGCGCCCAGGAGCCGCTCAAGGCGGGATTCCGATCGCTGCCCATCTTCTACGGCGTGACGTTCTTCATCAACGTGATCAGCGTGGTGCTGGACGGACCCAAGCTGCTCTACATGGACAACATCCCCACGTGGATAGCCCTGACTGCCAGCCTGGGTCTGTCCCTGCTGGTGGCCCTGCTCACGCAGTTGGTAGTGGTTCCTCTGCAGCGGCGTAAGATTGCCAAGCGACTGCGCGCCGAGAATCCGGTCAAGTTCAACTTCGAGGACTCTGTGGGTAAGTTAAATGTTCGGGGGAAAACAAAAGCACTGGCTTTTGGATTGGACCATTAATAGATGAAAGATATTCATATAAAATTTCACTGATACCATTTAAACATAAATACTCTATTATAAAACAGATAGTTAGATTCGGTTTATAGTAAAATCAAAACTATGAGATATAAATTAGTAAATTGTTAGTAGACTTGTTTCAGTAAATTTTCTTTATTTAATATTGCAAACATAATATGGGTGTTTTTAAAAGAATAACAATAAGGTAAAAAATATGCGTCGCTTATCCAAATCCTTTGAGGTGCAAGTGTCGAGTTCCATTGTCTTTTTTAGTTTTAATTCTCATCCGCTCCTCCACGTTTGTGGTGGATCTTGCGGATCTTGGCAGGTCTGTGAATCTTGCGCTTGTAGTGGGTAACGGTGGCCTTCTTCTTCGTGCTGGATGACTTGGTGGTGGCGGGAGCCACTGTAGTGGTGGTAGTGTCCGCTGTGCTTGAGGCAGTGGTTGTTGCGTCGGAGGAGGCGGAGGAGGTGGGGGAAGTGGAGCTAGTTGGGCTGGTGGAAGAAGCTGGCGACGAAGAAGGGGTAGAACTTGTCGGGGTTGAAGTGGCAGGAGTAGAAGCTGCAGGAGTAGAAGCGGCAGGAGTAGAAGCTGCCCAGGCAGTCGCAATCAGGACCACGAAGCCAAGGAAGAAAGCCAGCTGGGATCGCATCTTGTGTTAGTATCTTCGAGTGCTGTGACTGATGTGCTTTATCCCTGCAAAACCAGAGTATTTATAGCCAAATATGTAGTTGGAAGATGTTGCCGACTGGTTTGTTGAAGAAACTCTATTTTTGTGTTTGCTTAGGCGCGTAATGCTATCAAATATTATTTGGAACTAGGTTGCTCAAACATAGCTCGTCCGCACCTTTTTGTAGGCCTATGAAATAATAGAACATTATGAAGTTAAATATTTGATTTGGCCACATGGAACATTGAATGGGCCAAAGAAAAATGAGCTCATTGTTAGTAAGATGAAGCATTCGCTTTTATTCCTATTTATAATATTATGCGCTAATAAATCCCAATGTCCTTTCAGAATCCTCACCGTCGGGCAGCCCCAAGAAGCAGCGTCGTCCGCTCTCGCTGGTCAGCGAAGGAAAGCCATTGCCCGCGATCGCGGAAATCACCGAGCTGGTCTCGCTGAGCGACAACTCGCCCAGGACCTTCAAGCTGGCGCCCTTCGGGATGGCGGCGAAGAACAACAATGCACCCGGCGAGGAGTACAAGATCGATCCGCAGCTGATCAAGAAGGCCGAGGACCTGCTGGGCAAGGCGAGTCTGGACAACACCGATCTGACGATCACCAGCCTGAATTTCATCGACGAGCAGCAGCAGCAGCAACAACAACAGCAGCAAAACGGACGCAAGTTGCAGGAGTGCTTCAAACGGATGCAGTCGCCCAAGGAAGAGCAAAAGGTATTGAAGACAATAGGTTTAGTAGTTGCCAACTGATTTGAACCTAGAATTGTGTTAAACTGATTCCTTATTGAATACCTTTACTGATACTTTCCCTTTTTCCAGCACAAAGCGCCTGCCATTGGAACGGATTTGGGAGCCGGAGCCACCAAGGCCACGAACAACAACCTGCAAGTGGTGGAGAGTGGCGGCAGCCTTGATCTGATGATCAGTTCCACACTATCGCCCAACTCCAGCAAGGTGCCGCTGATCGAGAGCAAGGAGGCGCTGAACGAACAGGAGGACGAGCTGAAGCGGTCGGCGGATGGAGGACGAAGAACCAGCGGCCCCGAGGAAACGCAGGAGATATCCATGCTCTTCTCGTTCCTGCAGATCCTGACGGCCACCTTCGGTAGCTTTGCGCACGGCGGCAATGATGTGAGCAACGCCATCGGCCCACTGATCGCCCTTTACATGATCTACCGCGAGGGATCGGTCATGCAGCGGGCGGAGAGTCCCATCTACATTCTGATCTACGGCGGCATCGGCATCTCCGTGGGTCTCTGGCTGTGGGGACGGCGCGTCATCGAGACCATTGGCAATGACCTCACCAAAATTACCTCATCGACGTGAGTTTCTCATTTACTAAACCCTATAAACCTTTTTTTTAATTTGCAATAATTGAAGCCACTTAAAAGTATTTATTTCTTATTTGAATTCTTCGCATGACTTTTGAAAAACATTATTCATATTCGGTTTCTACAAATAAGAAGGGTATATAATTTTGTATAATAAATTGTAATTACTAATTAGGAGCTGGACAACTATAAAGCTTATACGTATTATGTTCCTTATTATTGTTATATAAGTTAATTTTGTTTTATCTTCTCTTCCAGTGGCTTCACCATCGAAGTTGGAGCCGCCATCACCGTACTGCTGGCCAGCAAAATTGGCTTGCCCATTTCCACCACTCACTGCAAGGTCGGTTCGGTGGTTTTCGTGGGACATGTCAGTGCAGCGGGACGCAAGAAGAGCGAGCCGAAGAACCAGGAACACCAGGCGGAGGTCGACAAGGATGCCCACAATAATGTGGCGTCGGCGGAGGACGGCAGTGTCGATTGGCACCTCTTCCGGAACATTGCCTACGCCTGGATTGTGACCGTTCCGGTTACGGCTCTGCTCAGCGCCGGAATGATGTACGTGCTGTGTGCCATTGCCGTGGACGATGTGGGCGGAGCCTAGAAGTTCGGGCCAGAGATTGCCATTCAATTATTAATTGTAATTGCTAAACCCAAATAATGTTTCGTAATTGTACATGTTGGAAAACACAAAACTTAATATTAAACACGCAAAAGGAGGAAACTCAAGAAAAACAGTGAGAAAATCTTAACTAAATTACTCGCCTAACTAAAGCATTGTACTTAGCTCATAGAACGTCTCTGAGTCTAACTGATATTAATATTATTTAATATGTGTACGCCCAAGAATGTCGTGATTTGATTTTGATATTTATACACCTTGATTTGTGTTTTTGAACTCCGAATTTAACTTAATTCAAATATGTATTTGAAAACCACTTAAATTATTTTCCACAACTCAATAGAGCAGAGCAAACCACTTGAATAAAATACAAACTATTTACAACAGAAAATGTTTATACGATATGGTCTTGAGGCCATTGTTTATTCGATGCTTTTCGGTTTTCGATTTATAATTTCGAGCTTACTTTCTGTTCAATACAGTACAATTGGTTAAAAGTTTGGTTTAATATTAATCGAATACCTAAATTATGAGGCTCTCCAGTCCGTTTTAAATTTACATTCCATTGAGAGCCAGTTCGAATAGTATTTCGCTATGTAGTTATACGAAGAATAAATACAAGTTATGACACACAACGATCTTTTCATTCGCAAAGTTGGTTTTACTTCGAGTTAATTTTAAAAAATAAGTTACCGTTTTTAAAAAAATAGTTAATAATGTAGAACACCAAAAAGATGATTTTGGTCTGTGTTTTGTCAACCTAAATACAACACTTGGTGAATCGCAAGTAAGCAAATACCAATTTACCAGCCTATTTGCTTAAGGAAAACAAGTACGCGACATCTTCCAACTATTCGACTATAAATACTCTGGATTCGATAACATAAAGCACATCACAGCACTCGAAGATACCAATTCAAGATGCGATCCCAGCTGGCTTTCTTCCTTGGCTTAGTGGTCCTCATCGCGACTGGCGATGCCCAGACCCCTCCTGCATCGAGCTCTCCGGCAAGTCCTTCGACCCCGCCTTCTTCCTCGCCAGCATCTCCCACCAGTCCAACCACATCCCCCGGCTCTTCAACCTCCCCCACTACCACACCCTCCTCCGCCTCCTCCGACGCAACAACCACTGCCTCAAGCACAGCGGACACTACCACCACTGCGCCCACTACAGTGGCTCCCGCCACCACCAAGTCATCCAGCACGAAGAAGAAGACCGTCACGCACTACAAGCGCAAGATTCACAGACCTGCCAGGATCCGCAAGATCCACCACAAACGTGGAGGCGCGACGGAGGATCGCAGGCGCAGGAATTAAAGATGCCAACCGGATTTTAACCCCACAAGATTTTTAATACCACTTCGATTATTTTATCTATACTTTTATTTTTTATATAGTTATATACATATTAATAAAAACAGCATGCTCTTAAAAACAAAAAAATTAAATCTTTATTTAAAATGCGAAATTCAGTTTAAGCACAAACAAAATTCTCTACAAATAAAACTTTAATAATTAAAAAGAAAAAAATTAACAACTAAAAAATATAATATCCTTTTGTTGATTTTCACATCAACGTTTATCAGCCCATTAAATTAATTATTTCACATTTATTAAATTTAATTTTTTTTATAAATATGACTTGGGGAAAACATTCTAGAATAGGAATAATTATCATTATTAAAGTAGGTACATTTTCTATTTTTTTTTTTTTGCCTCTTTATTTACATGTGTTTTTAGGCCATGTTTTTATACGTTTTTACATTACATTACATTACATACATTAAAAACCTATCAAAATGTATTATAAAATTTGAAAACAAAAACCTTATTTTTTAAAAGTATTAAAATATAATTTTTATGTTTACAAAATGCGATTCTCCTCGATAAATATTATTATTATTAATTACAGTATTGCTATTACAGTATTGCTATAACGACTCCGCCTCAGTGTCCGTCCTGAGTTTGCGACAAAACCCCCATACAAACTTATTTGAAAGGGCTTCCGCTTTTTTGCCGCTTTTAGCGACAAACCGCTTATTCAATAAAATTTTTCACAATTCAACCGGATATTGAGTCGTGCCATCAAATTTCTATATTTATCAGTGATCGGTACGACGCGAAGGTCCTTATACTCTTACTACTCTGTTAGTTTTAGTTTTCAAATAAAAAAAAAATGTTGTTGCTCCTTTTGGTTAGTGTGTCTTTCGGGTATAATGACGTAAAACCGTCGGTCCATTGAAAGTCGCTATAACCGGATCCAACTGTAATTATTAATACCATGATCGACTACTTCAATAACCGAAACTACGAGTTATAAATAAGCGACCACATTTTCAATTTCATTATTTAATGTTGCAAATATAAAATACATTTATTTAAAAGTAGGATAACAATATAGTTAAAAATGCATCGAAGTGGTTTTCTAAATCCTTTGTGGTGCGAGTGTAAAATTCCATTATGCTTAGCCTTAGCCTTAATTCCTGGTAGAACGATTCCTGCGCCTGCGATCCCTTTGTGCGCCTCCACGTTTGTGGTGGATCTTGCGGACCCTGGCTGGCCTCTTAACCTTGCGCTTATAATGCGTGACGGTCTTTTTCTTCGTGCCGGAAGACTTGGTGGTGGCGGGAGCCACTGTAGTGGGCGCAGCGGTGGTAGTGTCCGCTGTGCTTGAGGCAGTGGTTGTTGCGTCGGAGGAGGCGGAGGAGGGTGTGGTAGTGGGAGAGGTTGAAGAGCCGGGGGATGTAGTTGGGGTGGAGGGAGATGCTGGCGAGGAAGAAGGTGGGGTCGAAGGACTTGCTGGAGAGCTCGAGGCAGGAGGGGTCTGGGCAGCTACCTCGCCAGTCGCGATGAGGACCACTAAGCCAAGGAAGAAAGCCAGCTGGGATCGCATCTTGAATTGGTATCTTCGAGTGCTGTGACTGATGTGCCATATCTCCGCAAAACCAGAGTTTTTATATCCATCTGGCTCGGATTGAAAGATGTTTTCGACATATTGGTTCTAGTAAATAGTACAATGAATTAATGTGTGCTTAGTTGGTATTGGCATTCTTCATCGGAAAGTATTTAGAACTGGGTTGTTGATACAGAATTCCAAGACAAACACTCAGTTAGGCCCATCAAAATAATATGTGAATTTTATTAGGCCTAAATACAACAGAACCATAAAAAATTTTTTTATTTGATAGAGATTGATTTGTTTATTTTGTTGGAGGTAAAAGTAGGCTTAGAATAACGCTGTATATTTTCTCCAGAAGTTTTCAAACAAAAATGCTGTATGATTGAAATTGGGATCCAACAAATTTCGCGGTTTGTGGGCGTAAAAAAACGTGTTACTTATTAAAAATATTAGCGTTATAATTTTAGCCCATTTTTTTTCGATCTTTTCTATGGGATATACAAAGTTGTCCTAAATTTGCACTACTACAACTTTTGGTAAAGTTTTTAATTATACCTATGTATGTCTATATATAAACTGAAGTCAAAACTTTATTATAAATGTTTTCTTATTCCAAGAAACTTAAATTAATATATAATTATGTATGATGTACATGGATAACTGTTAACATTGTTCAAATATTTTGTTTTCTTAAAATGAACTGGTTCATTTTAGTATTTTTTTTGTATTTTCTAACGGCTCTGGAATTTTCAACAATGCGGCTTGGTCACTCCGTCCTCCACGTGCAGCGCGTAAACACCAAAAATTTTGACAATTTCGAGCATTTAAATCGCTTTCGCAATGGCCGACGATGCCGGCCAGGACAAGCGCAAGCAGCACCGCGCCCGCCAGTCCGGCGTTAAAGCGGACAAGAAGAAGCTAAAGGCCAAGAAAGATTCAAACCAAAAGGATCCCGAATTGACCGCCAGGCAGAGAAATCCAAAGGCGTTCGCTATAAACTCGGCGCAGCGGGCAGAGAGGAACTTCCGTCGCAAGGAAGACCTCACTGCCAAGAAGCAGCACATTCCGGTTGTCGACCAAACGCCGGACGTACCGCCACCCGTGCTAATTGCCGTGGTGGGTCCGCCCAAGGTGGGCAAGACTACGTTGATCAAAAATTTGATCAAGAGCTTTACCCGCACGAATGTCACCGAAATCAAGGGCCCTATCACCATAGTGACCTCCAAGAAGCGGCGTATCACCCTGCTGGAGTGCAACAACGACGTTAACTCCATGATCGATGTGGCCAAGTGCGCCGATTTGGTCCTGCTCCTTTGCGACGCAAGCTACGGGTTCGAAATGGAAATCTTCGAGTTCCTGAACATCTGTCAAGTGCACGGAATGCCGAAGATTATGGGCGTGCTTACCCACCTGGACATGATCAAGAACCCCAAGCAGCTGCGAAAGCGCAAGAAAGAGCTGAAGCACCGCTTCTGGACGGAGGTCTACGACGGCGCCAAGCTGTTCTATCTCTCGGGCCTCCTCCACGGCGAGTATCTACGCAACGAGGTCAAGAACCTGGGACGCTTCATCTCGGTGATGAAATTCCGACCACTGCAGTGGCGCGGAGCACATAGCTATCTGCTGGTCGATCGCGTGGAGGACGTCACCAACACGGATCGCATCCGCCGGGATCCCAAGTGTGATCGAGAGGTGGTGCTGTATGGTTACGTTCGAGGAGTTCCCCTCAAGCAGGAGCACATGGTGCACATCGCTGGACTGGGTGACGCACGCATCGATGAGCTGAGCGCCATTCCCGATCCTTGTCCGCTGCCGGGAACCGAAAAGAAGCGCAGTCTTCTCGAGAAGGAGCGCTTGCTATACGCCCCCATGTCGGGAGTGGGTGGAATAGTGTATGACAAGGATGCCGTGTACATTGAGCTGCAGGGATCGCACTCGCACAAGGTGCAGGAGCAAACTGCCGAGGCCGCCGAACAGGCGGAACTGGTCAGCAAGCTCATCGACAAGAAGGCCACAATCGATGAGCAGATGGAGCAGCAGGAGTTCCGTCTCTTCTCCGATGCCCAGCCCATCAAGTCAAAGGACTTTCGCAATGATGAAGGCGAGGAAGAAGAAGAAGATGGGGAAAGCAGCGAAGATGAGGATGAAGAGGGCGAGGATTCTGGTCTCGATGCAGCTGATAGTGAGGATGAAGAGCAGGATGAGTTTGCTACGGACGATTGGCGTGGCGAGAATAGCGATGAGGAGGAAGATCCAGAGGAGGAAGATGCCTCTTCTGGCGACGAGGAGTACCAAAGCCTGGGCAATGTGAAGACCGCCAATGAATCGGATTCGGACGACGAGGAGGCTCGCGTCCTGGCCAGCAACATGAGCTGGAAGACTAATCTGGCCCAAAAGGCCCGCGATGCCTTCCTACAACGCCATTCGGAGTCCAAGAACCTGATGCGCCTCGTCTACGGAGTTTATAATCAGAGTGAGCGCAGCCGACAGGAGGCGGAAGCGGAAGAAAACGAAGACTCCGAGGAGGAGCTGGGCGGCCTCTTTCGGGTGGCGGCAAAGAAACAGAGCCAGCAGCAATCGGACAAGGACATCAGGGACAAGGACGAGCGCTGTTTCTTCGAGTATCAGGGTGGTAAGTAGTTTAGAACTTTTATTTTTGAACTGGATTATATAGCAACCCTTTTACAGATGCCACTCGCGATTGGCTAGCGGAGGACAACAAGCAGCTGATTAAGAACTGCTTTGTTACCGGCAAGTGGAAGGCCAGCGAGGATGCAGAGAATCTGCTGAAGATGGACGACATGAGCGACGCCGAGAGCGAGGTGTACGGTGACTTTGAGGATCTGGAGACGGGCGAGCAGCATAGCGGCAAACCCAAGACAGAAGGCGATGGAGAATCGGATGAAGAGAGCGCAAAGCCTGAGGAGTCCACAGCAGCCAAGCGAAAGCTGACCCGCGTGGAGGAGGAGAACCTCACGAAGGCCGAGCTGATGGCCAAGAAACTGAAGCTGAAGGCCAAGTTCGATGCGGAGTACGACAACAGTGGCGAGGGAAAGGGCGAGGAGGACACCGGTCGCATCACCGGCGACCACTCCTTCTACGAGGACCTCAAGGCGGAGGCTCAGCGCCAGAGCGAGCTGAACAAGAGCGAGTTTGCCCACCTGGACAACGAGTTCCGCATCCAAATCGAAGGCTATCGACCGGGCCTGTACGTCCGTCTGGGCTTCAAGCAGCTGCCCGCTGAGTTTGTGGAGAACTTCGATGCCAGCTATCCCGTGCTGGTCGGCGCCCTTAATCTTACAGAGGAGAACGTGGGCTATGTCAACTGCAAGGTGAAGAAGCATCGCTGGTACAAGAAGATCCTTAAGACGGGCGATCCCCTGATCATCTCGATGGGCTGGCGTCGCTTCCAAACGGTGGCCATCTATGCCAAGGTGGAGGACAACTTCCGGCAGCGCTATCTCAAGTACACACCCAACCACGTCACCTGCAGCATGACCTTCTGGGGTCCGATCACGCCGCAGAACACGGGCTTCTTGGCCCTGCAGACGGTGCGTCAGGATCAGGAGGAGATGCGGCGACTGGGCTTCCGGATAGCGGCCACCGGCTGCGTTACCGAGCTGGACAAATCCTCGCAGATCATGAAGAAACTCAAGCTGGTGGGCCACCCTTTCAAGATCTACAAGAAGACGGCCTTCGTAAAGGACATGTTCAACTCCTCGCTGGAAGTGGCCAAGTTCGAGGGAGCCAAGATCAAGACGGTCTCCGGCATCCGTGGTCAGATCAAGAAGGCTCATCATACACCCGAGGGTTCCTATCGCGCCACATTCGAAGACAAGATCCTGATGAGCGACATAGTCTTTTGCCGCACGTGGTTCCGCGTGGAGGTTCCACGGTTCTATGCACCTGTAACTTCGCTTTTGTTGCCGCTGGAGCAGAAGAGCCAGTGGCAGGGCATGAAGACGCTGGGTCAACTGAAGCGAGAGAGGGCAATGCAGAATGCCGCCCAGCCGGATAGCATGTATACGGAGGTCGTGCGGAAGGAGAAGATCTTCCGGCCACTCACCATACCGAAGGCTCTTCAGCGTGCGCTGCCGTACAAGGACAAGCCGAAGTTCGGACCGGAGAACCCCAAAAAGCCCTTGGAACGGGTGGCCGTGGTCCTCTCGCCGTACGAACAGAAGGTGGCCAAGATGATGAAGATGATCGAGACGAACTACAAGGACAAGCTCCACCGCGAGCGCGTGGAGATGAAGAAGCGCATGAAGAACTACCGCGAGAAGAAGCGCGAGAAGATGGCCTCCAAGGAGCGGCGCCAGAAGGAGCTGCGCAAGAAGGTATCGCGGGCCATCAGCAAGATGCGGGGAAAGCAATCTGCCTGATTGGTTTAGGGGATAATTGAACTTCTGACAAATCGTTTGTATGGAAAGGTCTTAGATATTCTGCTGTATAAAATATAGGTAACGAAAAATAAAATGTTTTTTATGATTAAAAGGAAAGGAAGTGAAAGATATTATTTAAAAAGTTCAATCCAACTAATTTGATAAAATTCAAGTCAAGCTAGGAAATTTGCTCGAATACTTAAAACCTTTTAACTTGTGAGCTTGCCAAAAGAGTATTAATTGGTTTTGAAACTTCAATTGGCTTTACCAAAAAACCCCGTAGTAGATCAACCAACACAGTTAAATTCTATTACAATTTACTCAACGACCGTGCCGCCGGCGCTGGAGCAACTGCAGCAACCTGTGGATCAGCGCCCGTTCGGCCACCGACTGATGCAGTTGCTCCGGCCGGACCGGAGGCACCGGGTTCTTCAGCTTGAAAAATATATATATAACTCAACACCGCTTAGGGACTAACTTGAACTGGTCGTGGGTGGAACTAACATGGTGTTTGCTCTTAGTCCTGGCTCTTGTTGTCATCGATCGTTTTTAGGGCGGCCAACAGGGCGTGTTTGCGACTGCCGGTCATGTGGCTGCTGGCCGCCGCTCCGCCGGCGATGCTGTTGCGCTTCTTGGGCGCCGGATCGTCGCGCATGTTGCTGTTGCTCGCCTGCCGGCAGAAGGTCTTCAGAAAGCTTTCGCGCTCCTTGTAGTCGTCGGAGATCTGCTTGCGCAGGCTGGACATGTCCTCCTTGAGGCGCGGAGCACGCACACTGTTGTCCTGCGACTGCAAAAAGGAACAATGGTTATAACTACAAGGATATATCGAAAGTGTTACCTCTTCATCGCTGCGCTGAGTATTTTGACCATCTGTGCCCTCGTCGTCGTCGTCCTCCAGCGATTCTTCTAGGGGATCGCCCTCGCTGCTCTTGGCATCCATGTAGGCCGCGTACTTCACCAGACTGGCATCGTTGGCATTCTCCTCGCTGTTCTCCTCCGGCTCTTGGTCGCCGCCATCGGCGCACATCTTGCTCATCAGGCCGTAGGCATCATCCTCGTCATCCTCGCCCGCCGGCTCGTAATCATCATCGTAGTCGTATTCCAGGGATTTCAGCGTCGACTGCTTAGACTTCACCTCAGCGGAGGCCATTTTGGAGAGGCTTTCCGGACCGCGGCGCTTGCTGGCCAGGGAACTCTCCGCCTTGGCAGCTGCTCCTCCGCTAATCCTGGATCGAATAGTCTTCGCCGAGGACACTGGGATCTTGCCCTGGGCCGAGAGCACCTGGCTGAGAGTGGAGCTTCTGGCGTTGTGACCCATCTTGGCCTGGTTGGTGGCCGGCGGCAGGATGAGCTTGCCGCCACGGCCTCCCGGCTGTCGCTCCAGCTGACTTGGCGGGCTATTGGGTCCACTCTTGTCCTCGCCACTGTCCTTTTCGAAGTCGTAGAACGAGTCCGACTCCAGGACATCCGTCAGAGCGTTGAACTCGCTCTGGCTGTTCTTCTCGATGGCCTTGTCCAGCATCTCGATGGACTTCTCCAGCTTGTCGATCTTTTCCGGCTCCTCGGAGACGCCGCTCAACTTGGTTCGTCGACCGGAGGACAAGGGATTTATCTTGTCGGTGCCGAGCTAAAGGATTTCATAATTAGATTTTATTTAAAGTATGTTTACTACTGGAACTCACTGTGTACTCCTCCAGCTTGCGATATCCACTGATCTCGAGCTTGGCCTTCTCCAGTTTTAGCATCACCTCCTTGCCCTTCTTCTGCTCGTTGAGCAGCTGCTGGCGGAAGTTCTTGGACTCCAGCTGCACCTTGCGGGCCATCAGCTTCATGTCGTTGTCCTTGTCCTCCAGCCGCTGCTCCAGCGATTTCAGCTTCTCCTGCAGCTTCTGGCGCTCGTCCAGGTTTCTGGGGAAAGGATGGGGGAATTAAAAAGAAATTTCCTGAAATGGAAATCCTTAACCCAACAACAAACATATGTACAGCTGTGAAAAAAATAATAGCACCACCTACTCTAGCAGTGTTTGGATAGTCACCCTACCTATATTTTTAGCTCTATCAAAACATGCAATACCTTTTTAGAATCGAATCGCAACAAAGAAACAGAAAGTAAAAAAAATGTTTTTGTTTTAGTTTTTAAATTATTCAAGAAACAGGATTAAAACTCATAAAACTTAACGAAAAAAATAATAGCACCACTTTTCAAAAATGGGTTTAAAATTATAAGAACTACCAATATTCATGAGATAACAGTATTGAATTATTAATTCTGTTATATTTTTCATTTAATACTTTGTGGTGTATCCTTTATTGGAAACAACAGCTGCGCATTTCTTGGATTTAATAGTGGTACCTTTCTTGGGCTGCAGGCTTTTGGTTTATGTTGCCTGAGATATGTACGCACAGTTTGCTCCGTCGCATTTATTTTAAGCTCCTTCTTAAGCTCAGTAGCAGATTTGAAAGGATCCTTCTTGCTCTGACGAATCAATCGATTGACTTGAAAGGGGGTCATAGATCGCTTTCGTCCTCGTGTTTCAGGTTTTTCGTTATAGTTTAGAGCGTTATTGATCATTTTATTTGAACATCCGACCAATCGACCAACTTCCCTGTACGATTTTCCATCCATTATCAGCTTTTGGATAATACCACGCTTTTCCTTAGTGCAGTGCTTTCCACGTCCCATTTCAATGCTATTTTCAAACTTTTAAAGATCAAAATATTGGCAGGCTATTCGGCAAAATATTAGGTACTTGCTAATAAATGTGGTAGTGGTGCTATTTTTTTTCGACATTTTTTTCGTCCTTTTAATAAAATACTTAAAAATAAATATATAGGCAGAACTTAAAAATATGGTAACACATTTTTTGGCTAGAAAGAATACAAAAAAAATGTTGGGTTAAAAAAAAACACTGGAAACAATGTTATTTTACCCAGAAGAAAATGTATTTAAGTAAGATTACCATTTTTGAAAATAAATTAATAAACAATCGAGAAAATAAATCAACTTTTGGTATTAAAAAAGAACCTCGAAAATATGAATTTAAATAGGATTAGAGATTGGAAGAAAATTTGAAATAGTAGATTTAAATAGTAAATTTACTAAACGAATTACAAAAGTTTTTTTTTATGCGTATAAAAAATATACATATACAGAAGTTTAAAAATAATAATATGAACTGAAGCATGTAAATACATTAAGGAAATCAAATTCATCAATATTTAAGAATACGATTTTTTGGTTTTCCCAACCACATACTTATCCTTGTTGAGCTGGCTGTAGTGCTTGTTCTGGTCGCTCAGCGACAGGATGATGGCCTCCTTCTGCTTCAGCTTCAGCTCCAGATCCTTGTTGACGGCCTGCAGGTTGCGGTACTTGGTCTGCCAGACGCGCAGCTCCTCGGCGTGAGAATGGAGCAGCTGCGGCAGCTCGGCGTTGTTGGACTCGTATTTGTTGAGGGCCGAGGACTGGCGTTTGTGGAGGGTGCGCAGCATGCGATTCTCGTGGGCCAGGTTGGCGATCTCCGCCTGGGCATCGGCCAGTTGGTTCTGGAAGGTCTTGGCACGCAGATTCCTGGCGGACATGACCCGCTGGTGGATCTCGCTGTGGTTCTGCGAGCCAATCGACGGATGGCTATTGCTGGAGCCCTTCATCCCGGCACGTTGTTGGGGAGTCGGTTTGCTCCGCTGGTAAATCAAACTTGCCGATTCCCGGGAACTGGCCGAGAACAGGCTCTCACAGCTCTTGGCAGACGCTCTAAAAAGGAATGTTTAGTCGAGTAACCCTTTGATTATATGGACTCTACCCACGCCATCAGATTACTCGCTTCCAAGCGGGGTGCTTTTAGGCCAAAGGACGATGCCGGCTTGCGCGGCGATACCATCTAAGATCCTGCCGCTGTTTCGCAGGATGATTTCACTGAGATGAGCTCGGAGTAAGCTGCTAAGCAAATTTATCAAAAGGCCGATTCGGATGTTAAGTGTGTAGAAAGATATACAGAGAGAGCCGGTGCGAGGCGAGGATGTCGAAATATAACTGAAAACCAAGTGCCTGCTGCTGTGGTTACGCCGAATGTTTGATGTTTGTTTATTGTTTGCTCACCGCCTGCTGCGTTGTTGGGGTTTTGGCCAGGAATCGGATTGGGGCTCCCAGGACAGAGGTTGCCATGGCACCACCGATTGCCCGACTATCGACGGCAATCGAGATATTGGTTGGATTCATAGAAAGTGGTGCACCCATGTGACTTTTAACTCCTTCTGGTTTTCAAGCCAACAAGATTTTTTATAAGAAAATGCAAGAAGTAAAATAAACGAAGTAAAATATTAATTCTCCACATTATTACCTATTTAAAAGCTTAATTAAACACAAGAAAAAGGTTCCATTTCATAAACGAAAAAAGGTCAACGGTTGAAGCTTCTATGCAGTTTATTTGAAATTAAATGGAAACAAACACTTAAGTAATTTTCATTAACACAAGTTAATTAACTCTGTTCGGTGATTTTGGACTTCATCTCCTGGTATTTAATGCGATAGGTTCCCTCGGGATCGTAGATCTTCTCCAGGCGTTCCCAGTCGGTGGGTCGGTTATCAATGAGATGACGGGTAACCTTTTCAGCACCATTCTTCTGTTTCTCCGTGCACTTGGTGCAATCGGTTTGGATGGCATCGGGGAGGATTTCTGTAACGGTTAGATTTAAATTATTACAATTACAAGAAAACGTATTCCTGTATATTAAGATACAATAAATATTAATATGTGAATAATTTTAATTGATATTTTAAAACAAAGATGTTTGAATTTAATACTATAATTATGTAATGTAAATGTTTATGTTACTTCTTTCTGTTTTTATGAAGCAGATAGTAACAAGGGTGTAGTCAACGGATATAATATTTTTTATCTTTACCATAAGTGTTGGAAATATCAACCGTTATTAAATCAATAAATTTTTTGACTGTTCACTTTTTGATTTTGAAAAACTTTGGAAGTTCGAAATGATCCCTTTGTTTTTTATATGACCTGTAATCAAGACTTACCCTTTAGCATCTTGGCATCGGGAGTGCAAGGACCTGTTCCCTCCAGACACTTAATGTAGTTGATCAGCAGCCGCTCTTGGTTAAGGATCTCATCCAGGTCGACGTTATCAAACTTGTCGTCGTAAGCCTTCTCCACCATTGGTGCCGATGAACTAGGCGGATGAGGAAGAGCCTCCACTCGGAAGCAGGTGGTGCACATCAGTGCCACCACCAACGAGGTGGCCCAGATGGTCAGACGAAACCCGGAATCTCCCATTCTCGAATCGATCGTATGCTGCTAACCGTTTCAGCAATCCGGGCTTTTATAGAGATCCACTTTTTGCAATTACCCTGCGTGTTGACGTCCAATTTGGCCACTTACCAATTGAACTCGAATTAAGTGAATTTAATTTGATTACCTTGAGCAACAGGCAACTGCGTTTGCAAATTATTTTTTAGAGGAAATTTTTAGCAAGCATTGAGCTCATACAGTTTTGAGACAACCTAAAAGTTGAATTAATTACCATTTGTACTTATTTGTACTTACTTAATGAAACATTGATATCAACTTCAACACATTTGAATATTAGCCCAAGCTTAAAAAAGATTTACGAAAAAATGTACGAAAAAAATACATTGGTATGCAAATAGTTATAACTTCTTTTGTTCCGATCGACTTGAAATTTAGATATTTAAATTTAAAAAAAGTTTCAAATAATACGTTACTGCTCGACTTGCCAGCGCTGGTCACACCGCTTTACCATTTGCGCTCGACTATGGTATCTTTTTCTTAATTCTTCTGCGGTCACACTGTTCGGCGCTTTCTTTTTCAATGGACTGAGTTTTCCTTTTAAGTTTTGTTTTTGTTGCTCTATTTACGCAAGTGGAACAAATGCAATTGCTCGGATCCGGAATCATTGCGGCCTAGGCAAAGTGTGTGCCAAGTGTTTGCGGTCCGTGGATTGCGTGGTAGTGCGGGAAATGCGAATAAGGCGACCATCTGTGCGTCGATCGGTGGAAAAGTCTTAAATTTTCAGTGGGCGCCCCACCAAGGACGACCTAGAAACGCTCCCGGAAACTAGGACAGGTGACATCACAGCAGCCAGCAGAGCAATCATGATCCACGTCGGTGATAACTCATGGAATCTGCGGATCTTCATCACGGATCTGGCGCTGGAGAAGACGATGCGCGTGCGCGGTGACCAGCACATCGGAGGCATCATGCTGCAGCTGGTGGATCCGGAGAACCCCAAGGACTGGTCCGACCACGCTCTCTGGTGGCCCGCCCGTAATGTGTGGCTCAGCCGGACGAGACTGACCCTCGATCAGTGTGGCGTCCAGGCGAACAGCCTGCTGCACTTTACGCCCATGCACAAAATTCTGCGGGTTCAGCTTCCCGATCTTAGGTACCTGGACTGCCGGGTGGACTACTCCGTAAAGACCTTCGCGGCGGTGGTGAATCTGTGCAAGCAGCTGGACATCCGCTACCCGGAGGAGTTGTCTCTCTGCAAACCACTCGAGGCGGAGCACCTAAAGCGCAACTTCGCTCAGGTGCCGCACCAGAAGCGAGTGCCCATTGCCGAGCCGGATGGCACCAGCTATCTGCAACCAGCTGCCGATACCAACTCTTTTGTGCCCATCAGCACATCGTTCCACGGCGATGGCGGCAGCACTGGCAGTCTGGACAAGCCCTCCGCTCCGGGATCCTTCTTCTGCGCTCCTCTCTCGCCGCACAACCACCGCGGTCGCTCGCCCGTGGCACCGGCCTCCCCGTCGCCGGGCACCTGGAAGCAGAGCCAACTGGGCTATGCCACCTACGACTCCAGCTCCTCGAGCCTTGGCGATTTCCAGGAGAACTTGGCCAGCTCACCGCCCACTCCCTGCTCGGATGTTAGAGCGCTTCAGTTGCGCCCCAAATCGCTGGTTGAGAAGGCCCGTCTAAACGTGGGTTGGCTGGACTCATCGCTGTCTATCATGGAGCAGGGCATCCGGGAGTACGATACGCTGTACCTGCGCTTCAAGTACTTCACCTTCTTCGACCTGAATCCCAGGTGCGACCAAGTGCGCATCAATCAGCTGTACGAGCAGGCCAAGTGGAGTGTGCTCAACGAAGAGCTGGATTGCACGGAGGAGGAGAGCTTGATGTTTGCCGCCTTGCAGTTTCAGGTGAACCATCACGTGGACGCCACGCCGCACAGTGGTGCAGTGGACTCGGGCATCGAGACCTCCAGTCAGGAGAACGACAACGACGACGAGATTGATTCGGCCCTCAAGGAGCTGCAGATTACGCTGGAAGGCCCGAATGGGGGAGGAGATCCGCGAAACATCACACACATACCGGAACTCTCCGACTATCTGCGGTATCTCAAGCCGCAGAGGTTCACGCTGCGCGGCTACAAGCGCTACTACTTCACTTACCGCGATCTGCACTTGTACCTATTCAAGAGCGCCGAGGAATCGCGCCGCGTAGCTCCTACTATCACCATTAATCTGAAGGGCTGCGAAGTTACTCCGGATGTGAATCTGTCCCAGGGCAAGTACGCCATCCGGCTGGAGGTCTCTCCGGACGGTGGCCACGGGCCCAACAGCGAGGTGTGGGTGCGTTGCGAGAACGAGCAGCAGTACGCCAAGTGGATGGCCGCCTGCCGACTGGCGGCGAAGGGAAGATCTTTGGCGGACAGCTCGTACGAGAGCGAAGTGGACGGCATACTATCGCTGCTGCAGATGCAGCGACCTGTGCATGGAGTGCATGTTAACATCGATCCGCGATCTGTGGATGCAGTAGATTACCTGTCGCCCAAGATTCTTCGAAAACTGTCCAATAAAGCAGTGCAGCGAATCCTCGAAGCACATGCCAACGTCAGGGATCTGAACTCCCTGGACTCGAAATTGAAGTACATCCAGGCCTGGAGATCCCTGCCCGACTTCGGAGTCTCTCTGTTTATCATCAAGTTCGACGGGCATCGAAAGGAGGAGCTGTTGGGTGTGGCCCACAACCGTATCATGCGCATGGATCTAAGCTCGGGGGATCACATCAAAACCTGGCGCTACAATACCATGAAGGCCTGGAATGTTAACTGGAACATCAAGTGCATGATGATCCAGTTCGAGGACGAGAACGTGGTCTTCTCCTGCCACTCTGCCGACTGCAAGGTGGTGCACGAGTTCATTGGCGGCTACATCTTCATGTCGATGCGCTCCAAGGACAACAACCAGACCCTCAACGAGGAGCTTTTCCACAAGCTCACTGGCGGTTGGTCCTAGGAAACTTGATTAATCGAATTCAATGCCAGTTTCAATTGTTCTAATTTTGTAAAGAAAACAAATGTTTTTTTATTGTTAACCAACTGATAGACTCACAACTTCAATGCAATACGTGTATTTACGTTCAATTTACCTTTTAATTCGTTGTTAACTAATCTTGTTGATGATTTTTAACCACGAAAATCGCTTGCCAATGGCCCTTTTGCCTACCCAACTCTAAACAGACTTAACCGTGGCCTTAGCAATGTTTTTGTATGACTAACTTTTAAGTATACAATAAATAAATGAAGCCCTACCATATTAAATAGATATTATTTTTGAATGGGGCTTGCGTTTTTTAAAGGGGATTACAGGATTAATAACCAATGATTTAAAAATTGTACTAGTAATAGTAATCTTCTGATATTCTCTTGTATATTCGTTTCTATATATAAGAAAATATCCAATTTTTCGAATACTTTAAATTCATTAAAAAATGTGTAATCCTGTCAACTTTTAAAATATTTAAAGCTAACAACTTTTTGAACAAAATGTAGGTAAGTTGTTTATAACTTTGTTAATATTTTAAGGCGCTAATAAAATATAAACAATACATCGTTTTATTATTTAAATTATGCGCCATCACTGAATAATGTGAAATAATATCGTCATCATTTATACCGTTAGGACTTAAGTCTTAAGGCTTAAAACATCAATAAGTAATCTTGTGTTAATCGATAATTACACATCTCTAATCTGGCGCCAGCTTGGTTTAATTGTCATGGAAACGAAAGTACTATTTTTTACATTGATTTGATAATCACAGCCTAAAAACTAAATTAGTTGTGTTTCACCTGAGTTTTAGGGGTTTATTGTGAGCCTATTTTTTAATTTTCGACGCTAAACTATGGAGGAATCAGAGGAAACTCCAACTTCACGCACCGCCTACGAAGTCCAGAGGGATTTTGGTTTCAGTAGCGGGCTGCGTTCTGAAATCATTTGGGATTCGTATGTTATGCAACTAGATGCATTTCCCTATTCAATTCACATGTATTTTTACCTTTAGTTTAGCACCAGATCAGGGCGATGTGCTCAAACAGAAGATAGAGAACCTTATTCGCGAGGAAGATTCCCGAAACATAAAAGCGGTGCAACGAAAGCGGGACGTACTTTTCCGGAACATTTGGCAGCAGCGGCGCTTTACAAATGGCACGCTGCTATCCGCCATCGTCTACGTGCTGGTCACGCCGGACGCGGATCCGGAAACGGCGCTGCATTCAACCAACTACAGCTGTCATCCGGTTTTTCGCACTCGTCGTTGCATGAAAGGCGAGAACAGCGCCTCTTGCTGCATGATCTTTGTCGACGAAAACGCCCGGGTGTACTCCAACTGGGAACAGTATGTCTTCCGGAACACCCTGCCCAAGGGCCTAATGATTGCCCCGAGCCAAGGAGTGTACACCTTCACCGATGGTGAGGAGCCGGGCGTTCAGTTGATGGTTCATCCTACGCCCGCTTCTCGAGGCCGATACAGGCTTCTTAATGCTGGAGATAAGGTGGCCACTGTGGGTGGCCTGGTAGCCACTGTGCCGGCTGCAGCTGCTCTGGCGGTGCCACTGGGCGCTCCCCTGGTGATTGCCGCTACCGCAGTGGGGGTGGCCACAGGCGTTTACAGCACCCTGCGCTCCGCCTCCCGTCTCATCGATCGTCGACGGCACGGACAATCCACCTGCATCACGGACGGTGAAGCACGCAGCTCCTGGTTGGGAGTGGCTGGCGGAGTAGTCGGCTTGGGCGCCACTGGAGCCACAAAAGCTCTTGCTACGGCAGCAGGGGCGGGCTACAAAGTGACTCCCGCCGCTCAGCTGGCCGTGAAGGGAATAAATGGCGCCTCGGTGGTTATTGCCGGAACAGGAGTGGCCAATGGCGTCTACGATTTGTATTTGGTAACAATGCTTATCGGATTTTTCCTACAGTCCAATCAATTTACTTTTTCTTGTTCTTTAGAAAATTGGCGATGATCAGGCCATAAACAGCTTGGACATGCTTCAAATAGCTTCGCACCTGGTGATCTTCACGCATGCGATTAACAATATGCGCTTAGTTTCTAAGGTGACCAATGGATCTTCCTTAAGGCGAGCGCTGCGTAAACAATCCAGGTCAGTCTATCCTCTTATTATCCCTTCAAATACTTATATATTTTGTTTTATTGCAGAAAAGTCTTCGATCGCATATCCCAGGAGTCCGTTAAGCTCCACCGTGAATCTGGGCAATTTGATATTGTGCGCACCTTGAACGAAATTCCTTTTAAGGAGGCTCTCCTAAGTCTTCACAACATCAACTCCCATCTGCAGCAGGGAGTTGCAGCGGCTGTCACTTTGCTGCCCCAAATAGTGAGTCTCGGCAGTGGTGGCCAGATGCTCATAAATCTGGAGATGCTCGCCCAGCAGTTCGGTGGCAAGTTCGTCCAGCATATCGGCAATGTCTCCAGTTTCGCGGACGTTGTGGAGGCCATGGCAAGATATTTCAGCGACCAGGCGGTTCAGCTGCTCATGCAAATGACCCGCACCTTTGTGGAGCAGAACGTGGACTCCATTGATCGCTCTCTAAATACGTTCGTGTCTACGGAGACGGTTCTGTTTCGCATGCTGATGCACTGTGTCAACACTTTCGACAACTTTGGAGAGGACTTCCTGCTGAGCCGTCGTGAGGATATCTTATCAGTGGTTTCGAAGTACTTTCGTTCACTGGAACCGATCAGCGAGGATAACTGCCGCAAGTACAAATGTTCCGTTTGCAAAGGCGCTTACTACATAAGTTCGATATAGGCTGATTTCCTGATTTGAGCTAACTTACTAAGCCTGATTTACTTTAGCTTCCGAATCCTCGAAATTGTCTTTTTAGTTAGAAACAATATGTTGTAAACGAGTTTGGGATTCCTGACTCGTCTTTAAGAGAAGCTTCGTCATCCAGATTGTAACTCTTTGTTTTATATGTGAAAGTTTTCTTCAAGAGATTTTTACATTTCAAAGACTCCAAAGAATATGTCATCTTAGTTGAATGTGCTGTGAACTATGAATCGTTTTTATAACAACAATATTTATGTAAACAACTTTACCTTTATAAAAAATGTTTAAATTTCATTTGCTTGATTGTTTATTCAACTTAGACCTAAGAGTATAAATACTGTAAATGGGTTTGTGCCCCCTGCAGAGGGCACAATAAGGTACTCTATAAGAGTGAGCGCGACTTCTGGAATGTACACCTATAACCTAGCTTTAACTATGGACGGAGTCAGATAATGCTGACCAGATGGCACCGGCGTGGAGCATCGAACTGGAGCTCGTTTAGCAGAAGAACTCCTCCTCGCACTGGTTGTAGCAGCAGTAGGGGATGTTGTTGTAGCTCTTGATCTTGTTGTCCCTCTTGAATCGCTGCTTCTTCTCATGGTGCAGCTTGTTGGGCTTGTAGCGCGGAAAGATGTCCAGTTCGCTGAGGAGGTTGAAGTGCTCCCGCGTCACCCTCAGGTAGCCACCCATTGGATAACTGCTCCGGCTGATATGGTGATGTTTGTTGTGTGTTTTGCCGTCTGAAAAAGTTGGAAAAAAGGGGGAAACGATGCGAGTGAGCAAATCGATCTTGAACCTGCGCCTTGAAATCGGTTAACTGTTGCATCGGAACTGCTTTATGCAAATGCCGGACTTAAAGGCGTATTAATTGCAACCTAAACACTTTAAAACGTGTTTTCGATATGCAGTTCCGAGTGCAATTGTCGAGTTGACTGACACTCTGACCTTATTCGATCGCTAATCATATTTTTCGTTCTTTTCCTTACAGAAATACAAAAAATGTATTCAGAGTGGGGAAATTTGGAAAACTTTAGAAAATGTTTAGGATAAAATTGTGTTTTTTTCATCTGCATCTGTAGTTATATTCAGTAAAAGTTATTCACCTATATGATAAACATAATAAAAAGAATTTATGTTTATACCTACATATTTAAAATGTACAAAAACTTTTGGAGCATGGTACAAAGTTAAGTTGTGCTTGTGCTCTTTTATACCAATGAATTTTAAAGCAAATTAAAATGGTGTATAATTTAAAAGTTTTAGTTGATTTACAAATAAAAAATTTTATTTAATTTTCTTTCTCCAGAATCTTAATCGTAACCCCTTTCTTAATTTAACGCTGAAGTGGATACTTACATCCCAGTCTGTTTAGATGGTGATGTGGGTACTCGATGGACCTCCTTTCCCTGCGGGCACCTTCGTCCTGTTGAAACAGGTGCTCGCACGCCTCCATCGCGAACTTCTTCATTCCCTCCAAGGTACAGAAGCTGCCCGACGAGCTGTCCAGCAGGCAGAAGACCCCGAGGAGCAGCAGCATCCAGCGGCACAGATTGAACTGCAGGGGAGGAGCAGAAGAAGAAAACAAAACAAATGTGAGTATGAGATGCTAAATTAAACACCCAACCGGCCTCCGGAGCCTAATTATAAGTCGCTGACGCTCAGAATTTATCGCATAAGTGTTACAACGATCCTCTAACCGGCTGCACTCTGCTCTGCCTCGGCATTCGATTCCGAATCTGGATCGCATCTGGATTTGGACTGACTACCTCCGATGACGACAGCCGGGATGCCGGGGTGACGTCGCCGACTCCCTCGCACCGCATTATGCCGCCCATTAAAACTGGGTCAATATCGAGTCAAGATCGAAACATAAGCCGGAGCGCATTTGCAAGTCGACGCGGCCAAATGGTAAGATTTTATTGCCGCTTTTAATGACCGAAACTTCCCCGATATTACAAAGAGCTGGCTTGGAAATTATGTAATGCGCCTTGCAGGTAGGCATTTCCGCATTTTGCGCATTTTGCGGTGACAATCTGTTTAGCACTCGCTCCCATATAAATCCGAGTCGGAATCGATTGGGGTATTATGCTTAAGCCCGTGGAGAACAAAAGCGCATTTGTTTATATTGATATTTTTAGCAGACAGCCTGTTAATTGCACACACCCACTTTTCTGACGAAGCTAATTTAAGTTATTAAAGTGGTGTTTACTTAGAAGACAGATATTAAATTTGGAAATTTCTATATAAATTATTATATTTTGTTACATTTAATAACAGAATTAGGGTAATCTTGGTGCTTTTTATTAGGCTAAAGCACAAATAAAAATTTAAATTATATAATGATGCACAAACAATAACAATCTAAAAAATAAAAGACAAATATAATTAAACAAAAAACTATTTTTAAAAAGCTGCCTTTTCCTCATTTGCTCCATTCAAAATAATTTATTATTATATTTGATATATTTCTTCAACTCACCTTTGAACTCATTTTTATTCCGTTTTAGGATCACAATACTTATAATATCACTATGGCACTTGACCACTTTGCTTGCTGCAACACTACGTATACGTGTTTTTTTTGGCGGGCAAACCGAAAAGTTGCTGAATTGAAACCGTCCGATCGACGTTACCTGATAATCTCGAGTGGCGAGCGCACAATGAAAACTCGCTCGAAGCCGCTTAGCTTTTATACGCGCTTGAAAATCGGTGACCGGCGCTTCGGATCGGCTCAGGTTGAATCTTTCCCAGGTTCTCGACTGCCGCTCTTTATCTTAAATAGGGGGTGAGAGAGCGGCTCGGTATTTTTGATTGTTTTTTGGATGGAACTCGAGTTCGAAGGAGTTTTGCGTAAGCGGCATTCCGAGATATATACGTTTTTATCAATGGGGTGTGCGAAACGGACGTCAGACTTTAAGACTTGTTTTATAGTTTTCTTGCCGCTGGCTTCAAAACTAAACGAATTTCAACATAATTGTTTTGGCTTCCGTGAGTCATCGGCACATACCGCGGCATGCTCTTGTTTAAGATATGGTGAATTCTCGTAGCTAACAGTCTTATCAAAACACCTTGGAAATGTAATAAGGTAGTAATAGATTGTTCTGACGGTCGCCGGTGGCAGTGAAAGTTCCACTCAGACCTTGTTGCCAGGGGGTTTTCCAACCAGGGCAACGCACTTTTTGATAAGTAATGCAAACATTGGCCACTTCTAAAATTGATTTATGTGTAGAAACAAATAAAGTTGATGGGAAATCCAAAAACTAACCTTTGCCCCGAGAACAAAATGCAATGTTATTGATTAGAATTGATTGATTAGATTCAGTAGAAGTTTAAAAAATGTAAATATGTTTTTGTTTGAATATATGTAATAATTCCGAGAATCATAAACTCTAATATTCTTTTTTTATTGCTGACTGTCCCAAGCTTCCATTTACTACGGGTGTAAAAGAAGCCCATATAAGAAGTGATAATTTAGAAATAATAAATATTTCGTAAATTAAACTGAAACCGACCAGAATAGATGCAGTTAAGTACGGTTATTTATTGGCCACAAATAATTTTGTTTCCATTGATGGCCATTTCTGCAAATAGCAAACAACAAAGTCGGAATAAAAAACAATTTTTTGATTGTTGAGTAGCCAAACATTTCGATTGATAAATAAATTGCAACTGAAAAAAATATTTCTGAGATGTGCGGAATCAGCTAAATTCTTTTTGGTGCAATATTCCGGTTTTTTAGTGCAAACATAAAATTCTTAAATTACAGGTTCTGAGAGTAATTGAAAGTTAATATTAGCTAATCAACCATAAAAAGCTTAAATAATGAGCTGAATATTCTAACATAACATTTAAAAAAACTGGTTCCGAAAATTCAGAAAAGCTTAAACTTTAAAGAACATTCCGGTTAAAAGTTTAACATATTTGTACCGTTAAAGAAATTGAAAATAATAATATTTGTTAAAAAAAAATGTAAAATCAACGTTTCGTCGTAATGTAACATTTCAGTTTAAAGAATAAATCCTTAAGTAAACATTTATAAGCAATATTCTGAAAAGTTAAAAAGGCGATATGACTTTCACTCTCGTTTTCATTTGGCTCTCTTTGTGCGCAGCTGTCTCTTTCTTCCTCTTTCTGAACCGCTTTCCCTTTCTCTTTTCTCACCCTGTTGCGTAATCATCATTGGGGAGCACTCTTAACGGTTGTTCTGGATCGGGCGTCATCCTCGTTTATTCTAATTTTGTCAGATCTTTTGTGTTACTTATTTTTTTTTTTGGGTATTTTTAACTGCTCTCTCGGTCAATGCACACTTTCGGCCGACTTTTTTATGGGTTCAGATTGTTACGCTTTGGCTTCAGTTTCGCTTTCGTTTTGGTTTCGTTTTATTTTCGTTGCATTCCCGCATGCGGAAACGTTGCTCAGCCTACGGGGCGTATGCGCAATGCTGCGGCGCAGTTGCATTTCCCCAACATTTTGCACGTATCCTTCGGAATGTGCATTCCCGTGCTCGTCGATCGCAATTCCTCAACTAACGGTAACGGGCACGTTCTGGGAACCTCGATTTGGTTGCGGAATGTGGGGAGTGGGTAGAACTCTTCGTTTGTTTTTTGTTATTTGACATTTAATTGGTTAGCCACGGGCAGCTCATTCATAAATACAATTTCACAACCTGATTTCAAGAATCGCGCCACTTGCGCCATGTCAACGATCTCCGCCGAATGCCCCTACCTGGGCATCAAATTCACAATTCATTATCAAAAAAAAAAAACTAAATAAAGAGCCGAAATACCACAAAAACCAACGGAGCTTGAATCGCAAACAGGTTCTGCTTCTAATAGAATTGCCGGACCATCGACGATCTGATATTCGTGCAGTCTAGACGAGCATTTGGGCATTTGGGTCCTTTCCTTGGCAACAAGAAAAGAACAGGGAATGTCGCTCCGTCTTCCAAGAAGATCGCATCTGTGGATTTTTGCCCGGGGGAACATGAGGCGGCGGCGGACGAAGCGTGTGAGCTAGTGTTTTTGTTTTGGTGCCCAGATCTCCTGTTCCTTGAACTGAGGGCGAAAGTGGTGCGTCACGTCATCTCCGGTGTCTGACTTTGCCGGCGGCTTTGCCGTTCACCTTTGCCATCCTCGTCCAAGTCTTCTGCCTCCTCTTCGTCCTTTTCTTCACCGGTTGCAGCTCCTTTGGCACGCCGAAGGGTTTTTCGAGCGCCTCGAGTTCAAAAAACTCTGCGATAACCTCGCGGCGATCGCATTTCAAATTAGAAACTTTTTTTGGGATTCCAAACAGCACATGGCCATGCAATACCCTTTCGTTTTTAAAGGGGCATACGATTGTTATTAAAATTGTGTACTTTAGGTAGATAATGTAAAAAGGAAAAGTTACATAATTTTTTTTCCTAACTGAGATAATTACAATAGTTATGATCAACATTGTTTGTTTAACGATCTTATTAGCAAACCATTAAATCTAATATTTGTCATTATCAACGGTATAAATATAAAGTAAGCTTTAAAAACTTAAGTCAAGTAAGCACGTAGGGCCTAAAATTTAAAAAAGATTTTATTTCTAAAACATAAAACTGGGGTAAAGAGTTTTTTCAAATATATATTTTTAATTTTATTATTATTTAAGACATAAGTTATAAGCCTTTATGAACAAAGAGCGAATTTATAAAGATGAAAAAAAATGTTTCTCCTGAACATGTTAGATTTAAAAATAATAACAACACTCTTCCTTTTTGGACCACAAACTAAGCTTTGGCCAACATTTATTTGTAGTTTCATAGTGACTCATGCTTTTACCGTGGGTATTTCGTCATGACATTAAATGACTAAATACGAGCTTAGCAACATAAATCAAGTTTGATTTAAAGAAGTGACAAAAAACACGGTCCGTAACCATTATCAATGGCAAATTCCGCAGCTTATGAGTAAGATGTCAGGTAAAATCCCATGCAGCTTAGATTCTTAATTATCAAAAAATTTACCCAATAACGTTTTTATTTGAATTCCTTGCTTATATTAACTGAATTAAGAATTCGTTAAAAATTAAACAAAGTCAGAAAAGTCTAATTAATTAATTCTTCGATAATTTAGAAGAGGAACCGCCAAAGTTTAAATTAAAAATAAATAAAAGTCCAAAGTAATCGATAAATTATAAATTATTAACACCGATAATTTCATTCGCTTCTGCCCACCTCCAATCAGCTGTTGCATCAGTTATGCCGCTATATTGTTCATAAAAATGTTATCCGCACGCAGACTATTACGAGAACCGCGGATTTCCGGCGCTTTGAGCTGGTCTCGTTGGAGCAGCGATGCCGCCAAGGCCACCACAGAATCATCCGTGCTGCCGGACAGCGCTGAGAAGCGTCAGCAGCTGCTCAACGAGCTGGCGGAACCATTGGATCAGCGAACCCGGCCCGCCATCGATCCCAAGGAAACAAGCGTGATGCTTTTTCCTGGCCAGGGCACACAGTACGTTGGCATGGCCAAGGACCTACTCCGCTTCCCCGGTGCCCGCCGTATTTTTGAGCTGGCCAACGAGGTGCTACAGTACGATCTACTTAAGATTTGTCTGGAGGGACCACGTGAAAAGCTAAATAGAACGGAGCACGCGCAGCTGGCGGTGATGGTGTCCTCGCTGGCCACACTCGAGCAGTTGCGCGAGGAGCGGCCCAAGGCAATCGAGACGTGTGTGGCAGCCGCCGGCTTCAGTTTGGGTGAGATTACCGCCCTGGTGTACGCGGATGCGCTGCCCTTCGACAAGGCTCTGCGATTGGTCCAAGTACGTGCCACTGCGATGCAGGCGGCTTGCGACCAGGCAGCTGGAGCTATGGCCATGACGCTATACGGTCCGGACACCAATCTAGGGGAAGCGTGTAACCGGGCGCAGCAGTGGTGTCTGGATAAGGGAGTGGAGTCGCCCTACTGCGGCATCGCCAACTACATGTACCCGCACTGTAAGGTGGTGGCCGGCAATGTGGAGGCCATCGAGTTCCTGGAACAGAACGCCAAAGCCTTTAAGATCCGGCGCATGAAGCGCTTAGCCGTGAGCGGTGCTTTTCATACTCCCCTGATGCAAAGCGCGGTGGAGCCCTTTAGCAAAGCCCTAAAAACGGTGCAACTGCAGGATCCCGTCATCCGTGTGTACTCCAATGTGGATGGCAAACCCTACCGGCACGCCAAGCACATCCTCACACAACTACCCAAGCAGATCGTTCGTCCCGTCAAGTGGGAGCAGACCCTCCACGAAATGTACGAGCGCAAGCAGGGCGTCGACTTTCCACGCACCTTCGAATGTGGTCCTGGCAAAGGGCTCGTCCAGGTCCTGGAGAAAGTCAACGCAAAGGCCGCACAGTCAAGCATAAACGTCATAGCTTAACTTTGTGTAAATAAACATATGTAGAGTTTGCTTTTATAAAAATGTATTTTTTCTTGGCTAAAGGAAACAAAAAACGTCAGAGTTGTTGGCCTGTGGCAGATCCTAACTCTTGTCATCCCGCGAACGCATGCGATGTGCGAAGGCAGCACCCTTGTTCTTGCGGAAGCTCTCAAAAGGATCGTGCATATTGGCACCCACTCCCTGTGGAATAGCTTGATCAGACTTTGTGTTATTTATTATTATTATTTCCTCCTACCTTGTACATTTCCCGACGATCCCGCACCTCGCCGCCAGATATTGGCGTGTCTATGCCTTGGTTCTTTGAGCCCAATCCAGTTCCAGTGCCCGCCCAGCCCATTTTCATGAGCATCTGGTGGCCCTTGTTTGTTTCCTCAATGAATTCCTGCGGTTTGGCGAAGGTGCTTCCCCTGTGAATATAAAAATAATTCATTATTATTATTTTAAATAATATGGATCATTAGTTTCGTGCTTTCAAGGTGTAAACGGAGTATAGTTTCTGTTCTACCCTCTTTAACTTACATGAAACTCGGAGGAGTTGGAGATCTGTCACGATCTACACGCCTTAGGTTTGTGTTGTTGCCATTATTGCTGCTGTTGGAATTGGTGCGTTCCAAGCGATTCTCACGATTGCTAATCATGTTACTACTATTGTTTTCTCGTTCATGGCGAGGCGATCGATTCCGACCCTTGCGATTGCTAATTCCACTTCCTCCCATACCTCCACCACCCATCCTGTTTCGGTTCATCGGCGGCGGCGTTGAGGAGCGCTCCAAAGATCGTGATCTTGACCTGGAGCGAGAGGCTGATCTGTCGCGATGGGGCGGCGTATTTGAACGGGAGCGACTCCGACTCTTCGATCTAAGTGGAAAAATAAAGAAAAACTGTCAATTAATTGTTCCATACTTAAATTAATGATAGTACTAATATCTTAATATAGCAAAATCTTGACCATAGTCTAAAAGTCACTGGTAAATTACATATTTGTGAAAAGAATAAAATTTGAATTTTATGTATAAACTACTCTTATTAAAAAGTATCTTATTTTCCCACTAAACAGTAAAATTGAATTTGTATTTCCCTTGATAAACAACTAAATTATATTTACACTCAAAACTCACCGATAGACGCGCTTGTTGCTTTTTTTTGGTAAGGGTTTCTCGAGCACAATTGGACTGGGCGAGCGTGACTTTTCCCGCACGCCATCCTTGATTTCCTCCTCTTTTTGCTTTCGCGCCGCATTCTTCACCTTGTAGTACTCATAGAGACCAAGCTTTTCCCAGCCCTCACTGCAAGGTAAGGAGCGTCATTAGTACCTTCATAACTTAATCGACTGAGTGACTTACTTATCCCTGGGGCGATCGTGCGAGGGTGCGGAATAGAAGGCGTTCAAAGCGTTTGTCAGTCGCTCGCTTTGCGGCGCAGGAGCTGGCAGTCGAATGTCCGCTGGATCGAGGGCTTTGTAGTTGTAGTCCTCCAAACGAATAAGGGGCACCATTAGGCCAGCTGGCAAGTCGTAATAAGGCGCTGTAGGTATTTGCGGCTCTCCGATCACAACAGGTTCTCTGGATTCCGCCTCGCCCGATTGTTGCGTTTGTTGGCCATCTTGCATTGAACCGTCTTCTGGTTGATTGGTTATCACCGCCCGAATGGCCGCATTAAGCACATCGATATCCACATCCTGATCACCCTTTGGCTGGCCGGGTCTGACCAGGCTTTGGGGGTACGCAGCCATCGGCTGTTGTTGCTGCGGCGGCTGTTGTTGGTGTTGTTGCTGCTGTTGTTGTTGAATTTGGTGCTGACCTTGCTGCTGTGGGTCGTCGGGATGGTGTTGCTGCTGGTGCTGCATCTGCAAGCACGCCTGAATCGCTGCACTGAGCACGCCGAGATCAACAGGAGGTTCATTGCCACTTCCTTGGCCCTGCATTTGCTGAAATTGTCCCGGTTGTGGTTGCTGTTGCTGCTGCGGATGTCCCATCGGTGGTCCCTGATTATGGTGGTGCATGGGCGCGGCGAAGCCTGGCGGTGGTTTCGACATGTCCGGAATGAAAAAGTTCGGTCCCCGCGGATCCGCAAAGGGATTGCCGGGTGGCTGCTGCTGCTGGTGAAAGTTGCCACCAGGATACATATTGTTCCCCGCCTGCGGATTCTGTTGATCATGAGGACCCGGAGGGCCCTGATTGTTCATGTGCTCGCGATCCCCAGGCATCGGTACGCGGTGGGACATTAACGATGGTATGTTCTTGTTTTGCTGGGGACCGCCGGGACCTTGATGCTGAAGCATATGTTGTTGCTGCGAGTTTTGGGCCACCATTATCTGCTGCTCCAAATGCTGCGCCTGCTTCTCGAGTTGGGCAATCTGCTGGCTGGCATGTTGAATAAATATCTGGTGCTGTTTTTGGTAACTGGAAAGGGAAGGGTAATAGTTAGTTCCATAAGCAATAAGGAAATTGAAATCTGAGCCTCCCAACTACTTACTTGTCCAAGGTGGACTTTGTGTTCTGCGTGAACTTCGCGACTATTTCATGATGCGTGTTCTGCAGATTGGTTTTGTACTCCTGCATGGATGAGTCCGGCGACTGCAGCTTCGAGATGACGCAAGCATCAAAGAACTTGGCCTTGGATTCCCACAACGACAGAAGTTTGGCCAGTTTTTGACGCTGGTCATTGCTGGCAACTGTGTATTTAAACGCCACCGTTAAACGTCAAAAAAACAAAGTCTTAAAAGGGGAAGTACATACTTAATTCGGCGCTGCAGAACATCGGAATAACGACGTTCTCAAGGCTGTTCTTCAAGTCATTGATGTTCTTGCGCATGCTGTAAATACATTGTGACACTTAGGTCTCAGCTCCTGTCTAATCTGTAGTCTTGTCTTTGGTCGAGGTCAAGTTATAAAGTTTAGTCCAATGCTGTCCGAGTATAACCCCTTAAACCAACCAACAAAGCTCGGTTAAGGCTCTGTGGGTTAGTTCTTGTGGTCTAAATACTATACTATGCTAGTGGTTGACTGGGCGAACTTACCAGTGGTGGAGTATATCATTAACTAAATATATAAGATGCAATTTTTGCTGAAACGTTGAACCATTGACCAAAGCCCTAAAAATAAATTAACAAACAAAAAACATATTTTTTTCTAGTTCTCTGTATGCACAACAACATTGCCAAAAGTACTTGTTGTGCAAGTATAATGATTTTGTTAGTTGGTCTTCTTTCTTTTTGATTAAAATTGTTTTCTTTTTTTTTTTTTTTTGTCCAATGATTTTCACTTTTTAGTGTTTGTGTACTGTTGTGTGTGTGTGTGTTAATGGTTAATCTTAGTAAGTAAAATGAAGTGTGTGTTTGGTGTGTGGCCCTAGCTAAAAGAACTCCGGATCTGGGAACTACTCATGATCATAACATCTTTCGAAAACGAATCAACGAATCAATCTCAAGCCTCTCTGGGGGAGTCTCAATCGCTCAATCGATCATCTCTCGCTTGTTTTTCGATATTTCGTTTTTGTATGTTTGGTTAGTATTTCACTCGTTGAAAGAAAGAAACACAATTTAATTAATACATGTTGCAGGTCATTAATTATAAAACTGAGGCATACTTCTTTAAAAGATATTGTAAAACGACATTGATTTTTGCGCTGTCGGTTGAATGCTGTAAAATCCAGTTCTTGCCTAAAATTGCAATATCAAACAGGTTACTCATATTGTCATTGTCACTGGCGATAATAAATTATGATTAAGGATTAATCAAAAGGTAATATGGATTCATTTAGTGTGTTTTTTGTGTGCAGCAAACTGCGGAGCATCAAAAATGAGCTCCGTTAGCTAACTTATGACTGATTACGATAGACTACAAACAAGCAAAACCGAATCCAGCCGGCTAGCCGAACTCATATTTACCTGCAGAGATGCTGTCCTTGGTGCAGGACTCGATGATCGGCTGCAGGACGCCATCGAAGTCCCTCAGCACAATGCCCTGTTCGCCAGCCATCTGCTCCTGCTGCGTCGTCTGCGCCGCCGCGATGGCCTCGTCGATCTGCTTCGTCTTCTGGTTCATCAGGGCCTACAGGTTGGTTTGGTGCGATTTGGTTCAGATGCGTAGTTGTGGTTCGGATCAGTTTTGTCATTGGGCACACAAAGGTATTTTCACATTCATATTCGCATTTGCGATTTCATATTCGTATTCAAGTCGACAAGCGTTTCAAACAAATTTGTTTTTGGGATTTGTTTTTTGGTTTATACACAGTTTTTGTCAGTTGGTATGAAGAGTGGTTTGATTGGTAATTTTTTTTTTTTTTTGGTTTATGTTTCAAAAAATACAATAAAGCAAAAATTTAATGTAGCATTGTAAATTGTTAATTCAATAGTTAAAATAATAGAAAATAGAGATTGTAGTTTGGTTATGCTGAAAGTACACTTCAACTTAGGGATCAAGATCTGAGTAGAGCGATTGAGAGGGGAAGGGCCAGAGAAGATTTGGTTTTTTCAAACGGGTCAAAGTGAATTGATATTTCCAGGATCCCAAAAATTAAGTAAGACAAAGAGCATCGAATACCGTACTTTTAAACTTTTAACTTTTAAAGGAATTGACAAAAATTGTAATTTTGGCGATGGAAAAACTTGAAAAGAATTTAACCAAAAACCTTTTACAATTTTATAAACGCAGATTAAAAAGCGTTTGGTGGTCTCTTTCTAGTTTTTTTTTACAGAAAACATTAAGAAATTCGGCAAATTTAATGTTCCTTTCTATATTCTATGATGAAGACTATTTTTTAACTAAAAAAAATGAATCAAAAATGTTTGGAAGAGGGACAATTTTCCTTAAAATAAAGTTTAAGTATTATTATTATATTATATTTGCCTTAAGAGTTTCAAGCTACCTTTATATAAATTTCAGCAAGAATTCTTATACAAGAATTATAATATGTTCTATTAAAGGAATTGTTTGAGGCGATAAAAATCGCAATATTTAAGTTTTTAAGCTTATAAAAATTTTTGAATTTCTTGGAAAAAAAAAACAAAATTAAGGACAGTACAAGGGGCGACAATGACGTGGTGTTCTTTCCTTCAAACACTGTAGCTGCTCTAATCTCTCAGAGAAATGCTTGCAAAGGTATGTATATAGAGTAGACCGGTCGTTGTCAACTTTAAATTACCGTGTGCTGTGCGGAAAGATTCGCTTCGGATTGCTTGATCTGTTCCCGCAGCGTCTTCTGCTGCATCTTAATGGCGTCCAGTTGGGGTGAAAGATTCATGGCTATGGCATTGCCATTTGCTTGCTGATTGTTTGGCGGTCCCCCGTTGCCAGAGTTCGGTGGCCAAGAGTGCGGCTGTTGCTGCTGCATACCATCTTGTGCGTTTTCTGGCGGGTGTTGTGGCTGCTGATTGGGTGGAGGATAGTGACCAGGTGGCTGGGATTGCTGCATTGGCGGCGGATGTTGCATGTAATGGCCGGGCTGTCCACCCGGTGGCAGTTGTTGGTTCATACCCTGCTGCTTGAGCACTGAAATTGCAGTATAATGGCGATATTAAAAGACATTTTTAACATTTTTAGAGCCCACTTACATGTCTGTTCCGCTGCCACCCGAAATTGGTAGTAGCTTGCGAATTCGCCGCCGTAAAGAAACTCGAATTTCGGGTTATTTTGCTGCTTCTGTTTGGTTATGGCCTCAAACTCCGGACCATTTCTGGCCACAAACTCCGCTAGCTTGTCGATAATATTGCGTAAACTCGCGTCTGAAAATCAAAAAGTTTTTGCATACAAAGTTTGAGCAAATCAAAGGTTGCGCGTGTGTGTGCGCGTGCCAATCTAACTGGGCATGGCGTGTTCCCTTCGGAAAAAGCAATAAAGGACAATTTCAGCTTTATCTAACCTCGCGGCGGCTGCACGTCCATTTTGAGGCTGTTTATAAACACTATTCGCCTTGTTTAATTCCCAAATTCATTACTTTTTACAATTTTTCAGCGGCACTTTTCACTGCTTCTTCTTCTTTTTTTTAATAGTGTGACCGGCGCTTTGCACTCTACATACATCACATTCTTGAAATGCCGAATTCAGCATTCACCCCTTAAATTAACAATTGTTTTTTATACTGCGATTTGTGTTTAATTAAACACATGTTTTAAATGTTAATATGAAATATTCACCAACAGACATACCTCTTGTTAAAAAGTATGTCATTGTTTGTTTTACACCAAAATATTAAGCTTTTGCTAAATGAGTTTATAAAAGGCATCTTAAAAAGGAAATATTGAATTTATTGTATGATTAAACCTATTTTTTTCACTAAAGATGCTGTAAAAGCAGAGAAACTTTGGGTACCGTATATTCTTAAATTGCCGGTTACAATAGAGTTGTCGCCGTGTCCACTTCTCTTACCGGTTTTTTTTCGCAACCGTTTGAATTCTATCGAAATGTTTTAATATCACGCGCCCATCTCCACTTCTAAGTTCTGAAAAAAATAGTTTTTTTGTGGTAAACAAACCGAAAGTTTATTTTAAGCCAGCCAGTTTCCCCAAAAAGAATCTCTACGACTACCTGTAATTGATGGAGCATCCAAAGAGGCATGACAAATCCCAACATTAAACCGACAACTCCGCGGACAGCGTGGCATTAATTTACACGGTCTCCGTCACATAACTCGAGATAACTATATTGTGTGTATATACACACACATTCGCGATCCAATGAGCAGCAGAATGGCAGATAATAGTGCGGGGAGCGTTATCACCATTAATGGTGGCCAGTTGGCAGGAAGTTCCCCGCCATCTCAGCGAAAGTCCTCCTCGATGGAATCCCCGCCGGAAATGCGAATCCTTTGCTTCGACCTCACATTCTACAACCGCACGACGCAATTCCTGCTAAGTTGCTCGGGGGTCTTCATCCTGTACATCTTGTACGGCTATCTGCAAGAGCTGATATTCACCGTGGAAGGATTCAAGCCCTACGGATGGTTCCTCACCCTCGTCCAGTTCGGCTATTACATTGGATTCGGGCTGGTGGAACGCCGGCTAGAAGGTTACCGGATAAGCGGTGGATCCTTTTGGAGCATCGAGCCGGAGCCACGTTGCATTCCCATGAAAACGTACCTGGTTCTGGCTGCTCTCACTCTGGGCACCATGGGCCTGTCAAACTCCAGTCTCGGCTACCTAAACTATCCCACCCAGGTGATCTTCAAGTGCTGCAAGCTCATTCCCGTTCTGGTTGGCAGCATCCTCATCCAGGGCAAGCGCTATGGGCTGCTGGACTTTGCTGCGGCCGCCTGCATGTGCATCGGCCTGGCCTGGTTCACCCTGGCCGACTCTCAGATGACCCCCCAACTTCAATCTGCTTGGCGTAGCCATGATTTCGGGGGCGCTGCTCTGCGATGCGGCCATAGGAAATGTCCAGGAAAAGGCCATGCGGGAGCATAAAGCGCCCAGCAGCGAGGTGGTTTTCTATTCCTACGGCTTGGGGTTCGTTTACCTCTTTGTGATTATGCTGGTTACCGGCAACTTTTTCAGCGGCTTTGCCTTCTGCTTAGAGGTGGGTAGAATAGGAATTTCTCGGCGCATCACACTTACATTTTATGACCTTCGCAGCATCCTCTGGAGACCTTTGGCTATGGCTTCCTGTTTAGCCTCTCTGGCTATTTGGGCATCCACTTTGTACTGGCTCTGGTAAGGAGCAGTGGAGCTCCCATCGCTGCTACAGTTACCACCGCTCGAAAGGCTGTTACCATTGCCTTTTCCTTTTTGCTCTTCAGCAAGCCCTTTACTATGCAGTTAGTATTTCCTCAAACATACTCTCCGATTGCTTTTCAACCAATCTTTTGTTTTCAGATACTTGTGGTCTGGCCTTATAGTTGTCCTGGGCATCTATCTTAACGTTTACAGCAAGAAGAACAAGCTGACTTTGGCCGACATCCGGCAGAAATTAAAGCAAATCGGAGCCAAGGTCGCACGCTCACCGAGCCGCAAATTCCTCATCGAAGTTTAGTTTGATACCAAAAACATGATCTACATTTTAGTCGAATTGCAACAACGGTTTTCTGCAAGAAAACTCTGTACTATAATTACTTAATTAAACGCTAATCAAAAAGTGGTATGCTAGCTATCCATGTCGAACTCCATCACGCGCTTGAACAGATCCTGGCGCTCCTTTGCGGACGTAATCTGACCCATGGCGCGGTCGAGGAATTGTTTCTGGTGTTTGACTATAAACTTGTTGCATTGGATGATCGTGGCCCCGATGTAAAGGGTTCTAAACTTGGCTCTTACCTCCCCAATCTAGAAAAGAACACCATTAATAAAGAGGGTTTATATGACATAAAACAAATACCTACCAATGTGATCAATGGCAATATGCTGGACACAAAGCGTTGGCCACGATGCAGGCATCGGATGATGGCTATTTTTGTTCTTTCATTGATGTACTTCACCCGGAATCCGTGCTCGATCAACCCAAGACCGTAAACTCCATAATATTTCTCGACATTTTGCAGCAGAATTTTAGCTAGACTGTGGTCGTTCAATCTTAGCGTTTGTGTGGGCGTATAGGGCACAATCTGCACCGCTATATATCTGTTTTTCGTTGGTTTATTTCATGTAAATTAAAAAAGGTTTGTAAACACTTACCTATTTTTTATGCGAACCATGGCAGTACGACTGTCGCCCTTCGCCAAAAATACCAAAACGCCTATTAAAAGTGGATGTTCTAAAAGCCGAGACACTTCCCTATAACCTAAAAAAAATACCGAAAACAACATTGATCATTGATATTAGATGTGGCGGAGATAGGGACATGATGGAAATTAGAACAAGGGGACTTGTTTTTATTTTTATTTTTCTCGGTTTTTTGAAATAATCAAGAAACTGTAAAATTAAGATTATTAAGACATTAATAAGCTAACGATATATGTGGGCTTTATGCATATTCGATGTCTGTAAGTATTAAAAAAAGGAATATGAAAAAGAAGCCAAAAGCCTTCAATCCTTATTTAAACAAGTTTGCTAGCAAAGACACAACCCCCAACTTGTTCTCATTAGAAAACCTAGTTTGGCGCTAACTTTTAAAATGTTTTTGCACCGCTAACGAAAAGTGCTACTTTGCTTGGTTAATATTTAATAGATTACATTTTAGGTAAAACTATTCAAATATATAGGTATTTAGTACGCCACCATGCCAAGCTATTTGAAGCCTAGTTTTTGAAAATTCCTCCGCCGCTCGGAGAGAGCATTCCACCTTGTAACGTATCCCAATAAATTCGTAAATGAAGACCTGATTAAAAAAAAAATAATTTAGAAAAGGGTATTTGTTCTTTTTTTAAAGAGTTTAATTTATTTAATATGTGTCCAATTTCTTCCTATTTCATGATTATCATGTTTGTACATATTTTATCCAAATTCATTCAGTTTTGCCCAACATATTTGCTTTCTGTGCTTTTGTCCATCCGCCTGTCCATTCGGACGGACGGACGTCCAAAAAAAAAAACGGTATTTTCAATTCACAGGTGCTCAACGCAGAAAAAGACAAATTAGTTCTTGGCTAATTTGAGCTGATTTAATAACATTTAAATTATTAAGGACTATCAACATTTTCTCCAAAGTAAAAGGTATTGCCTAGTCGAGGCACTACTCCATTATAGCGTTTTTTCTTGTTTCGTTCTTATTTTGTACCATAAATGTGTATTTTGACAATTGTTGCGCTCAGTCAAGAGATGTAAACAAAGGAAGATGTCTATTTTTGGCCAAGTAACGAACTCCAGAATAAATGATGTACACATGTGCCCAACACTCCCGATCCTCGATATGTTTTTACCATTCGAGATTCTCTGGATGCGAGGTGGAGCACTTCTCCACGCTTTGTTCGAGTGACGATTTCTCCAAAGCGCCCCTTGTTGTCGTGCATCGGATGGCAGATCTTCTATATACATTTGTACATATATCGATTGTGTTGTTTGTATATATGTGGACACGGGGGACGCAGCGCAACGCATCGCATTATAGCATTCTCCCTCCCCCTCGGGGCTCCCCTTCAACCCACTCCATTGCCATTGGGGGATGCTCCATCCAACCGACCAGCGATCAATGGCCATGGAAAACCACTATACGGCTCGTATTCAGTCTCCGGCTGCGAATGCGGCGGGATCTGCTCCGATCGCGTTTTATTTTCGCCTTTTTCTCATCGCACATTTACAGTTATTTCTAAAAAACAATAAAATTCAGCCAGCGGCGTGGAAAAACGCTACATATACATATACTCCAACGATCCGCATATCCACCGATCCACCGATCGGCCGTGTTCGTGTTTTTCCGCTTTTCCGATTTTTGTTTTGTGTGCGTGGCAAGTTCAGCGATTCTGGTCTATATTTTGGAAAACGCATCCGCGCAGCTTCGTAGTTGGATCGAATATTCCGTGGCGATCGGTTCGATTGATAAAGCTGATCAGAAAGATCTTATAGACACGAACCCCAAAAAAAAAACAGCATCAACATGAGCAGCGTCGTAAGCAATCGAGATTTATACTCTTAAAAGGATAACCGCTAAGGAATACCTTTTGTTTTTCGTGGGTTCCAGGATGAAGATCTTACCCCCGAACAGATTGCCGTGCTGCAGAAGGCCTTCAACAGCTTCGATCACCAGAAGACCGGAAGCATCCCCACCGAGATGGTTGCCGATATCCTCCGTCTGATGGGTGAGTCTTGGCCTCAAGGGATCCCTATTGGGGAGTACTAATCCTATTGGCATTTCAGGTCAGCCCTTCGACAAGAAGATCCTGGAGGAACTGATCGAGGAGGTCGATGAGGACAGTAAGTACTATATATATATTCTCTATAAATTGAGAAATCTGTGATGGGCGAACAAGAATTTTTGAATTAAATTAAATGATTCGAATATAAATAGATTCAGTTTCTGTTGGTGAAATGTAGCATTATTTATGTCAAATAGAAAACCAATTAAAATAACGAATGTAATGTGGCATATTTCGGTTTAATTTATACATACATTCTTTTTTTCAAAAATATGACTCATAATAAAGCCGATAACTGAAGTGAAAAATATGTCACACAGGAGATAATTCTAAAAAAATATGAAATTATCAAGTGCATTTGATGATTCAAAACATCCACAACTCTGAGTCCTATGGAAGAATATAAATTCCTTGCTTTAATCAATTTATTTGCTCGAACAAGTGTTTAAAAAGTATCAAATTACTAAACAGTTTAATTTATGTGTTTACTTCATATAATAAATATTTATGAAGAAAACACAAAACATTTTGTATTGTTAGTGGAAATAAATAAGATTTAGACAGAAAATAAAATAAAATTAAAAATAATAATATTGACATCTTCCATTTCCTTTTTGAGAGTCTGACGTTAAAAAATATTAAATAAAAAAAGGTATGGAAAAAGTTTAAGAAATCTTTAACTGCCAATTACACCAAGAAAAGATGATTCACTGCCAACTGATGATCATATTTCAGTTTCACCCAGACAATGATTTATGATCATAGCAGTTTCGCGGCCCCATCATTAGCTTTCCAGTTGTTTTCCAGCTAATTATACGTGTGTATTCTTGACTTTTTCAGAGTCCGGTCGCCTGGAATTCGGTGAGTTCGTGCAGCTGGCTGCCAAGTTCATCGTGGAGGAGGATGCGGAGGCCATGCAGAAGGAGCTGCGTGAGGCGTTCCGGCTGTACGACAAGCAGGGCAACGGATTCATTCCCACCACCTGCCTGAAGGAGATCCTCAAGGAGCTGGACGACCAGCTGACCGAGCAGGAGTTGGACATCATGATCGAGGAAATCGATTCGGACGGTTCCGGTACAGTGGATTTCGATGGTAAGTGTGCCGAGCCGAGCAGAGCATTCTAGTGGCTTGCCATCATCCACCCACAAGTGTATAAATATCCGGGCCACTATATTCTGATTCTGATCATAAATTGCGATGATCTTGGGATCGCGGTCGCGCGATCGCTCGATTATGACAGCTTGATCACCGCTCCCATGGAGCATAGGAAAAATAATAATATTGGTCGCTATTTTTAGGCGCGACACACAAATTCGATTCCGAACATATTCCACACACGCATTTTTCATTCTCAGAATGCGATCGTGTTTTCGTGTTTATGGAATATTTATTTATAAGCGCATATAGCGGTTGCTCTGCCATCGGTTTAATGTCTGTCATTTTGTTTAATTTACAGAATTCATGGAGATGATGACCGGCGAGTAAATAAACGCACTGCGTCTGCCACCCACGCGACCACCCACCACCCACAACCACCCCTTGGAAAAACACCCCCACCCTCCAAGAACACACACTCAAGCACACACAACACCAAACACACACACACACACACCTGTTGGCACACGTTTGTTTGCTCCTATTTGCACTCTTGTTTCACTTTTTATTTGCATTTTCCCCCTTTTTTCACGGGAGCAAACAAATCCACGTACTTCAGTTTGACAATGCCAAACACGAGTAGAAATAGAACTTTTGTACTACTTTTTTATACTAAAAGAGCAACGGAATACTGTGTATGCGAAAAAATAAATGTTATGCTATAGCAAAAAAAAAACACCCAAAAGAGTCTACTTTCTGTTTTTATTTGAGTTGAGATTACTTTTTGCCGCCGAGCAAACAAGTCCATATATTTCGCTTTGATAATGAAAGTAAACAAAGTGAACTTTTTTTTACTAACGCTGCCGTAAATCTTATTTAGTCTTAAAATATGTGTAGGATTTCCGAACATTTTATGGTACGCTGCTAGGTTTATTTTCCTTTTATGAATGTTATTTATACTTCTATACGAAAATCAACGCTAGACAAGCATTAAACGCTTTGGCAGAACAACAAAACTTAAAATAAATGGGCAGGCAATTAGTCACAAGCTTTCTTCTCAATGACAAATTTTTATATTATATTTTCTTGTTGTACTAGGATTTCCTTTCGCACTGGAACAACAGAACTTTGGCAATGTTTCAAAAACGATGATAATTAAGTTTTCATACTAATGGAAGCACACTTGCTGTTTTTATAGAGCCATAAATAAATGATTTAGTATGGAAAGATTTTTATTATAGCTTCCCTTGATTAGTTTATTTTTTTATTTAAAAAAGTAAGTGATTTACTAATCAACACAAATCATTTACGTAAACATTTTTTGTGATTGAAAATGTTTATAATAGTTCGATTGATATTGTGATTGTGTTACCTATCTTACTTTTAATAATTAATTAACATTTTTAAAGTTATTTCAATTTTATTGTTGGTAACAAAAAGTTTCAATAAGTACAATTCAATTAAAATTATTTTGTAATTAAGACTTTTGGGCTTTGAATCTCAATTTTACCCATTTAATTAAATTACAATAAAAAACATGTTAATACAACGAGAAATATTTTTTACGGACGACAAACAATTTTTAATCTTCTTTAACTCTTTTTTAATTTCTAAGTATAATATTCTTAAACACAATATTTATTTTATCAACTTCATTTGGCCTGAATATAAAATAAATCTTAATACTCTACAACAGTGTTTCCCAAACTTTTCGGGACCGCGACCCATCTACACAAAAAATTGCAAGATCTATATGACAATTATTACCCACCAAAAATCTACCCGCGACCCACCAGTGGGTCGCGACCCACACTTTGGGAAATACTGCTCTACAACGTATCTCATCGATTTTAAATCGAGTATCCAACTAAAA